TTTTTTTCTTGTGCTATCCCTGTGCTAAAGCAGGATATGCTATTACCAATACTTTGAGAAAGGGAAGTCAGCACGAAGCAGCAGCCTTATCCAAGGCTGCCCACTGAGGTTATTATTACAAGACTCATCAGGCACAGAGGTCAGGGTCCTCCAAGAACTCCTAAGATCCATGCCACAGCTCCCGCTTTCTTGAGCAGATGCTGAAAACAGCCTTGGAGAGCCTGTTTCCAGGTGGGAGCGCAGCAGGAGGAGCGGAGCTCAGGGTGGACGTGTGAGCCAGCTGACAGATGAGAACCCAGCTTCATCTCAGGGATCTGCTGAAGACCTATTACGCCCATTTGTGCAATGAAGTGTAGGGCTTGATTATAGCACTTTTATTGAACGTTGTAATGCTGCTCGGTTTTGTGGACACAGAGCTGTCTTCTGTAGATGATGAATGACACCTTGTTTGTGCAAGGCATTTCTACGCCTGCAAGTAAAAGCGGAGGGCATCGATGCAGAGTAGGATATGCCTGCTTATATTATTTTCTTATTCCTAAAATGCTGGCAACCCATGTTGTTTGGCTAACATGTTAAAAATAGGTAAAATCTTCATAGTATTTTTCTACTGAGTGCATCTGCAGTTTGGAAAACTTAACTGACACAAACTTAAGGTGCGTTGTGTGTTAAATAACTACCACAGTGCTGCCTGACAAACGCTTTTAATAATAAAGCACTTATATTTTTCTTATTGAGCAGGCTTTTATAGGTTCTTTTATAGGCCCCGTTTATAGGTCCTGAAGTTGAATAGTTGTTACCCTGTTATTACAAATGAGATATACAGGGCAAAGAGGCGCAAATGACTTGCTCAGAGTGATGATTTGCTTCAAGTATTGCTAGGAGAGGATTTCCAGGAAGTATTTTAGCTGATAATTTTTCATCTCACAGAAATATTCGAGTACCTCGCTCGGGAGGGCGCCCACTGTGGTAAGTGGGTGCAGGCAGGAGACAGCTCCCACCCACGGGAACTTGCAGTGCCAAAACTCTCAGCTATAGAACAACTGCCCTGACCTACGTGCCAGGCCAATGTCCCCTCAGCCTCTCAGTCCTATTCCCGTCCCTATGCAGGAGCAACCTTGTGCAGAGAACGAGCTTGGGCCATCCCCACTGTTTTGCACTGGTGACTGAAACAAAAAACCCTCGAAGATGAGACTTCATGCGAAGAATAGACTCAGAAAGGGTTTGTTGGAGAGTAAAAGAAAAGAGAAAAAAAACTACTTCATTATTGCAGAATCTTACCAGGTTTAACAGTTTAATGCCAACACCTCTGCTTTTATAACTGTCAAGAACATGCTGCTGATGGCTTATAGCTTCCACAAATTCTCAGTAAGTTAAAATATAAAAAGACAAAATGTAAAAAAGAAAAATGTGGAGTTGCTGCGAAAAATTACAAAGTCCAGGGCTTTGCTCTTCCATTATTATTACTGTAGAGCATTTGCTCACATAGAAAGTACAGTGACCAATTTCCACAACTTGGAGTTTCATCCTATGGTCATGTCTTTTTTTTTCTTAGGTTACATCGACATTTTCCTCTGTTGATTTCATAACTCTTGTATTTTATTTATAGCTGTCTAGATAGAAATGTGTGAAGTGACAGTCCGATGGGGTTTCCTGGGTCCTCAGACCTGCAAGTAAAGAGCTTGAGCCAGGGTCAGGCTGGTCTCTTCAGGCTTTCCACGATGTCCTTCGATAAAGATGAGGGGGCAGCAGGTGGGCCCGGCCCCACTTGCACACGGGGAGGAAGGTCACTCGGGCCAGGAACGGCCGAGATCTCTGTGTGAGCAGGAGGAAAGTATCTTGTCTTCCACAACTGTAAGTGATGGAGATACTTTATCCAGCCCCCAGGCTGCCACTGGGGACTGTCAGGCTGAATTTGATAAAATGTAGGCGCTTTGAAAGACTCAGATGTGTTCAGCTGAATGCTGTATTGTAGCTTTCGTGACAGACCTGCAAAGAAAACCAGACTGACCTCAAATCCTTGCATTCTTGGGGTAGTGCCAGCGTTTCAGTCTTCCTCTTGGTGKTTTTTTTTTTGCATTGCTTCAAATTGAAAGGCTGCTTTTGTGTCTTCTCACTAGCTAAGTTTGGAGTGACCTTACAACAGCAATCAAGTCAAGGACATTGTTGGTAAATATCTGACAAAACAGTGATGGTGCTACCGGAACCAGGACGCTCTTCCCAGGCTTTGACCTGTTCCATGTGATAATCTTCCCAGTTGCGTTTGGTACTGAACAACTTCCACCCAGCCACGAATCATTTCAGAAGAAAGATCCCTTTGAATAAAAGTTTTCTTCCTGAAAAGTTCTGGTTGGAGAAATTCTCCACTTACTGTTCCCAAACACACTTAGCCAGTAAGTTCAGAAGACTTTGGATCAAGAGGAGTAACTTGCAGCAGACCTTAGTGGCTGAGAGCGGGTTATTGATGCTCTCCTCTACCTATGTGCCRTGGCCCAGTAGTTAACTTACCAGTGGGACTTGAATGTTGTGCTTAGTGAAAAGCAGTTTTTCCTCTTAGATTTGCATTCTAGTATCAGATTTGACTTTATTATGGTGAAGAGGTAAAAGATCTTTTGCATGTTGCACACATGAACAATTGCACTTTTGGGGGTGACTTGCTTAGCAAATTTGCCAGGTTTCATCGGCAATACATAGAGTTATACCTGCAACTCAGCTCTACATCTACAGGTAATATCTCCAGTCCTTTGGGCAGAGTTCCCCATAGCTTTAGGAGATCAAGCACACAATACATTACGGATAAGGTAACAAAGATCAAATAAAGAAGAGGAATAGATATTCAAAACGGTTCAATGACAGATTGTAACCTCATTAGACCCCTTGGAGTTTCTCTCCTGCTGCTTTGGAAGAAGGTTGGCCAAGAAGAGGAAATAAACATGAATAATTCAACTGATCTGACCAAAGAACGGTTAAAATTGCAGCTTTGTGCACAATCTGTCATGACATTTCAAGTCCAAATCGATAATTTTGTTCCGAATGTGGAAAGCCACAGAACMCACCCGTGCTGGATTCTTGCTTGAGGGAAAACGCCGGCTTAACAGCTGAATGTTGACCATAACATGTTGCATGAACATAACGTGTTGCCCACRGGCAGGTGACAGGGGATCCTGCAGGACAGTCATTCCCTGAGGGTCACACCGGAGACCTGGGAGCTGGAAGCTGGATACATTCTCCCTCCCCATTAGCCCCATCACGGTGGGCATGACACCATGTCTGTTTTAGGCTATTTTCACATCTAACCTGGGATTCAAATTTGGAAGTTCCCTATAGTCAGCGAGGAAAACAGACAGGATACAGTCCCTAAACTCCTAGCTGGGACAAACCCCCTGCTCCAACAGTCCTGCGGCTGGAAGGCGATTCRAGCAGGTTGCAGGGTGTCCCATTCCCGTGCTTTCGGCGTGCCAGAAGCTTGACAAACACAATCTGTTCTTAAAATGAGCTGTGCCTTTATTAACTGACAAGAACTACTGTTATCCTGCGCTGTCGGACTGGTCATACACAGCAACCTCCTTGAAAAGGAAAAGGGAAAACGGAGCTTGGGAAGCCAGCGAGGGGGTTGGAGAGACCCCGGCCTACAGCAGGCCCTGGTTGTCCCCATGGGATCTGCTGTCCCTCACACCGCAGCTGCTCTAGGGGCTTGTCTTTCCAAGGAAAAAAATCCAGTGTGTTTAGAGGCTTTTTTTTTTTACCACAAGGCAACATTGTGGATAAAAATAGTCACGTTGGAAGCCTATTTTTAAAATTGCCTTTCATGCTATTTGTTGGATTATGGCAACTATACATTTCCTTCATATCTACAGTGCTAAAAAAAAAGGAAAAAATACTGCTTATTGAAAAAAACGGTGCCACAGGAGGAAGCAGCGTCGCGGGCGCTTGTCCCGGCTTGGGGCTCGGCTCTGCAGTTTAACGCCGTTAAAACGCAACGCCATTAAACCGTTGCGTTTAACGCCATTGAACCACAAACGAGGCCCCGGCGCCACCCGAGGGGCGGCGGGCGCGCGCAGCGCCCCCAGCAGGCCCCGCGCGCCGGGCGCGCGCACGGCAGGGGGCGGGGCCAGGATGAGCGCAAGGCAGGGGGCGGGGCCAGGATGAGCGCACGGCCCGCCAGCGCCGTGAAGGGGGCGGGGCACCCGCCCCGTGGGCTCCGCCCCCTTCCCGCACTTCCGCCCGGCGGCGGAAAGGCTGCGCTGCGGTTGCCGGTAATGGCGGCGGCGGGGAGGGAGTGGGGCGCGGGGGGGGGAGCGGCAGCCGGCAGCCGGGGGCCGGGGCCGGGGCCGGGGCCGGGGGCCGGGGACAGGGACACGGGCCGGGGCCGAAGGTGGCTGGGCCCGGGACACGGGGCTGCGCGGGGCACTGCCCCCGGCCGAGGCTTCGTTCCGAGGCTTCGTTCCGAGGGATGCGAGGGTCAGAATGAGCCTCCCTGGGGAAGGTTGGGCTCGCTTCGTGGGTGGGTTTTTTTTTTCCTGTTGTATTTCAGAAAGTTAAGTATTGCCGCKCCTTGAAATGCTGGGAAAGGTGGAGGGGTGGTTTTGTGAACCTGCTTCAGGAACACACATAGGAAATGGAGAGGGAAAAGGAGAGCTCTGTTTGGGAGCCCCGTCCTGTGTTTTAATGTGTGTTATCTGAAGGAGTGGTGAGCAAATCTAAAACATAAGAACCAAAAATATTCCTAATAGGATGGTTGCAGGAGGTCTCTTATTGCCTCTCCAGCTTGTAATGTCAGGAGATGGGGTGCAAAAAGATTTCGGCACCAGAGCAGAGAGCTCTGACTTTATAACCATATATATTTATAAAGTTTATGGTAAGCATATAGATTTTAAACATATTAGCTCCAAATATTTCTGTTGACCCAAAAGATGCCTCTGGCCTCTCAGGAATGAGACTACAGCACTGTGATACAAGTGTCTTCCGAGCCGTGCACAGGTTGCTCTTGGGTGTTCCTAAAGGCTTGGCATTTGGGTGGTTTTTGCATAAATCTCTTTCCAGACACAGTGTTAGGGTGTTCTGGTAAGGCTGTAACCTGTTTCATTACGCTCTCGGTCTTGTAAAACGGCGTTTGTTGTGTTTGTTAAGGACAGGAATAAGTCATCACAATGCCAGCCTTGCCACTGGATGAGCTCCAGCTTACGGAAAAGGATCCAAAGACTGGGAAGCTGAGGACTTTACCAGCATTGGTGAGCAGTGTTTTTCTTGAAAGCCGAACGAGGCCCTCAACCAGCAGTGATTTTCTTTTGAGGTTTGGGCAAAACCAGCCATGAGCCCAGGATGGCCTGATCCAAGAAGGCTTCCTGGGAAGTACAGGTGGGCTGAGACAGAGCTGGAAGCTGCTGCCGGCTGCCGAACAGGATTCGTTTTCTGAGATAGGAGAATTTAAGCAAATTGCATTCCCTCCTCTTAGGAAGGACGGCAGAAAGTTTCTTCTCTGGCTTTAGTGGTCCAGAATATTACTCAGGAGCTGGTGTGGAGAAGGAAGAGAGCACAGGTTGCATTTGGAAGGTCCAGTGTTAAGCTGTTGTCCTTGTCCTGGAGGTGTAGGAGGATTCTTCTGCATGGCTTTCAGTTAATAGGATGCAGGGAGCAACGTGTGCTTAGTTATGAAGCACATATATCTGAAAATGTTGCTGAAAAATAAGAATGATACAGATCCACTAATTGCCTGCTTTTAAATATGAGGAAGTGGGAAATTGTCGGACAGCTGAAAGACAAAGTGCTTCTTTCGAGTATAGTTTTGCATCGGTTTCTTAAAATTCTGTTGGCGGAGCAAACGGTAAATGCGGATTCCTGTTTTCGGTTCATATTTTTAATACTATGTTTTGGCTTTCCACAGCATCCAGAAATAAAAACAGATCGGTCTTTTGTGCTATACAGAGCACCACCTATCACCAGGGACCCTGCCTTGGTAGAAGAATTCTTGGAGCGAGCCAAGTTCATTGCAGATGATCTGGACTGGCTTCTGGCTTTGCCTCATGACAGATTTTGGTGCCAGGTAACAATGCTTTGTGGGTATTGCAGAAAAAATACGAGCAGTATAAGTGCTCGTAAACACCACGAGCCTGAATTGCATTCTCAGTAAAGACTCTCGTGTGCCTGCTGTGACATTTGTCAGGCATTTTCATTTCGATTACTAYTTTTTAGACTGCAAAGAATGTAATGTTTCCTTATAACGTTTTTTTTCTTCAGTATGGTTATCTAAGAGAGTTTTGTTGGATTTGATGGATATGTGAATCATTTTAGCATCTTYGGATGTTTTGATGCGCTTCTAAATTTAACTGCAATGCCTTTGAGTGCAACTCGACTGCCTCTCGCTCTTCCAGTGCACACTGCCGCCTACAAATGCATGACATGCCCTTCTCTCCATTTTCTTCTGTCGCATAAGGTAATATTTGATGAGACACTTCAGAAATGTCTGGATTCCTATCTCTGCTACGCACCACGCAAGTATGATGCCTTGCAGGATTTCCATCCAGAAGTGAACGACATGCAGAAACGTCTCCATCGGAGTGTGTTTCTAACTTTCCTCAGAATGTCCACTCACAAGGAATCCAAGGTAAAGGTTTCTTTGTCTTGCAGGCGCTCTGGGCTGTAGAGCTTAGAAAAACAGACAAGTGGAGAAAATGAARCATATTTCTTGTTTGCGTGTCGTAGATGTGTTCTTCTCGCTACCTCTTTCTTGACAGCCAGTTTCTRTGTATGGAGATGATAATTCTAAGCTGAAATATGTAATGATTCCTTACAGAAGGGAGAGCCAGGCAAGCAGCTAGGCAATAACAGGGTAGCAACATGTGGCATTATGGTACACTAGAATAAGAGGAAAAAAGAGTGAGGTGGCCTTGTGTCTGGCTGCATAGAACATAAAAAGGACTGTTGGAGCCACTGGTAGTCAAATGTTTGCTCCCTCACACCACCTCCTCTGTGCCATGTGGTGTCACACAACCTGTGCTAATGCTTGTCTCTCTTTGAACTTTCTCCAGGTTTTGGATGCGTAATGAAATTTCTCTAAATTACTGGGGTTTTTTTGCCATTGTAAATAAAAGATATATTCCTCTGTAATTGTACAAGTCATGTGCAGCTRTGGAATTACCACGATGCCCTTTGGGCTGTGTGAGGCACTTTATGCTTCAGGAATGTTCTCCCTTGATATCCTTGTCACAATGGTGACACTGAAGACATTTTGAGGAGAGGTCTCCAAGTGGGAACTGCAGGACTAGGGAAGGAACAGGTGAAAGGAGTGCTGGAGCCTGTGATTGGCATCACTTCAGCAGAAACACTTGACCCTTCTATGGTGCCTTTCATTCCAGGATCTGATGAAATCTTATTACTCCAATGAGGCAGACAAGCATTTGAAAAGTATTTTATAGTTGAGTAACTTGAGCAGAATGAATAGCCTGTTGTCGTGCAGGCAGTCAGCAGGGGATCTAGAAAAAGAACCTAATCAGCCTAAAGCTCAGGTCCTCCTCCTCAGGTAGGAGGTAGACCACGCTTACTGTGCATCTACCAACTTGCACCGTGATTAAAGTTTTTGCCATCATAGGCAAGTCTTTWAAAATGCACTGGCACCAGAATCACGTTTTACTTTGCTTCTCCGTCTCAGAGGTAGTGGACTTTTTTGGACTAGATGGACTAGATGTTAGAAGACATTCCTTGAATGTTAGGAGTCAGGTGTCCTGAGTGTGATATGTTTTAGCAGTCAAGGTATAGAGTTGCAGTTCAGGAATCCTGGGTTTTCTTCCTATTTCTTTCACTGTTGGTGCCTTAATTATAGTTTATCAAGCTACCAAGAACTTCAGGCTCTGATTTTTTTTTTTGTGTATTTCTTTGATGTCCATGCTAGTGAAGCTGTTCCTGTTCCCGAGTTGATCCCTTGCTGTGTGAGCCCAAGTGTTTATTTGCCAACATAGTGAGCCAGATTTGAGAACTGCAACAGCTGTAAATATCCTTATTTTAACTTGGAGGTTGATCAGTTCAATGCAGGGTGCAGCCCAGCTGTGTAAGCAGTGAGTCCAAAGAGGTAGGTGGTGCAGTTACTAGCTGCTGGGCATGYAGGGGTAGAGGGGTCTGTAGGAGCTTTTATAGACACAATTCCTGCCTTTTATGAAATAACACCATTACTACAGCTTTGAAAAGTCTTTTTAAAAGTGTCATTTGAAAGTTGCAATTCCTGCAGAATAAAATATGGRTTATCCTTTAGATTATTATTATTAAATGCTATTGTATGTTAGATTTTATTAAAATATGATTATTACATTTATTTTTTTTTCTTCCTAGGATCATTTTATCACTCCCTCTGTCTTTGGAGAAATTATTTACAACAACTTCCTGTTTGACATCCCTAAGATCATGGATCTCTGTGTGCTTTTTGGAAAGGGAAACAGTCCCCTGCTCCAGAAGATGATTGGTTAGTTAAAGCGAAGGAACAGCTTGAATATGAGCCTTTGCTTACTCGTGAAATGGTAGGCAGTGAGTGGCTTTTCTGCTGAGATTCCTGGTCTGAAAACAAGCTGCTCAACACCAACTAACATCTATAATTTCTTAACAAGACATTTTTTTTCCTTGTAGATTCATTATGYCAAGAAATATATTATTAACTGCTGTGTAGCTGTCCTGAGCTGTGTTTATAGAGTTAGGCATGACCCAGGGTTCAGTCCTGCCTCAGCAGTTATTTCCCAATCCAACTATAAAAGTGCTCTCAGCCACCCTAAGAGGAGCATGAGAACTCCATAATATCAAGATAAAGAGTGGAAGGGACAAAGAAGGGACTTCTGAGCAAGAAGGAACGAAGGTTAGAAGATGGGGCACAGTSCAGCTGCTGACACGAGTGCTCTTGTTTCCAGATTCGGATGCTTAGCAAGTGTGCAGCTGGAATTGCTGTTGTGTAAATTGGGAGAATGTGAACCTTCAATGCAGATGCTGATTTATGTAATGCCTTCGAAGAGTAGCGTATGTCAGAGTACTGCATAAGCTCTTGCTTGCCCCTAGATATCTCACTGCATAGACAGTCTTAGCAGCAAATGCCTATTAAGCAACTGCTTGGACAGCCCTGGACGTTACAACCTGTGAGACGAAGGGATGATATATTCATTTAGGTTCTGTATTTAKYTWGTTCYCTYKTSAMRAGRGAACWARMTATCTGTGGTCTTTGCTCTTCCATCTGTGCTCAGGTGGATGTTACCTAAGCTTGGATTTACTCTTCCATCTGTGCTCAGGTGGATGTTACCTAAGCTTGGATTTACTCTTCCATCTGTGCTCAGGTGGATGTTACCTAAGCTTGGATTAAGGGAGCTGCTCTTTATAAACTCTAACCCAGGCTGTCTGCAGTTTGTATAATGAAACGTTTTCCTTTCTTTGGTAGTTACTCTTGTCTCATTTCCAAGTTGACTAACATGAGAAGTGCTAGAGATCATGTGATGCAGCTTATTTATACAAGATTTTTTGCCAAACGAGGCTAAGATAAACTGTTGAATTTTTGCATGCTGATCCCTTCTTCCTTTTTCAGTAACTTTCACTATAAATTTGCCTGCTAAGCCTCAGGGATAGGAAGAGTGTGTAACAAAGATGGATAGTTTTTTCAAATCCAAAGTTAAATTATCTGTGCTTTAAAATGTTTTAATTTGAATTATATATACCCCTTCAAGTGCAGCACACTAATGCTGCATGTGAGTGACCAGTGATTTGTTTACCTGATTGTACATGCTGTGTTGTTACAGTAATGGCATGAGTGGTTCTGGTGCATAATTCATAACTTCATAAACCTCAGGCTTTTATCAAGGAATAAGTTTTTCCCAAATCCATCTCATAATTCTTAGCTGTGCTCTGTCCTTGCTGGGAAACGCTGTTAATTTTCATAGTCTGAACAGTAATTCACAGGAAAATAGGTAACCTCTCTAATACTTGACYGGGATTTATGATGCACCATTACTTGGTTAAGTATTTTGTAAAGGTAATGAAGCCCTAGTAATATAATAGTAGGTATTTCTAAATCCTTATTAAGTTTAAAAAATATTCTACAGAACGTTTTCTAGTGTATGCCAAACTGCTATCGGTAATTAAAAGTCAACTCGAGTTGTCAAAAAAAGGAACTGGAAATGTTTAGTATTTACATTATTCATTGATTCTGCCCGTGCAGTGTGAATCATCCACCCTCTCCTTGCCCTGCTCTGATGAGCAAATTCTCATTACTGGCGTGATAGCAGGAGGTGCTGTGCATGTGTTGGGCATAGATGTGTTTCTGAAGGCCTTAAATATTAGTAACGTTAGCTGGGGAGGCAGGTTGTTGGAGCAAGTACATCTTCTGGTGCAAATCTGCCTCTTTGTGTCAATGTCTGAACTGATGGCAAATAGTCTTTCTCCCTCTTTCTTTTCTCCAGCAAATATCTTCACGCAGCAACCAAGTTACTTCGGTGACCTAGATGAAACTCTGCCCACTGTCCTCCAGGTACTGCTGTTCTGCTTGGCCTGGGACTCAGATTTCATCTAGATGCTGGTGCAGAATAGGTTAGGGGGAGGAAAGAAACACATGTGGCAGGGCGCATGTCCTTGTTGCTCCTTATTTTATCTATTTAGTGATAGTGGGGGTCAAGCAGCTTTGGAACCTTTAAAACTATTGCTGATTTTTGTCAGCCATTCCTCCTGCTTCTGACATTTCCTTCGTATTAATCTTGAGGATTTATTTTCTAGGCAATTCACATACAAAACAACTATTCTTCATGTCTCATCCTGCAAAGGGGAGAACAACATAATAGAGACGATGGGTAGCTAAGACCTGGCATAGTCAAATGTCTGAGGTTTTAATGCTGCAGGTTCTCGGGAGTAAATGAAACTTGGGAGGAATGTATTGTTGTACAACTTATACCAGCACCTCTCCATTTCTAATCTTTCATTTCTATGAGCAGTTCACATCTTCCCCAGAGGCAGGAAGGATTCACTTTGAACCTAATGGGAAATTGAGATGCCTTGACCCTTGTGTGCCATAAAAATGTCTTGTTTGGGTCCTCAAAAACTTCACATATATTCACAAATAAAGGCAGAAAATTATTTTCACCTCAAGAGGCATGCCGTATCACCTGGTTTTTTGAAAGTTCACATTCTTCTTCCCCTGCAAGTGTTAAGGAACTGCTAGAGCTAAATATGTTGCATATTAATGATATTCATATATTAATATTATTCTAGGATGCAAGACTAAAGTTTGAAATGAATTACTGGGGGAGAGCAACAGAAATTGTTTGTGATCTGCCGTGTCAGAGCAGTTTCTCTACAGGCTCATGGTTTCTTTACAGTGTTTTTTGTTAACCACTGCAGAGAGATAGCAGTATATCTCAAGTGTGTGTATGTGGTAGCTCAGAGAAGACACARTATACCTGACCCATAAAAGTGTGTGTTTACCCCATTACTGAAAGGGGAAGGTGCTGCTACAGGAGCTTGTGTGCACTGTGAATGAGTAATATTAACCTCAGGTACATAACGTCAATACTTTTAGCCACCCGTCCATGTGGCAGTTGAGGAAGGCAGATGTCCTAAGAGGCAAGTGTACAGGAGTTGTTTTTAAGTTGATCCTACACCAAAGTTGGCCAGTAATCTTGAACCTGGCTCTTATTAGCCTTTCCCCAGATTTATGTATCTTAGTCAAGAGCCATAAAATCTGTCCTGCTGATCTCAGAGGGGAAAGGCAGAAAGAGTCTTGGGAGCAGCTCAGAAGCAGTAGCTAACATGAGCTTCCCATTTTTCCCTTTGCTCCCTAGGGCTAGTTGTGTTGTGGGTGGCCTCATCAGTGTTGGTAGCACTTACTGGCTGTTTTTCTCGGCTAGCTAAAGGTTTGGGTTAGGCTGTGGTCCCTGTCTCGGCACCTCTGCTCTATGCAGCTGCACATGAGTTGCTTGCAGGTCGCGTGTGGGGTCAGAAGCCTGGTGTGGCCTTTCCTGCTGTAGGCTGCAACTTTCAGCTGGCACAACTCTTCCCACACAAGACAGAGTTGCATCTCTCTCTGGCTGAATGGAGTGATCGGAGTGTAGGATGCTCCTAYATCGCTATCTTACAGGATAAAACATGTTTGACTGCTTTCCCCTGTCGTAACCCTTCTACTCTTTTGATCYAGGTGTTCAACAATATCTTGCACAAATGTGGCTTGCAGTGTGAAGGAGCCTCTGCTGAACCTCAGAAACTGGAAGAAAGAGTAAATGTGACTCCTGGGAACATGCCTCTCCAGGTATAGTTGTCACTCAGTGTACCATACTGTTTGTAGACTGAGCAGCCTGTGGCACAATAAGACCACAGAGAGTCATTCTGTCCCCAGATAATGACGTCTCATACGGCACATGGTTCCTTGTTATTGTTTCACTGTTTGTCATATGAACAGAACCTCTTACGGAAGTCTTGAAATAATCCTTAAAATAATCAGAGTCGATACTTTCTTCAGAGCTGTCTGTTTGACAGCTGTGGGCTTTACTTTCAAATAACAGAGGTTTTGTGTGCTAGGTGCTGTGTAAATGCATAATGAAAGGCTGACCCCATCTCRGGGAGCATAGGGTTTTCTACAGAATCTTTGTCATATGGACTGTACGTGGGAGTTTTTACAGCTACCCCGGAAACACATTTTACAGTGAAATGGACTGCCAAAATCAACTCTCCTACTGCTATCCAGTGATTCCAGCTAGATGGAGAAGGATATTATAGGTGAAAGACTTATGGAGGGTAAACACCGCTGAAAAACAGGTTCTGCTGAGAGTTTTCTTTCACCGAATCTTTAATGAGAGTGAGCAGTTGTGATTGTGTTTCTGCAAAGCACGGGTGCTGTCTCTCTCTGCATCTGTACCCAGTAACTCCCAACATGCTTGTGGTTGATAGCAGACTCTTCCTGCAGTCAAGAATAAAAGACTTCAAGTCTAAACGTGGGAGGTGTGCCTGTTGGAGTGGATTTTTCTGTGTTGCTAGGAAAGCCTGTGCCACTTCCCCACGCGTACACTAATTGCCCTTTCTCTTTCAGGAATTGAAGGATATTGTACTGTACTTATGTGACACTTGCACGACGCTCTGGGCATTTCTTGATGTCTTTCCATTGGCTTGCCAGACCTTCCAAAAACATGACTTTTGCTACAGGTACCTCTCACTACAGCCCAAGCTTGTATTAGTGATGYTGAAATACCACCTGTGCTGCTCTGTCCTCTTCCAGTGCTGAGAGATTTGGCAGGTTGAGCATAGACTGCTGGGCTCACACTGGTGGAGGTACATAGACTCCCAGTAAATCAAATAAACTGATGTATAGATGCCTAAAGTTCACCTTCATTGTTATTCTTTAGAGTGCCTAGAGCTGGGCAGACCTCTATGTTGTTAAGAGCCAGCTAGATAGTGCTCAGCATGCTTTGGAAAGCTTGGAGGTACCAAGAGAGACAAGTTGTGGACAAAGATGATTTCCCCGTGTAGGACCTGAATCAAGGGGAGCAGAAAGCCTCCGATGGACTGTGACGCCCAGGAAAGCATTTGTTTGATATTACACCTAATTTTTAAGTTAGAGAGTATTCTGAGCTTTGGCAAAAATTGAGCKGTGCCATCTTCCTGGTAGAAGGTGACAACCCAGCACTGTCACAACTTGTCTAGCTGGATTGCAGTGGCAATGAGTCAGGATGGTCATAAGGACCGTGCCAGGAGCGTCTTTCCACAGTGGCTGCAAGTCCATCAGCATTTACCCTGTTTGCTCCAAGTGTTTTAAGCCCTCAGCTCATCTTGCTGTATCAATCTCTATTAAAGATAACCTGAAGTGTTAATTTCTTGGCCTTGTTCCCCTCGTTTTGTTTGCTGTGAACAAACCCTTGTTTTTCTTGCTTACGTTTCCAATCGTGTTGCRAAGTTCTCAAGTCTTATAAGCTCCAAATGGTTTATGCCACAGAATGAGTAATACTGCTCAAGGGTGTGCAGGTTTCTGGCCTCTTTGGAACTTCTTGTCAGGTTGATTATTGAAAGAAGAGCAGGTTGGTGGAGTGCTGGTGGCTGCTTGCTTTGGCAAGCCACGCTGYTTGCAGGCTTGGTTACTCAGAGATGGAAAGCCTGTGCTTTTAATTCTGTTGTCGATGTTAGGGGAGGAAAAATAAAAAGCCCTGATCTCTTTGCACTGGTACAGCAGCAGCATTTTCATTACTCCTCAATATGGACTAACCACTTTGGAACTTTGGCTTTGGAACATGGGGAGGGAAAACAGAATTACATGTCATCTTTTTGGCACCTCTGGGAGCCTGAATCAGTCTCGTGGCACTTGCTAATCTCTCTCCATAAATGAAAGTATGAACCAGCTTCTGCKCCATTGCCTCAAGGACACTCATTTAACATGTTTGGCGCTCTGTGATGTGCACATAATGTTCCTAATGGAGCCTCTGCTCCTCGGTTCAGCAGCCGTGGCTTTTGGGCAAAGAGCAGTAAAACATTAGTTCTAGCAGCTGGCTACTGATGGAGCAGGACCTGTTGTTGTTGTGTGAGGGCAGGTTTCTTACCATCTCCTGGTGCTTTGTGCCTCAGTGGAAAGGGTCAGTGTGGACTATCTGGCACATAAAATAGGAAATTGGACCAAACTGACATTTTTGTTTGCTTGTTTCTCCCTGACCCCATCCTATTAAAACATCTTAAGCTTTCTCTAAATTGAATACCTCCATCTAAATGCTTGCCTAAAGCAGAGCCGAATAGGATAAGATTTGCAATGAAGTCTTACGCTTTCATATCCAATATTTTTAGTATAGCAAGATAGAGCCTTGAGGATTTGGGGGTAAGAGGAGTGTCTCATGAAAGATTTGAGCATATCAGCTCTTTGCAGACTGGAGACTTGTGTTTGGGATGTTTCTCAGTTGGGCAGACTGTTCTGTTCAGTAGCATGATGCTTTTTAAATGCATTTCTTTGGCTACGACTTCAAAGACATGTTGATAGTTTCCTCAGAGCACTGCTCTTTGCCTATCACATATTTGTTTGCTTGTGTTTCGGGGGAAAAATAACAAAACAGGCTGGTACTAATGACTAGCTAGTGAGGAGAATTTAATGAAATTAACCATATGACTTATTTTTAGCAAATTATTTTTTAAACCTCAGTTGACAGTTACTGTGTTGTTGTCCTGGTTTTGTTTGTTTGTTTTTAATACAGGTTAGCTTCATTTTATGAAGTGGCAATTCCTGAGCTGGAATCCGCGATTAAGAAGAGGCATTTTGAAGACAACAGGTGAAGATGTCTGAAAAGGCTTGGCTTTTCARTGATGGTCTCCCAGGGCTTAGCTAAAAAAAGCACTTCATGCTGTTTTGCCCACCCCTGTAACCCTTCTACCTTTTTTATGCTGCTTCAAAGCTCTCCAGAGAGACAGCTTTTCCAGTTCCCAAAGAACCTTTTTGGGGGGCAGTGGGGTGACTAATGCTTTTTTTTACTGTTCTCTCAGAAGGGGCTTGATGGGAGATGGATCTAAATTATAATAGAGTGCAAAAAGATCAGTGACATCTCTATGAGGTCTCGTGGCATTGTAAAGCACAGATGATGCTGATACAGATGAGATCTCATTTGTCTAGCCGTCTGGTCAATTGGTGGCTGAGAGCAGCTTCGTTTAGAGCATGGATTTTGCTTAATCCGTGATTATGAAACATCTCTAATCTTTGATCCTTGCAGCAATGAAACAATTCAGCTAATGAAATTCCTCCAGTAGAGGAGCAGAAAGGAGTCTGTTAGAGGGTCAGATTTCCTGTGCTGATGCTAACAGTGATTTTGTTTGTTTTCCACTCTGAAGTGTGTTTGCTGATTTGTGGAGGAGAATTTCCCATTCCAGGAAGAAGATGATGGAAGCTTTTCACATCATTATAAACCAAATCTGTCTGCAGCCCATCTTAGAAAGCAGGTATTGGCACTCGAGCTCTGTTGTACCAGTCAATTACTTGATTGCCATCAAGGAGAAAATTGTTCCTTGTTTCCTGGATTTACTTGAGGAAATTAACAGTTACTGCTATTTGTTTTGGGATCATGTCCAAAGACTTTGTCTGAGATCAGAAAGCTGTTTTCCTGGATAGCAGGGAAGAAGCTATTTCTGCCATATTCTCGCTGGAGAGAGAAAAAGAACAGAGTGAAGTAAAGGGTGGATCCAGAAACTCATTCTCAGATGGATGGGAGCTGAGGTTATTGTGACCATGATGCTTCCAACTTCTGAGAAAAGGCAYTGCCCTAGTACTGGCCCATTGCAGAGGGTGTCCTGTCCTGCTTCAGCTCTGTGACTTGATGCAGGAGAGGAGAGGTTCAGCTGCTTAACAGAGCGGTTGCAATAGGAGTGTGCTTGGCATATATTCTTGCACAGGTGAGCACATACTTTCTTGGAGGTTTAGTGGTGTAATCCCAAAACATTTAATACTGTGCAATTACAAAAGCTCTCCACACCCTTTTGTGCTTATTGCAAGTCTGAGGCATCAAACTATAGTTTAGAAAGTCTGTCATAAGTTTTAGAAGCCTAATTGGGATAAGACTTTAGATCTAGCTTACTGAAATATTTATTGTAGCCATAAAAGATTGTGTCGATTTGAGTCTTAGTTCCTTTGAAAGCCAAAACGTGGCCCAAAATCTGATTTCAGATGGGGTTTTTCCTTAAATCATGAGTGTTACTAGTTTGGCTAGCAAGGCAGGATGTAGAGATTTTGCCATGTGGTAGGTCTGTCACTGATTTTTTTCACTTATTCCAATGCTTTTTGTAGTTGTGAGAATATTCAGCCTTTTATTGAGGAGTTTCTTCAGATCTTCACTTCAGTGCTTCAGGAAAGGAGGTGAGATTGGCTGAATGAGACCTAAGGGGGAGGATCAGCTTGCCTTCCTCTTTCATTCTYTACAGCAGAATTGTCTGTGACATTATTACAGGGTGTTAACGATGCACTTGGGAATTAGAATCATTCTAACTGATTGGGAAAACTGCTGTAAGAAGATCTCAGGTTGTAGTAGAGACTTGGTTGTAAAGCTGAGGAGGGTGTTGTGTGATGCTGYAATGTAATGATGATGTACTCACTTTTTAATCCAACCTTGCATAGTGGAAGCTAGTGCTTTAGCTAGTATAGCTAGCTTGACAAGTTTGGCCATTATTACTAATCTCTGCTTTTCAACAGGGATGACCAGACCACAAAGGTACTGAGTACCAACGCTCGAAAGCSTAAATCATTTTCTGTATAACAGGGTGCTGGATGATGGTTCATAATGTCRTGAGGAGTATTAAAACTGGCTGTGGTGGGTTAGTGGGGAGGGTAAAATCAGACATGACAATGTGTGCTGCCAAAGTTCAATATTGGGTGTAGGAGGTTGTGTGTGTTCCTTTCTGGACCGTGTGAAAGTCACATTGCRTAGCAGGGATGGCAGCATGCGCCAGCTCTGCAGGTAACCTGCACCTGAGTTCGACTCATTAAGCTTGCTTCTGCCTTTTTAGGTTTCTCYGTGACTATGATGAGCTGTTTCCTGTTGAAGATGATGTCTCTCTGCTTCAGCAAGCATCYTCCACCTTGTATCCTTTGCTGTCAACAGGTTTATATCTCAGTATCTTGCAAACCTGGCTGCTCTTAGGTTCCTTTGYTCCTGTGGCCCTTCCTCTGCTGCTGTCTGTGAGCTGCGTGACCGGCAGCAGGTGATGGAAAGCTTTTTTTTTAAGGTGAAGAAAAAGGATCAGGGGAAGTTGTTGTAGACACAAGTTTGGGAATCACTGAAAACACAGGGCTAGTTCGTGGCGAGATGTGAGTTTGTGCATGTCTAAAACATGAAAAGTATCCTTAATGCTACCTCTTAGAGATGAGACCAGGACAGCTTATATCCTCAAAGCAGTGGAAAGTGCATGGGAAGGAGAAGATAGGAAAAAAGCACAAGTTGTTAAAGATCTAACACCACCAGCAGCATCTAATGCAACATCAGCAAAGGTGGAGAACAATTCTGAGGACCTGGGAGAGCTTGGTGCTGCGTATGCATCAGAGGATGAGGTAAGAACAACTGTCTGTATAGGACTGGGTTCTGTTCTCTCTGACCTCATATCGTTTGTGAAGAGTGGTTTGCTTTGCATGGCTCGTGAGCTGAAGTGGGATTTCCTCTCCCATCTTGCCTTTGCAAAGTGCCAGTGCAAGCCCATGTGCCTCCTGAAATGAGAAACAAGCTACATCCTAATACACAGAAGAGCTGAGGTTGGAAAGAAGCTCTGGAGATCATATAGTCCAATCCCCCTGCTTAAGAGCACATTGCTCAAGACAGTGTCYGTGTGGGTTTTGAATATCTCCGAGCATGGAGACTGCATAACCTCTCTGGGCAGCCTGTCCCAGTCACTCTCCCAGTAAAAAAGATTTACTCATGTTCAAATGAGACTTCTGTGATTCAGATTGGGCCTGTTGCCTCTGGGCACCACTGAAAAGAATCTGGTCTTATTCTCTCTACACCCTCCCTTCAGATACTTACRCACATTGACAAGATCCCATCTGAACCTCCTCTTTTCCAGGCTTAACAGGCCAAATTCTCTTATCCTTTCCTCATAAAAGATGCTCCCATGCCTTCCTTTTAGCCTTATGCTGAGCTTGCTCTGGTAGCTCCATGACTCTCATACTGTGGAGCCCTGYACTGGATGCAGCACTTAAAATGTGGCCTCACAGAGATAAGCAGAGAGGGAGGGTCACTTCCCTCAATCTCTTCCCTCCTGCACTCCAAGATACCATTGACCTGCTTGTCCACAAGGACATGTTGCTGACWTGTGGTCAACTTGTTGTCCACCAGGTCCTTCTCTACAGAGCTACTTTCCAGCAGGTCAGCCCCARCCTGTCCTGGGGTTATTGTGCTTGGGGTTATTCCTCCCTATAATTGCATTTGTTAAAGATCATGAAGTTCCTGTCTGCTCATTTTTCCAGCCTGTCCAGGTCCCTCCAAATTGCAGCACAGTCCTCTGATGTATCAGCCACTCCTCCTGGTTTTGTATCRTCAGCCAAAGTGTGGAGGGTGTGCTCTGTCCCTTCAGCCAGGTCAGCTGAACAGTACCGACCCATGGGGACACTGCTGGCTACAGGCCTCTTGCTATCATTTGTCCTGGTCCTGGATGCTGGTCCTGGCTTTGTCGTTGAGCAGAGTGCTTCCAATGCCCTTAGCCTTGTTTTTTCCCCTTGCTGTGATTTGTTCAGAGATTGTGTCTCATCGCCGCAGTGTGAAGCTGTGTGGGACTTTTTAAATGCACAATCCAGATGTTAGTTGAGGAGGGGATTTTCCGGAGTATGCTGGAAGACCCAGGAATAGACAGAAGTAGGTGTACATCCAACTCTGTGTCATAAACCTTGCCTAGTCATGGATCACACAGTGGCTGAGGTTGAAAGGGAGAGATCGTCTAGTCCAATCCCCCTGCTCAAGCAGGGGCACCCAGAGCATGTGGCACAGGCGGGTTTGGAAGATCTCCAAAGAAGAAGACTCCATAACCTCTCCGGGCAGCCTGTCCAAATGCTTTCTCACTCTCACAGTAAAGAAATTCTTCCTCGTTTGGACATTAAACTTCCTGTCTCTTAATTTATACCCATTACCTAAACAGCTTAGCTGATTTCTCCTAGGAAAAATCTCAAAATCTCCTATGAGAAATCTCAGAGATTTCTCCAATCTTTGTCTTCTCTCTGTTGAATTCTGATAACCCAGATTGCTGTCTTCCGTCTTGCCTTGTGTCTCCCTGCCTTCCCTCAATTGCTCTCTCTCTCCAGTAATGCTAGCGGTTCTCCTTGCGGGGTGTGTGTGTTCACAGTGCGCTGGTGCAGCGGCTGCACCCATCGCTGCGGTGTCGGGCGTGGAGCTGGACTCGCTGATCTCTCAAGTCAAAGACCTGCTGCCAGACCTTGGCGAGGGCTTCATCCTGGCCTGCCTGGAGGAATATGGTTACAACACGGAGCAAGTGATCAACAACATCCTAGAAGATAAGCTGGTACCGTCATTGGAGAAGCTGGAGCGAACAATGCAAAGGTGCGAGTCAGACTATGTAGCACTACTCTGATGCCTTTTGATTTTTAGTTTGTGGCTTATCATTTAACGTTGTTCTTGCTGAAGATTCTAAACTTGTAGAGCTCTAAGAGGTTGCATAGGAATTTTCTTTGGGTGGATAGCTGCCACGACAGCTTCTCATTACCATCAGTCACTAACTTCCTACTCTCAATTCTGTCCCTGCAGAGGATGGGAACACTCAGTGCTTCAGTACAACAGGGGCTGGGTCGTCTTTGTAACGGGGAGGCACAAATGCTTTTGCCCATTAAACAGTCAAAAACTACTAAAATCCCATCATGGAGACATTGACTTAGCCTAGGTGAAACAATAAAAGGGCTGCTCCAGAAGTTCTTTTGCAGCAGTAGACGAGGTCATAGATGTTCACATCCCAGCTCTCCTGCAGGAAAGGGCATCTTCAAAGGGATTAATTAAGCTGGAATTCAACCTGCAGGGCAAAATATGGTATTTGAAGAACTTCTKTTTTCCAGTTGAAGTCACATTGGGAAGCGATTGGAAATGGCAGTTCAGACCCACTTTTATCTGCCTCTTGACGAAGTTGCCAGACTTTGGCTTACTTCTGTGTTGTGTGAAGTGGAAGAATTGTAGCTGGCAGAGGACCTGGGTTGTTCTAGTTGTCAGCAGCTGACAGCATGTGCTTGTAGTACAACAGCAGGTCCTGACCGAGTGTCAGGATGTGAATATGCTGGTTGTTCATGTTTCATGGGAGAATGGACAGGCTGTCTCATTGTCACACTAAAAAGGAAAGTGTCTTTATCAGAAAAGCGATACTGTAAATAAATAATCTTTATTTTGCAACAGCCTTAATACTCTTGACCAAAACTGCTGACTTTGGTATGAAAGATGAGATGTGCTTTTGGAAGATGCTTTTTCATTTTGCTTTTTGGTTATTTTTTTTCCCTCAGCTAGGACTGCAGAGCCAGCAGTTACAGAATATAGGACTGGATGTTTTTTTTTYCCTCTCTTGCCGCTTTGCATCTAGAAACAAAAGGTTCAGGAGCAAATGCAGAATTCTGATTACTGCTGATTTTAGAAGTGAGYGCAACAGCTTTTTTCAGATGCCCAGCTGAGCTAACGGCACCAACAAAATGAATGTAATGATAATGATAATGATCCTCTGACTTATATAAATTGAACAAGTGTAACCTGCAACTCTGAGGCAGAATTAAGAAGGAACCATAGGGAGATAAATATCCTGAAATCAACAGCAGCAAATTATTGAATTTTTTTCCAGCATGTAATTCGTCATACTTAGTGTTGACTTTACTGAGTCACTGTCTTGAGAGCAGACATTCTGTTGAATCGTCTAGGTTCCTAGTTTGGATTTTATTCACTCTTAAATGAACAGGGGCATTTTCTTCTAACTTTCTGTACGTTGTTTTAGTTTTCCCACAAAGGCAAACTGCAAAGATGGTGGCTTTTTTTTTCTCTCAGATTAGTGCCATGTGGTGAACRCTGCAATCCCTTCATTTCACAATCTGTGACACCACCAAGAGTGTCTCAGCAAGCTGGGGATGACTGCGACATSGACCCAGAGTAAACTGAGATCTTAAGGAGGAGACTTGCTCTTCCTCAGCTTCCCTTCTGTTTTGTTCATTCTCTCTCTCTCTCTTTTTTAATTACAGACAGCTAAAGCCGGATCCTACCCCYCTAGTGACTTCTCGCTGTAATGTTTTCCAGAATGATGAGTTTGATGTTTTCAGTAGGGATTCAGTGGATGTTTCTCGGATACAGAAAGGCAAGCGGTAAGTATTGCCCACCCTTAATTAACCCTGTCAAGAGGTGAATATGAACGTGCAATGTGAATATTCAAATATCAATGAACGTGCAAATTGGCTTCTGTTACAAGCTTCCTGTTACAAGATTTCTGTGGGATATTTTTATGGCAGGAGCTAAGGTTTGCTAAAAGCATTTCCCACGTGATTTTTTTTTTTCTGGGAAAATAGGGTTTTTTTTTCCAATTGTATTTCCTCTGTATGTGCTGGAGACTGCTCTGCCAACCTCATTTGTAATGGCTGGCTYTTGCTTCTTGCTTTTCATGTTAAATTTATACTGAAAAGCAACCATCTCTGCTACCATGAGATCATGACTCAAAAGAGAGATTAAACAATTTGTTTCAGAACCAACTGAAGCAGCAGTATCCAGTTACTCTCAAAATCTGGTAACACTGAATACCTTTGGCTGTTCTCATTGCTGCATGCTTGCTGCAGAAGGGCTTTTCCTTYGCTTTTTTGCCTACCTGGCATATTGTTCCATGTCAGGCTATGCAAAGTTAGGTTAGAGTGTTTGGTATTGCCTAGTTGGCTCCCACCAGTGTTAACTGGACTGCAGTAAAATGGTCAATGTGTTTCAGATGCCCTTTAAAGCTCTTCTMTCATCAGCCAAGTATGAACTTTATGAGGATGTGTCTTTCCATGGAAGGTAGATAGAACTCTGACTGCAGTCTGGGCCATGTGGCTCTCGGTTGCAAAGCTGCATCACACTGGCAGAAGAAAAGAAGTTCTGGCCCAAGAGCCAAACAGCTTTTCAGCAGCAGCACTGTAGCATTTATCCTGGCTTGGTTGGACAAGAAAGTAGTCTGTTTTCTGGGCAAAATAATGACTTCTGAAGTGCCTGTAACTCAGAATTCACAGGTGCAGTCCTCCCTTCTCATATATCCCCCTGCTTGTGCAAGTGCTCAGACCACCTTGTGCCTCCTGTGCACAGGCGTGTGTAGCTATCTCCCAATTCTCCTGAAGTTGTGGGGTTTCTTTTTTTCTTTTTTTTTTATTCTTTCCTTGTGTGAGTGATTGTGCGAGGTTGGAGATGACTCCTCACACTCAGGAGAGTGACCTCAGGGTATGAAGTAATGCAGCTAGGCAGTCCCTGTAAGATCACCCGCCTGGACGGGATCCTGGACAATGTGTCCCGGGACCCTGCTCGTGCAGGGGAGTTGCACTCCAAAGGTCCCCTCCAGCCTCAGTCATTCTGYGGTCATGTGCAGAGCTTCCCAGGTTGCAGGTCGTCCCTGAGCGGGGCTGGAGGACCTTGCTCCTTGCCACGCTTGCCATGTTTCACCTGCTCCCGTGGCTTTGCTGGGGTGGCTGCCTCCAGGGAGGTTTTGTCGCCTTCTCCATTCGTTGGGAAAGCTGTCTTCTCTTCTCTTGTACTGTTACTTGACCTCTTAGGATTATCCTCCCATTAACACTGCTGTCCTTGGTGTAGTTTGGCYTCCCTCGGGCTATGTCTCCGTTTCGAAACAGTTTTTTACATGGAGAAAGCTCTTGCTGCAGGACTACAAACACTTTAACATTTTGGGGTTTTTTTAACACATGAAGGTAACTGGAACCAGCTATGTATATCCTTTGCCCAAGGCTGGTTATATCAAAGCAAAAGCTATAGCTTACTTGTTCTCTCTAGTGTTTAATGCTCGAAGCTCCATAAAGGTGAAATGTGTTTTTCAGCAGTATAAGTGTAACTTCCTCTGTAGTTCTCGTTTTACACGCAAAAAACTAATGCTTTAGCCAAGCTTCTGAATAGTAGCGTTCTCCTAACSTAGTTCCAGACCTGCATTTTGGATTCAAAATATAACTGCTGTTCCCTGCTATCATCTCTCTCAGAATCTTTTCTCTCCAAATTGTACTTGTGCTTAAAATACGTTCCTGCTAAGCAGGACGTTGCAGTAATGCTTAAGGAGCTGGGTCGAGCTGAGTCCTGTTGTGCTTGCTGCTCTCCAGACAGGTATAAACGGTTTGAGRCAGGGCTGGTTACCATGAAGGAGAAAGCCACCCCGGCAGGAGAAGAAAAAGCAGCACACAGAAAGGAATGTAATAGGATACACAATGTTCTGTGCCAGTCCTGCAAAGTGATCGTTGCTGCCTCTGCCCATCCAGCTATAATCGCTAGCTAAACCTGGCTCCTGAGGTTGGGCATGTCCTCCGTGCCGTGGGATGAGAATTACCGCGCTGTTTCTCCTGGAATCAGTGCCTAGAGCTCAGTGCTTTGCGGCACCTCTGCAGTCATCGGGCAGGCTCAACAGGAAATAATTATCAAGTGTTTAATTCTGTCCCGTGCTGAATAACAACAGAAGATGTTATCCAGTATGTGTGAACTAACCGCATGTGTTTTAGGGCCCATTTTGCAGCTAAATTCAGACACATAACAATGAGTCATGGAARGAAAGGAAAGCAAATGTGTCTATCATGTTATCTTGGTCAGTAATGCTTAGCAGAAATCAGCCTCCTTGGCTTGTTTTTCCAGTGCTTGCTGCTATGTCACCCAAGTCTGACAATCCTCAGTACTCCGAGTATCTATCTTGGGCAGATTCTTCCTCTAACAACATTCCCATCTCCAGCAGATCATTGCTACTTGTTTCTCCTAGACTTGGAGAGCCGCAGGATATCCTGGGAAGAGTTGGAAGTGAAATTCCCATCTTCACTTTAAGCTTTCCTGATTGATGAGCATTTGAGTTTCACAAACCTCGTTTGTGATGTAGAATGTATTTGGCTCATCTGAAAAATGGAGAGTTTATGCTTGTGCAGCTTGAGACATAGCAGTTTTGGAGGCATGGTTGTGTTTGAATACCTCCATCAAATTTCTGTTTCTTGGCATTTGCTCTCTAAAATAGCTACAGCTTCCTTGCCTCCTCAGTGTTTTACAGATTGCATTTAAGGGTTGTACGTGCAGTGCATCAAGACAAGCTGCCTCAGAAGCCCGAGTCTCCTCTTTGTTCTGCTTTTCATTTTCCGTCTTGCTTATTCAAATCCTTCCTTGCCACACGAGCAATTTTTTGGCTCTCCCTCCCCGTGTTCGTATTTTGCATCTCACATCTCTGAACTACATTTGTTTTTCATTTTGCCTCTGCGGGAACGCACGTGTCCGTGCGGCACCTGCTCGGCTGCAGTCCCGCTCCCTGATTTGCAGCTCCGCGTGCTACCGCAGTGAGACAGTTCTGCAGCACTGTCTTAGAGGGCACTCCGGGCCTTGGAGAGCCACCTCAGAGATGGGAGTCTTAGCCCTAACAACTCGCCTTTCCAGATTCATGGGACTTTTGATGTTATCTGGATCTTGGCCAAACTTCAGCCTCAATATAATTGTGTTTTGGCCTCTGTCTCCAGTGATAGTGTCCCTCTGCAGTTCCTGTTCTTATGTGCTGCATAATCTTGCTGGGCTTCTGTTTAAAAACTGCTCTGCTCCATGCTAGAGTGATTGTTTTTAGTGGCCAGAGAAACTCGGGTGTGTGGGGGGGGAATAGGCTTAGATGGTGCTTGCAGAATTTGAGATGCTGCTTCTATTGTTTCAGCTTTTGCTTACTAGCAGGAAAAACACATRTATGTATGGAAGATCTTGACACTGCCTTTCTATTTCTGCCCCTCCCTTTGCATGCCATGTGTACAGGAGGSAGAAGGACACGACCAGGAGCCTGCTCAATGACAAGCGCCTGATTGCTGAGCAGAAGGAGCGCTACAGTCATTACAGTGTGATCGTGGAGGAGGTTCCTGTGCAGCAAGGAGAAGCCCAGCTCTACAGGGAGGACTATGAGGACGAGTATGATGACACTTATGATGGAAACCAAGTGGGAGCAAATGATGCTGACTCGGATGATGAGCTGATTAGCAGGAGGTAGGYGCCATATCCTCAACACATGGGAAAATGATGGGAACTGCCATCTAGAGTGACCTAATTTGCCCAGACCTGTTCAACGTTGGATTTCGTTCTGCTCCTCAGTGAGGACGTGGGTGCTCCAAACCGTCCTTTTCCTTCCGTCACTATTTTTTTTTCTATCCTGCAGAGAGGGAGGTTTGGATTTTCTTCTCCCTGGTCCCTAGGGAGTTTTGCCATGGCATGCAAGCAGGAGGCTCTCAGTCTTCCACTTTCTTTGCCTGCGAGACTTGGCTGTTACCTCATTTCAGTGTCCAGCTCTAAAAGGGGCCTTTGTGCTGAAACTTGCACACTGCAGTGCTTCTGCCTGGAGGATATTTATCCTCCAGCAGAGGGAAACRAGCTATTTTGAATAATGAGGCTTGCATGTAACTGGACAGTGTAAAGTAGAATGACTAGTTARTAAGAAAACTTAAATTTTGCAAAGTGTGTGATCAGACTATTACATTTTGCCAATGGGAGGCCTGTCTGTGATCCCYGGTTGGTGACGCACTGTGCGTGCTCTCCAGAACAACTGGCAGTAAGTGGCACTTGGCCTCCAGGGAGCGAAGGGTTAGTTAGTAATGGGACTCACAGAATATTTATTTTGGAATTATGACCCAGAGATAGAAAGCCATCACTTAAAAGCTGGTTTAGCATTTCCGAGAGTGACCTTCTAAATTCTGTTGTGATTTATAAGAGCACTGTCAGGAAGCAGGAATTGTAAATTACTGTAAAGATGTCACCATTTCTAGCCTTAAGTCAAAATGCATCTTTGGGTGTTCCCTTTGCTTTTTTTTTTTTTTCCTTCCCTCTTTTCCCCCTGTAAATTGTAGTGAGATTTTTGCATATAAATAGTCTTTTTGTGTGTGTGGTTGGCCTTTAATGGTGTGGCACTTGGATCCGTCCCTCTTTCACCTGCACAAAGGTGCTCAGTGCCACCTGCCTTTGGGAGAAGCAGTAGGAACAGTTAATGAACAGTTAATGACTGTATTCTGATAACAACTTCCAAGTGAACTTTCTTTAGTGAAGAACTTCCATGGGTACTTATTGCACCGGGAGCTTAAATGTATGAGCAGCTCCTGGGTGTCYGTCTTTGCAGAAGAAGCAAACCTGTGAAGCTGGTGGATTCTAGTCGTGAGAGATGTGATGCATGACGAGAAGGATACGCTGTTCAGCAAACTGCTTGCAGCTTTACTCTTCATCTTTCAATGATCATATCTAAATTTTCAGGCCATTCACGACTCCTCAAGTCTTGAGACCCAAAGGACAGGAGGATGGACCAGATGACGAAGAGGAGGAAGATGAAGAGGAGGATGAAGCTGAAAAGGAAAGAGCTAAGGTGACATTAAAGTGTGTGATTAGAGTTGCATTAAGATTTCTGATAATTTGTTTCACCTGTTAAGTGTCTTCCACGAGGTTTCCTCCTACAAAGCACAAGCATTTTAACATTAACATGGAGAATGAGTTGGTTTTCAGAGTGACCAGTTACTTTTGCACTAGGCTGGGCTGGGAAATGTGTTGCTGCTGGATGTGGGAAGAAGTCCCACTCTAATTTTCTGTCAGGTTTTGCATTTAAAGCCTCAGATATCAATCCTGCTGGCTCTACCAGAAGAGATGAATGAGCTCTCCATGACGCAACCGATTTGCCCTTGCTCTAGCCCTTAATGCTGATGCATTCACTACAGCGCTGATGGTTTTTCTTTCCTCCCATTGCAGGACCATTTTGTGCAGGACCCGGCCCTTTTGAGGGAGAGAGCTGAAGCCAGGCGGCTCTCCTACCTGGCCAGGAAGGGGTAAGTCAGGATCTCCCTCGCTGGATGAAACCTTGGCTCTGCTGTAGCTAACAAGTGGCTTGCTAGCGACTTCAGGGCATGCGGATTGATGAGCGAGCTTACTGCCTGTGCTAGCTGCTGCTGTTTCAGCTATTGCAGAAAGCTCCTGCCGCAGGGAGCTCAGAGCTGCAGGGCTGAACTCCTCCCATCGTGGGTTGTTGGGTTTTTTTTTTCTCCTYAGGCTCTCTGAATTTTGTTCCCCAGTTGTGCAGTGTGCCTGTTCTGATATCTTTTTTTTTTTTCCCCCCATGTACTCCAGGCACAAGCATGACAGCTCGGCCGTGGTTGGGAACGTGAAGGGACACGGGCAGAATCGGGAAACGGTGCAGGAGCGAAGGAAGAAGGAAGCRAACAAAAGCACAAGAGCTAATCATAACCGGCGAGTCATGGCAGACAGAAAGCGGAATAAAGGCATGATTCCCTCCTGAAAGACTCTGGCCCCGGGTGTTGAGGCTTCCCCAGCCCTCGGCAGAGAGGTGGTTGTGCTGGCACCCCTTTGGCTCTGCCTTAGCTTTGGGGCCTGGGTGCTGTGGTTCAATACCTGGCACTTCATCTTGGTTCAATACCTGGCGCTTCATCTCGCTGCAGACTTGCACACTCTGTGGGAGGGTTGCCCCGGTGTGGAAACTGCCCACCAGCCAGGTTGACTGCTGCCAAGCTTATAGATGGGAACACACATGCCAGCGGGCCACACCTGGGCTGCCTTGGACAGGCTACACAAGCCATACGTTTCCTTTTTTACTATTTATAATTCTGAGAACTTTATTTTCCTACTGGCTCTTCGTGCCCTAACTGGAACTGCAAGGGGGTTTCCAGGCCAGCAGCTTCCAACTGTGAGAGCAACCACATTAGCTGCAGCGAGGCTTCCCTGGAACAGCCCTGGCAGCTCCCTGCTCTGCTGAAATGCCTTATCCTGCAGGAAAACCTGAAAGAAAACGCTGGGGCTATTGCAGCTGCTCATGCACACTTGGGAGTTCAAAGTGAATATGAATGTATCATAAATTTCTGCCCCTAAAGTGAGGTGTGTGAAAACAGAACATGCAAATAAATGATTTAAATCTTTTAGTTGGTATTTTAGGCTCTTGCGAACTGCAGGGATCTTTAAGCTCGAGGAATCTTAACCAGCCCTTTAACGTGCTGTGTAGCTGCAGGCAGTGAACTTCGCTTGCTGTTTGGTGTCAGTTCGGTGAAATGAGATTTAGCCACAGCTGCTGAGACTACAGATACTTGAAAATTGGCATTAAGGTGTCCTAAGCAAGATGACAGACGTGTGGAAATCAGAGATGAAGGCGGCAGGATTGGAGTCTGTAGGGAGCYGCCTCCTCAATAACTGCTTGTCACACTTGGTGAAGCAGAACTGCCCTGATCATCATGTTTGTGTGTTATGAAGGCAGGGAGCTAATAGTAGCTAACAGTTTGCTGCTGCTGAAGGGACTTCTCTTGAGGACCATCTTTGTTAGTGTCTCAGTGTGCAGGGAGTGACTCCTAGTTATTGAGTTTACTTTGTAACCCATTTGGAAGGTGCTCAAAGGCCACGACAACAGCGGGGCTGCTGTGACAAGAGACTGGTTGCAGGTGGCAAAACTACTCAATTCGTTCTTGTCACAGGGTATCAGCATGTTTTTAAAGGTAAATGGGCTCTGTTTGGCCGTTTCTCCCCCTTCAGTGTGTGTTTTTGTAGTAGTGATGGATAAAGTAGAGCAGACAAAGCCGCGTGGGGCTGTCATCCCTGAGCTACACCCATTAGCACTGTATTCCATAGCACTAGACCTCTTCTTTCGGAGTCAGTCATGCTCCTTTCCCCTTCTCAGGTGCTGCGGAAGGAGCTTTTGTGTGAAGCTTTGGGGGGCTCCTACCTTGGTGGCTCTACCAGGAGTCTTACTGGCAAACACGGTAGTGCTGGAGCTGTTTCCAGAAAGTGCAAGAACCGCTGCCCTGAGTGCTGCAAGCACAAGCTGTCCCTGCACAGAGTGCTGTCCACCCCCCAGGCCAAGGCCAAGCCAAAACAGAAGTGCATTTACCCCTCCTCCAAATCTACTACCAAAGGAAATGACTCCCTACTCCAGGGAGAGGGATATTACTCCAGGATAACTCCCGAGTCTTTTGTAGCTCCCGTTCTCTGAATTAAGACCTTCATTTACTCCCTGCCAGCCAGCTACAKTGCTGTCCTCCCTCCTCCTAATACTACATTGATGTTTAGTTCTTACTTCTAAGAAGCTGCAAATCTCTACCACCTGCTCAGCACAGCATGAAGCTGTTGGCACTGCAGCCAGTGCTCCTTGTAGAGCAGCGTCCTAGAGCATATGAGATTATTCCAAGGAAGTTTAAATGCTTCCCCGTAAGTGTTTCCATAAAAGCACAGCTGGGACTGTGAAGGCAGCTCTTGGTTTTTTGCTCAAAAAAAAAAAAGCACAATGTTTTAAGCCCTCTTAATGTCCAAAGCCAATAAAGCCCCTGCTTTCATTATCAGAGGTTGTAACCTGCCCTGCCTCATCCGTTGCTAATACTCATTTGTCACGAGCAACAACATAGGAAGAAGGAAGAAATGTAACTTCTAGGTTGTAAAGCACAATCAGGGTTAGAGGAAACTGCATGAGTGTGTCTCTCAGCCAAATCTTTATACAGCCACATAGGGCCCCAAGTGATTCTGTTTTAATAGTCTCATTACCTAAAACAGCATCTTAATAGCGTTGCCTGGCAAAGAAAAATGTGTGAAATAACCACAGAAAAGAGGAGGGATGGATCAGTGAAATCAAGTTAAGTAATCCTTGTGTATTCTCAGCCACTCTGCTTTGAGCAGAAAGGACTGGGACAGACTTGGAGGGAAGCCTGGTGAAAGTTGAGGCCGGCAAGACCAAGAAGGCACAAAGATACAAAGAGAGGGGAGAGATCTACATCCTGCTTCATTAAGTTTCAGAYAGAAGGACAATTACATCTCCCCCTTCTGAGTACCACTCAGCTCAACACAGCTGCTTGCCAGGCAAAAGCCGAGGGCGCTGTCAGCAGCCTGCAGYCGTATTTAAAGTCTTTGACACTGCCTTGAAAATAAGGTTTAGGTCCAGATTTAAACATTCATTCTCTGTCTCCTATATAAGGAGATACAAGCAGAGCAAARGAAAGTCAGATGAACGCATAAACGTGAGACACAGGCTGAGAATTTATTTTTAAAGAACAAGAAGTTTCAAAACAGCAGCAGAAGTCCTTGAGTCCATCTAGTTCCCATAGCAGTAGGTGGCCAATATACCCTGGCTTGGAGCTGTTCAGGTCGGGACACCTTTCCAGTTTGTCTAACTGGGCTCAGGAGGTCCAATCCTTCTCTGCAGCATCTCTGACCACCCCAGGACACATCCTGCTGCTGAGTGTTTCAGTCTTCACTCGTCTCATACTTGTGCTTGATGTGTTTCCACAGTTTCTGTACASCAAGACAAACAAACACAAAACAGCCAGTCACCTCTGCCATCTCTTCAGTTGTCCCGGGATAAAGACCAAGGTCACTTTAAAAATACAAGTATTCACAAAACAGATGGCAGTAATAGGAGAAGCAGGAGGAAAAAAAAAAAAAAAAGCTGTGTCAAATACATCCCTAAATTCCACTAGTGCAAATGACACCTTGAGAAGAGTTATCCATTTTCTTACTGTGACTGAGTAACTCTGATTTCTACCCCGTTGCACAGCAGCCAGCAAGGCCCCAAGACAAGGATTTCAGGAGGAACAGCTGCTCTCCAGCTGAGATCCATAAACCTGTTCTCTGCTTGCAAAGCTGCTTCCCACAGCAGACTGGGCAGAAGAGAACTGATCTTTCTCCTACAGCCTTCACTCCTCCCTCCCTCCYCTTACCCTCCCTCGGCGGCTCTATTCCACCTGCTGATACTGCTGTGCCTGAGTTTCCCCCCCTATTGTTAGGAGACCTTGAAGAAGCACACGGATGGAATCCTCCCTACAAGGCCGCAGGGACAGGGCTGCCAGGAATAAATGCAGAGGGAAACCACCGCCACCATCCTACCTCCCCAGTTCTCAATGCTCTCTTATGCTACAAAGCAGAGGTTATGGCAGTATCCCAGTCTCCTGTTCAGACCAAGAGGCACTCTGGCCCCAAGAAGCACAGGCTGAGCACAAGATTCCTTATTCAGACACCAAGCCCTGCAGCAAGGAGGGCCGAGGACTGCTGTGCGAGAGCAGGCAAACTCCCTGCCTCGCACTTTGCTGTGGACAACCCTTTAGGTATTCAAAATACATGTACTTTTTCCCTCCATAATTTAATTTCAATCCCCTAGTTAAAAAAAAATAGAAAAATAATGTTAAGTTAAAAAAATAGAAAAATAATGTTAGTTAAGTTAAAAAAAATAGAAAAATAATGTTAGTTAAGTTAAAAAAAAACAAAAAAGCTTTTCGCCCTTCACACTTGGCACCGAACAGGAACCGCGGCGCTTCCCGCCTCCCCTGGGGCCGCGGGCCCGCCTGACCTTCAGGCCGCCCCGCAGGCCGCGCCGCCCTTACCCCCTGGTTGAGCCGCTCGAAGAGCGCGTCGGCGCCCTGGTCGAAGACGCGCTCGAAGACGACGGCGCCCAGCACGATGGTGAGCGCGAAGGTGGAGGTGCGGCGGAAGAGCGCGCCGTACGCGCGCGACAGCAGCACCATCTTGCCCCGGCCGCCCGGCTCCCCCCGGCGCCTGCGCAGAGGCCGCGGCAGCGCCCCCCGCCCTCGCGCGGGGCGCGCCGGGAGATGTAGGCGCCGCCCCGCCCGCCCTGGGGGCTGCCGGGAGATGTAGGCGCCGCTCCGCTCGGCGGCGGGTGAGTCTCCGGGTTGTGGCAGCCGGGGCTCGGCGCGCCCCGGTGGGCCCCTATAGATCCCTATAGMTCCCTATAGCCTCCTCTGGGCTCGGGCACTCGCGGAGCAGCGAGCGGAGGGGCGGCAGCCGCCGCCTCCTGGCGCGGCGCGGCCCTGCGCTCCCCTGCGTGCCCCTTTCCCGCCGTTCCTGAGGGGAAAGGAGCCGCGTTACGGGGAGCGGCCGTTGCGGCGTCACCGCGGGGAGCGGGAAGGGCCGCCGGGGCCGGGGCAGCGGGCGGGCGCGGGGGAAGGGGACCGCGCCGTGGCTCCCTGTCCTCCGGCTGCCCTCGCCTCGTCCGTGGCCAGGGAAGCGTGGCCCGCTGCCCGCGCCATCCAGGCGGTGCTGGGAAAGGGAGGCCCGCCGGGCGCCGGAGGGGACGAGGGTCACCTTAAAGAGAGGTAGGGAAGTGGGGGGAGGTCTGCGCCGTGGGGTCTGCCTTCAGYGTCGCTCCTGTTGACTCGGTAACTACAGCGAGCAGCTCCTTACGTGGCGCCCGCGCCGCTGTTTCGCCCCTCTCGGCTCCTCAGAGTGTGTTTGCTGACGGTCCGGTCATTTCTTCTTATCCATTTGTGTCTGAGTTTCCACACGCAGCTGCTGCAGGGATTTTCCGGGCCGCAAGCGCGGGTGGAAGCTGGGAAGAGCCTGTGAACAGTGGGAGTCTAATGCACCACCTGTAGACAAATCATCCCAGTAGCCTATAAACCACCAAGAGGTTGCGCTGGTGCAGGGGGTGAGCTGATATTTGTCCCAAATCAAGCACGTGGCTCCGAGGTGACGTGGGACACCATGGAGATGGGAGCCTGGCCCCTCTGTCATTGTAGCTGCGCTGGCAGAACCTCCTGGTTTCTCGCTCRTTCCCACAGGGATATGAGCACATGTCCATTGGCAGCTGAGTATCATAAGCCTGACACTTGGATTTAATTAACTTCACATCTGTCTGGATGTCCAAAGTGGCTGAAAGGGCCCTGCGCCGGGGCCAAAAGGCAGCAGGAAATTGAGGTCAAGGCTCCAAAGCAATTTTCAGAGTTCAGCACAGAGAAAAACAGTTAGATCCAGACAAAATCAAGTCTGCTGGATGCCCTTTCCAGGGTCACCTTCTTCCCTCTCCTTGCATTCCTGCCCCCATCCTGAGGAAATCAGTGAAAGGACCCTTGGAGAATCCTAAAGAAAAGCTGCAGCAGGTAGAGCAGAGTGTGGAATATTTTGGCCATTATTTGAGAAGAGAAAATGTAAGGATATGCATATGGAATCATGCCTTGAGTTGTATCAAGCACCTAGGATGCGTGAGTGGAACACCTGTCAGACATATTAAAACATGGTGTTTCTTTAAAAAGATTGCTATAAAAGACTTGAATTGAAGGATTTATATATATAATATATATATAAATAAAAAACTATACATATATATAGTTTTAAGTATCGAGGTAGAAGGACAAAGCCCTGAGTTTTGTGTTTGAATTTATGCCGAAGGACTTTTGAGCTGGCACAAAGCCTGTTTGAAATCATTTCTGGCTGCATGTGGGACCAGGAGCCTGTTTGCCTGAATTCAATTGCAAATTAGGGTCTAAAAATGTTAAAAGGAAATGGCCAGGCTAAAACAGTTCTTCATAAAACAGCTACACTTACTTTATTTCATAATGACTGAGATGGATTTAATTAAAAAAAAAATCTCTGGTTTTAACTGAATTAACACTCTCTGTTTACTGTTTTAGCCATTGGGGAAAATGGAAATAGGTTAGTCAGGACTGCTTAGAAACAGTGTTTATTCCTGTGTACGAATGGGGTGCAAAAAATGCCCTAGATTGCTGATACTACAGAGAGTTGGTAGAATCCAGCCAAAATAGTCTATGCAACTGAATTCTTTAAAAAAACGATGGAAATAAATAATGTAATTTTCTGAGAGGGGATTTCTGGGAGAATCTGATGCTCCTCTAATTGCTTTTTTGTTTGATTGTTTGTTTGTTTATTTATTTTTATTCCATTCATCCTCTGCAATTGCAATGAGAATTTGGGAGCAAGATCCTCCCAGATGTGGGATCTGACTGCCTCAAATCCGCAGGAGTTCTCCGTTGTTGGGGAGGAAAGGGTGAGTGGCTTCTGCAATTACCAGCATCAGGACGATGAAAGTGGAAGTTTGAAATGTGAATTTGGAGGCTGGCTGCCGCTSTTCTTTGCAGACAATTCCCACTGAGGTCTGTGGAAACTCATTGGGTGGGGGAAGGCTACTGCAGAATCTCATTTATTTTCCTGATTCACCGCAGCTGCTCCTGTGGAGATGGAGCGCAGGAATCAGTAGCTGAAATGAGAAGCTTTTATTTCATCAGCAGCTTCTCAGGAGACCACGACATAAGATATGAGAGGGATTTTTCCATACTTAAAAGCCAAAGCAAAGCTTTCCCATGGACCCGTGTGCTGGAGACAGAGGCTAACAGTGTCCCTGCAGATCTGGCCGTATATGTTGTCTACCAGCCTGCAGCAGGGCAGCTTCAAATCAGCTACAAAACTCAGGGATGATCTGGTAAAGGATGGGAGGAAATTGTGGGGTGAATGTGGAGCCGTGAGTGGTTTTAACTTCAGGGGCCGGAGAAGCAAAGTTTCAGACCTCAGAGCTGATTTCTGGTCATTCAAAAAAACACTCTTTCCAAGCAGGGGCCAGATGGAGCTGCCTTTCTAGGTAAAGGAACTTGTTTGCCTGTAGCCTCTCTGCGGGGAGATAGTGGCTGTTGAGCACCACTAAATAACCCGGTGTTTCACTGGAGGACAAACAGAGAACATGAAAAGCAGTGACCTTAAATTCAGCTGAGTTTCTCTGCCTTCAGCCTGAAGATTTGTAAGATGGTTCAGAAAACCGGAGAACATTCCTGGGCAGGGTGCTGTGTCGGATGTGAATGGCAGCAGCTGCATTAACTGGTAGCGTGAGGCCAGAGAGATCCCCAGGCCGTTGATGTTGCAGCAAGAGTTGGAAGGAATGCAGTTTGGCACTGCTGTGCCCGGGGGATGGCTCGCAAAGAGCTTGGCAGAGGTTGTTAGCTCAGCTCTAGGGATTGCCTAGAGCTTGCTGCTCCTTCCTGCTGATACTGAGGAATCTTTAGGTAGGGTGTGATTGATTCTGAACTTGATTTATTTATAAAATCCTTATTTCTTGTGCTGGTCTCYGTGCCTTTTTTTAAATCCGTTTGTCTGTCAAGGTGTCTAAAACTGGAGAATTGCTTTTGGAGTTTTATCAACTAGTCCATCCACTTTTGACATTTATAAGCCATTTATACCATTATATCACAAGRGAGAAAACTTGCCACTACTTAGGGAAAGCTTCTTTGTGGCACCTCTAGCAAGAGCAGCCCATGGGATCGGAGTTTATTTCTTTGAGGAGTTCCCAAGTTCCTTATCTTGCAGAGATGGGTATGGGGGGGATTTTCCTCCCCTTGCAGGCATCCTGGGGCAATTGGCTTTGAGCAGGACTAATTTCCTGGGACCCCAGCTGGAGGCTGGGTGGTCCTCTGGCTCCTCTTGCTTGTATAGGGGGTGGTTTCTGCTGCCAACTTCCTGGTGTGAAGGATTTGGTGTGGTTGACCCGTTGCTCTTCTGTGACTGGGAGCACTTGTCTGTCTGGGATCTCTGCTTTGTGTGGTCTTAGCTCTATCACGCTCAAGAAAGGAGAGTATTACTTAAAAGAATCAATTCTAGCTTTGGGTAGTGGAGGCCAAAAAGGGCTCACTCAGGTGGGTACAGCAGACACTGCCTTGTTGATCTGATGGACAAGAATATAAGCTCTCAGCTCTCACCTCTTCCTCTTTCTGCAAACCCTAAGTGATCTGAGTTCTTCTCCTTTGGAAGCAGGAGCTGTAAATCTTGGATCCTTTAGCTTGTGCCTTTCCATCACCRGGGCAGACATGGCTGGGTGCCAAGGAGCCATTTAAGGGTTGTTCCCAGGCCACACTGACCCTGCTCTGCCAGGAGAGAGATGGGGAAGAGATACTTCTGCGATTACTGTGACAGGTCCTTTCAGGACAACCTTCACAACCGGAAGAAACACCTCAATGGAGTACAGCATCTCAGGGCCAAACGAGCCTGGTATGACTTGTTCCGAGGTGGGTACCACCAAGTGTCTGCTGCTTCCTTTCTGAAACCGGGGAGGTGACAGACAAGGCTGGAATGGGTGGAGGGGGAGAGCAAACTGAATCAGCACAGGTAATTCATATTCAGAATCGTGTGTGTGTCAATGAATTCTGGGCTTGCTGCCTCAAAGGCAGAACCCTCATGTAACTGGATCTGGAAGTAGGAATCTCTGACAGCAGCTGAGACTTCAAATGAGGTGGAAGAGCTTAGGAGATTCCTCTGAGAGCAAAAGCTGCAGAGGAGGGTCTCCTGGCAGCAGTGGCAAATCTGAGAGGGGAGACCTGACAGAACTAAATGAGCTACAGCTTGTGGAGGCAAGTTAGATGTTCCTGCAAACTAGAGGCTACCTCTGACATGAGGTRCAGGGTAGGGTTTGTGGAGTCCTTGCCTTTCTATTGTGTTGCTTTTCTCCCTTGGATGGGGATGAAGCATCAGCAAACAAGATGATATTTGCAAGCTAATGAAAGCTGAAACCAGGGAGTGCAGATAGAGAGTGTTAATTATTGTGGTGGGTTTTGTTTTGTTTTTCTCCTCTAGCCAACTTTTCAGTTGCTTTCTTGGTTATTGTGAAAAATGACATTCTGTGAGGCCTCTGACCTGTGGGGGCCGTACTGTGGTATGGTAGGGGGGTRGCACACGAGATCTTCACGCTGTTCCATGTTTGTCCTTTGTCTCCCSCAGATGCTGCTGCTATCCTGCAGGAGGAACAGAGCAAGAAACCTTGTCGGAAGTTCCTGCAGACAGGTCAGTTCTTCTGAGGTAGAAATAACTGCCTGAGCTGCAGCAGCAACTCTGTGAGCTAATTGAGGGTGTTTCTGAAGAACTTTAGGGTGTGTGTGTGTGTGTGTGTGCCTATCTAGAAGGGAATGAGGGGGCTTGGGCTTGTGTCCTATGTTCAGGGGGAATGACTCGGTCTTGATTTGCATGAAGAGGCTCTTGTGTTTGTGGCTCTTACATAGCTGTGTGGCTTCTGTTCCAGGACAGTGTGATTTTGGACCTAACTGCAGGTTTTCCCACATGACAGAGCAGGACCTGGAGAAGCTGAGTGCCCAGGTGCGAGGTGAGTCCTAGAACAAGAAGATGTCCCAGGATCTCTGGGGGAGTCTCTGGGGGAGTGACTTTGCAGCTCTTTGCAGGGCTGCAAAGAGSTGCAGGAAAGATTGGGCAGTGGTTTGTGCTGTACACGCGCAGCAAGCTGAGCATGATCCCTCCTGTCAGCCTCTTACTGCCATGTGAGCCTGTGGCATGGCTGCAAGTGCTGCAGTTTTCCACATGCATTCTGTTCTTTAGCCGCTCGTGGAGACACAGGCATAAAGTAGCCGAAGAACAGAGCCACTTGACAGCGAGCATGTGAAGCCGAGTGGGATTTCTGAGCCCTGAGGATTCTGCTCAGTCAGGGAATAAAATCTGTCAGCAGCAGAGGGCACTGGTACCTCGTTTCCCCTGAAATTTATAGATTTGATTTTCTGCTGTACCACTAGTGTTACCTGGAAACTACTGCTTGCACTCTTGGGAAGAGTYAGACAGCTATGAGTTGGATTCTTCTGAGGAAAGGATATGGGGCCATGAATCCAGAAATAGCCTCTGTTTGTGTGGCTTAGCATGGACCTGAAGTTCACGCAGAAGATGACAGGCACCTTATGCCCTGCTTGGAATCTGTCTTTTGGACTTCTGTTCTTTGCCATGGGAGGACAGCCTCTTTGGCCTAAAAGGAAAGACAGCTCTATTTTCAGGATGATGTTTGCTTCGGTGGTTGGAGAAACTATGAAGGAGGTGTTGGTGATATTGTGAGGTGTTATTATTGAGTGGTAGAGATTGGAAGGGGCTCCTGGAGACTGTGTAGTCTAATCTTTCTGCTCAAAGTAAAGTCACCTAGAGCAGATTGCTCAGGACTATGTCCAGTCTGTTTTTGAATGTCTTTAAGGATGGAGCCTCCCTGGGCAACTTGAGTATTTGACCATCCTTAGCATTAAAAAGGAAGAAGAAAAAAAAATTAAAAAAATAGAAAAAAAAMCCCACACCTTTTTCTTGCACTTAAATGGAATTTTCTGTATTTKGATTTATGCCTATTGCCTCTCATCTTTTTAGTGAGCACGACTGAAAAGAATGTCTCTATCATCTTTAGTCCCAGATACTTACACACATTGATAAGATTTCTCATCAATCCTCCCTGTCTCTAGGAAAAATGTCCCCTGCTTTCYCAGCATCTCCTTCTATGACAGAGGCTCCAATCCCCAGTCATCTTCATGGCCCTTTGCTGGACTCGCTCCACTGAGTCTGTGTCTTCCTTGTACTTGGTGGGCTGAATACTGGGCATAGCCCTCTCCTTCTGGCCTCATCAGTGTTGAGCAGAGAGGAGAAATCACTTCTTTTGACCTTCTGGCAATGCTCTGCCTGGTGCAGCTCAGCTCACGAGCCGATTTCTTGCCTGTGCACCTGGCCAAAACYGAATATTGTTTGCCAATAGCCTGGCAAGAGCAGCCTGTAGAGAGTGTGTTTGCGTGTGTATGCACACGTGGAGAATTTGAAGGCAGGTGTTCAGTGATTCCTTCTCGACCTTTGACGGGATTAGGCAGGGAGGAGGCAAGGCTGAAAGAGGAAGGAGGAGAAGATGCTACAGAACTCTCCCGGCCCTCACAGCTGCTGAACTGGTGTGCAAATCCCCAAGGCAACTCCATGATTGTTGGACAAAGCTGGTCAATAAAAACTGTCTAGCTGGGCTGCATGGGAAGCGGAGCTCCCTGGTGAGCCCCTCCAGAAGAGAGGGTGCCAGCCCCACCACTTCTCCCTGAGCCTGTCCCTGAGCCTTCCCCGCTGCTTGGTGTAAGTGCTGGCTCCAGGGATACGACAGGGGAAGCTGGGCTTTTCACAGGAACTTGTGGAGTTTCCAGCCATTGAAGGCTGGTTGTTGCAGGAAAAGGGAAAGCTCCTTGGAGCGGAGCAGAGCTGCAGGCCAAGGGGCTGGCAGGCGCTTCCACTCTTGGGCAGACTTTTTTGCCAGCTACACTTGTTGTTGCTTATTGACTCCTGTCAGATGGGTCTTTTGTAGTGGAGAATTGGCTAGTGAGACTGCTGATTCCTGGGAGATTATCTGGAAATCTTGCTTGGCTACTTGCCTTTATAGTACCAATTCAAACATTTAATTAAACAATTACACTTGAAGGAGCGGTGGCCAGGGGACAGCAGGGTGTCTCGTTCCTGGCTGCACTAGCTAGAAGAGGAGCACCTGGTTGTTGAATCAAATCCTGCTCGCCTGTCACATGGTGCTGTTCCACGAGAGTGCTGCGTGAGCCACGTGAGCTGGCTGAGGACCACGCAGCCCTCCAGATCTGCTCAGCTGAACCCAYGGAGAGCTCGAAGGGCTTTGGTGGAGAGAAGAGCTCAGCAGGAGGTGGTGGAAAGAGGTGGAGTCCATAATGTTGTAGGGTAGCCAGAATGGACGACTGCAAAGTGCCAAGGTGCCGTTAGATGTGTCACGAGGCCTTTCTGCCATTCCTGGAGCTATTGAGGCACCTGCTTCTCAGATGGTGAGGCTTAGAGTAGGATTTAGGGAAGATGATGTGGTGGCAGGAGGGATTACAGGTTACATTAGCCATACAGGAGGCTGTTGATCCTTGTAGCSTGTCTGTCAGCTACCTCCACAAAGGATGTCCTTATATACATTAACATCTAATCCTGGTGTTTTTGCACTACAAGGCATCACAGGCAGCTGCTGGTGACATGACACAGCGCAAAGGAGACCAGCGACCTGGTTCAAACTGCCTCCTCCTGAATCRCAATGTCCTCAGGGATTTCTTGTCCGAATACTGTTCTGAGGCTGTGGTGCCTGGGTGGTTCTGGCAGCCTCACAGCCTGGGGGGGTCTGGCTGTGCAGCTTGGGWTCTGAGGTGAGCTGTGGCTGCAAGGTAGGAGAGCCTGAAACCTCCTCATCCCACTGTCCGCTTTGTGCAGAGCCTTGAGTGACCAAGTGACCAGGATGGTGACACTCTGCCTGCGACAGGGTTAAAGAGGGCAGTTTCTTAGTGGGTCACTACCTTGCTTTTAGCATTTGGCCATTTTAACGCAGGCAATTCATGGCACTGTTTGTGTTCGCCTTTTGGGTTAAATGGGAAAAAWTCTGGGCCATTTGTTGCTTTAAATTAGCTCATGACTTACCTTGATTGAGCTTTGGCAATTCTGTGTCCCCCTGCAATATGAAGAAGCAATAGTTTCCACCTTCGACAGGGAGGGAGGCAAGTTCCCAGCTACGAGTGCATCTGCGTGTTAGTCTTTTGCATCTGCTGCATCATTCATCAGTGAGGCTCTTCCAGACTGTCATTTTAAGTACAGTCATGTCAGGAAAAGTCATTGTAAAATTAGCGTCTGCTCGCTTAAAGTTATTGGCTCCCCACTAACCTGCGTCACTTCTGCCTGTAGTACTGACCCAGGCTGCCCTCTTTGGTTAGCCCTGGACAGGCAGAGGTGTCAGGGAGAACAAGGGTCCGTCTCGGTGAGCGTTTGCCAGGTATTTGTGCCATTCGGAGTGTGTGAGCAACCCTGCTGGGAGTAAGTGATGTCGCCCAGTTAGACTTGGCTATGAGCTGGACAAGGAGGGCTCCTACGGTCAGATGCTGCTTCTTGCCTGTGGGGCCGTAACTTTGGAAGCCCCTTGTGTTGAGAACCTCATCAGGACCTCTTCTGAGAGCACCCCAGGAGATGTGGAGGAGTTGGGGCTGCTTGGGGAGGGAGACAGGGTTGCACGTAAAGGACTCCGGAGTGACCTGCTCAGTGCTGAAGACCAAGGTTCTGGCCTGGACCTTCCAACATACATCTTCCTGAGTGAGACACCACTGTATCTTGGTACCTTGGATACAAGAAGCACTAATGCTAAAAGTTGCATGAGGAGAAAAGATATATCTAGATATATCTAGATTCCCACTCGGGTGTAATTAGAGAGACACCCCATTGGCTACAGCCGCTCTTTGAATTGGCTGTAGCTACACTCTGAAGCAAACACCCCAGCGAGAGGGAGCAGATGGTGCCTTTGCACCTGCCTGGCCGCTGCTGCTGCAGCCTGACTGCCCACACCATGATTTTTGCATGGATTAGGGGCTGCTAGTTGTGTTTCAGGATTAGAGCCTGGATTATCTAACGACTTTCAGGGAGCATCTCCAGTTCTGGTGAGTTTGGTAGTCCCAGGGGCACGTGTGCTTCAGAGGAAGGTGAAGTGAGAGATCTGCCTTTTTCGTAAGCACGTGTCAAGGAGCGTTGAGCCAGCACTTCCCATTTCTACTCACTTATTTCTGTGCCGGAGGCTTTGGAGCAGGAACTCGTGGATCTGAGTGAATGGGTAGCCAGCTGGATGTGTTTCCAATCTGAACACCTGGAGCCTCCTCTAAGCCAGCACCAAACTGGCCTCTTTCCACCACAGACAGTAAGCTCAGGAGGTGCTGAGAGGCGCAGCTGGGGCTGCGCGAGGCTCTCGCCTGCCTCTGGTGGAGAACCTCAGGGACAGGTGAGTCCCAGCTCTGAATGGAGACACTTTGGCAGAGTCTGGGGCATAAGGTGGAATGAAATGAGAATGCCAGTAGTAGGTAAAAGGGGGAGAGTTTTTTGTCTATGATTTCTATCTTCCTGAACCACTTCCTGGACCACTTGTCCACTCACAGAGATAGGACGTGCCTTGGTTGCTCACTAGTTGAAGAAACRTGGGACACAGCTGCTGATCGGAGCCAAGTGTTAGTTTAGTTGACCCCCGAATAGCTTTGCTGAGGCTTTTCTCCTGCAAGTGAAAGTAGGAGACCTAAACCAGGCTGTCTCCTGCCCAGATCCTCATCGCTGGCTTACCGAGCAGTACATGGGCCACAAGGACTGCAACCAGCCTCTTCCGCGGTGGCAGGGACAGTGTTGTCACCCCCCGCTGCAGCAGCAGATGAGAAGACCAGATGACGAATTATCCATCTCCGGCTGCTCATTGTGTAGCACGTTGCCGCCATCCTCATTAATATTCAACAGGCAGATGAATAATTGGTTGCCACCACTAGAATGAAGTGATCCCTCACTCTGCCCAAGTAATATTAATTTCACACCCTGTCTGGAAATGTCTAATATTTTGCTTACGCGTGTGATACATGTCAGGGAGGTGGGCAGCAGGCTCCTGGTGATRGTGGCTGTAGGTGGCTGTCACCAGTGGTGGCACTGCCAGCGGGCCGTGTCCCAATGGGATCGGGGTTCCCCCAAAGTGCTTCTCCCTGGAGAGCTGGAGGACTGGGGCACAGGGGAATGGCACACAGCTACTTTGACTTACTTTTTATTTATATGAGTGTGTATGGGTTAGTTTGGGKTTTTTTTTATTTTTAAATTAGCATCGTATTCCTTTTTGCTAGGTGGGAACTTTCCAGCAGCCGGGAGTTTTAACATCCCCGAGCATTTCCAGCCAGCGCTGCCTTGCATGCTGTCAGGAACACGGCTGTGTCATTTGTGTCAAGGACGAGTGCCAGAGCCTGGGCTGTGCCAGCAGCCCTTCCTGCAATCCCAGTGGTGTCAGGAGGGACTGCACTGGTGACTTTGCTAGCTGGACAGTCGGGAATTTGTGCACTGGGGGAGGAATGGAGCTTCTCCTCGCTGGCTCTGTGCTAGTCTGCTGGGAGAGGACAGTCTCAAGGACAAGGCACTTGGGGCCTCTGCCTACCTCGCAGAACAGCTCCCTGCAGCCCCGCTGGAGATGTGTCGGGGTCACAAGTCTGAAAGCACCTGTGGCTGCTGGATGTTTCTGTTGACAGCCCTGTCTCCTGGGAGGTGCAGGGGGTTTTTGCAACACACGTGGAACAAGTGTGGGCAGGCAGACATTTCCTCCCCGCCTCGCTGCGCTGCCCAAGCGCTGGGGCTGCTGCTGGGGTTCTGCACCGTGCCCAAACAGGGCTGGGTCTCTGCGGGAGCTGAGGTTGCATCACACAGAGTGTGCCTTAAGTGGATTTGACAGCGTCTCTGAAATCCAATGTCTTGGTTGCACCGCGCTCYGAACCTTTCAGGCTCTCGTGCCTGCCAAGTCTATATCGACCGGCACTTCCGTCCCTGTGATTCCCCCCTCGCTGGACCATGGTCCCAGGGTGCTTCCTGCCAGTTGGAGGGACAGCGCTTTGGACGGTAGGCAGGGCCCAGGGCCAGCAGAGGCTGTGTGCTTCAGGCAAGGGTGAGGATGATGAACCCAGGGGCAGATCAAGCTGCCCTCTATTAAGTGCCGAAACTGCTGCCCTGGTTGCTGGCTTGGTTCTCCTTCCCTGGCTGTGGCAGCCAAGCAAGGCCAAGCAGTAGATGGTGGCTGGGCAGGGGAGGAGGAGCAGCTACGATGAGCAAATTACACACTCACAACAATAAGAAACTACATGGTGTAACGAGCAGCAGGTTTAGTGGAGYGAGAGGACTGCCGGGTGAGTGTCTGATAACCCTTTCTCAACTAGGGGAGCAGCAACTGAAGGAGCTGCGTCAGGAGGGAGCGGATGTCCCGCTTGGCACCATCGAGGACTGGCTGGAGAAGAGAGCAAAGAGATTGAGCGCAGCCCAGAATAACAGGTACTGGTGGCTGGGGAGCGTTTTTGCAAGGGCTCTCTGCCCCTTCTGCTCGCCTGTGCAGCAGGGATCCTACTGGAGGTGGTGGGAGAAGGGAGCAGGAAATCGGAGCCTGCTGCCCGCCGCAGTGGGACCTCATGAGCTGTCACTAACACTCAGCCTGCCAGAGCGCTGCACCTGCCTTGACCCACACGCTCCCAGATGTGCCTACAAATCCRGCCCTGATGCGTGTGCTGGAGATGTGGGCATGTGTCTCCCTGCGTGCCGGGTGAGGAGCCAGGCCACGCTGCTTGCGGCGCAGCGCGGGCAGAGTGATTCTCCAGTGCAGAGCGCTCAGAGACGCCTGGAAGGACAGGGCCACCGTGATGCTCAGTTATTAACGTCTCCCTGCTACCATCCAGTGACAGGAGCCTGGTCTCATCTGTTGACAGCTTCCYCATCCTCTGCATGCCCTGTCTGCACGTCTCTGCCAGTCCCAGCTTTCTCCTTTGCCAGTGAGAGGGTGGAATTAGCTCCTCCTCGTGGCTTTCGAACGCCTACTGGTGCCTGCTGCTTTTTTTTGCTCACCTGACTGTGCCGCAGGCTTAATTGGATGACATTTGGGCAGGTGCCAAATCTCTCTTTTGTTCTCTTTCTGTTTGCCCCTGTCCTCTCTTGTGTTTGGTCTGAGCAGGATCTTCCTTCTGGTGTCTGTCTGGGCTTGTTGCTTTCTGCTCGCTCCATCCATCAGCTTGGCTGCCCTTAGCCCTGCCAAAACGCCTCTGACAGCAGCAACCGTCCTACCCCCTGTGCCCTTCACTTGCCCCGTTCTGCTTGTCTTAGCCTTGGAGACTCACTCAGAGAGCAGCTCTGTACCCAGCAGACTCACCAGTCCTTTGTAACCGTGTGGTCTTTGCATCCTCCATTCCCGAAAGACCTGGAATTTCTTGGGTTGTTTCTTGTTACCCAGCTTCTCAGCACCGGCTGCCAGCAGTCAAAGGCTGGCCTCCCCAGCATCTGTCTCTACCTGGTGCTCCMGGCCCTGACATTGCCCTTCGGAGCAAATAATGAATTTAGCTTTGGCTGCCCAAGAGCTCCCTTAACACTACCAGAGAAGAGAGGCTGTTTCAGGGGAGTTCCTTCTGCAAATGTTTTCTAAGGGCAGGTAGCTCCCTGCCCTGTGCAGTCCTTGAGGTGCCCGAGATGCAGCAGATCTCTGGCAGGATCTAACAGTGCTTTAGGGGTATGTGGTTGGGGAAGATAGAGTCCAGGTGCTACCCTATCTGGCTGGTAACTTCAGGGAAGGCTGTTCGTCTGCACCAAACAGGAGCAAGAACACTCTTGGGAGCAGGCAGCTCCTAAAGAAGATGAAGGGGCGCTGGAAACCCAGTTCTGTCTTCCCTGGCAGCACCTAGTGGAAGGGATTCAAGCCAGGGTGGAAAAAACTCCTGGAAGCACCGCGCGCCGCTTCCAAGCAGCGGTAGAGAAGCTGCTGCTGCTGCTGGTGACAAGCTGCAGATTGTGAGCAGATCCAAGTCCCTGCCCCTGCCTCGTGGGGACTTTCTCACGGCAGATCTGGCAGTGTTGGCAGGTGGGAGGCGCCGTCCCCGCGCGGCTCTGGGTGCGCTGCAGGGCCACCAGTACCGCGCACTGGGCGCTCTGCGGGCGCGGGGCCAGGGCGGCTTCAGGGCAGCGGCTTCTTAAAGGTGCTGCCTTCGGTGCTGTCTTCTGTCATGCAAGTGAGCCCTGTGTGTGGAAACCTGCGTGGCCCTTCCCGCAGCCCAGCTCGCTTTGGGGGACAATCTTCCCCTGGGAGGCTCCACCTGATCCTTGTTCCCAAAGCTGTGCAGCACCACTGTTTTCTGAGGAGCTGGGATGGAGTTGGAYGGAGTCCGTGAGGCGCTCATAGTGATGGAGCTCTGCCAGGGCCCAACTGATTTTTTTCTTAAAGTTGATTTCTGAAGGAAGCAGAACCCATCAGCACAGCTGAGCGCCCCTGCCATAACTGCCTTGGAGAGCACCGGTGATTTCAGCCGCATTGCAACGGTGGGTGGGGAGCTGAGGCCTTGAAGATGCCAAGTTACTACAGCTATTCCTGAGGACAGAAGCAGGTAGAGCAGAGAGATCCCATTAGTGTCCCTCAGAACATGAGGATCTTTGATTTACTGGCAAATCCACTGGGATAGCCACTCCGGATGCTCCAGCTGCAGTTAAACTTTTTGAMAGCCCTTATGCCCTTGCAGGTCCTGAGGAGTTGATGCCAGCCAGCATCCTCCCTACTGCTTAGCTCTGCTGCCTGCAGAGCAGCCCCTTCATTGACATAATTGAGAGCTGGGGCTTGGTGCTGCCCGACTTGTCCAGCTGCTGCCTCCTGCCAGTAGGCCAGTGTGGAACCAAAGGGATGTCCTGCCTCGAGGAGAACCCCTGCCCAGGGCATTCCGGCAGGCTGGTGTTCAGGTGCGGAGGGTCTCCGCTGCGGGGGCTAAGCGCCCGCCCAGGTGACTGCGCCGGGGYGGGAGCTGGGCTCGGCGAGCAGAACTGGCGTCCAGCCACCGCGCCGGCTCTGCAGGGAGGAGCAGAGTGCCGCTTCTCCAGAGCGTTATGCAAAGGCATCTGATTAGTTTTCTCCTGGCGTAACAATTAAAAAGATCCATCAGGATCGCTGATAGAGACCAAGGAGCTGGAGAGCTGCTGGCACGGCTTGCACTAAAGGGAAGAAAAAAGAGCATTCGTGTGCTGAGGAATTGATGGTAAAGGTCCATTTCCCACTGATTGAAACCTGCCCTGTCTGGTCATGCTCCCCAGCTAGAGGCTCCCTGCTTTTTTGCACCTCTTCATTCCTACATGATGCTTGTAGCAGCTTGAGGTAATTGCAGAGAGAGCAAGTGTCTCCCAGGCTGCTGGCAGGAGRAGGAAGTCCCTTTCCACTCGGTTAAGGGCATTAAGGGCGCTTGGGTGAAACTCTCCTCCTCCCCCTCCCTTCTGTCCCCCCTGCATTGGTTTGGCAAGTTCTTTCTTCCAAGGGGTTCTTGTCCTTTGGAAAGTCCACGGCTGCCTTGGACTTTGGGCTGGAGSTGGGGGTTCCCTAAACAGTTCTGCTGTTGGATCTGAGGGGGAAATAGCTGTCTGTGGCTAATCAGAACCATCCTCTTACAGGATGCCCCTAGACCCTAGCAGGACAGTGCTTTCCATGGGAGACAACCACGGCTAACCCCTCTCTCCTCTCCCGCTTTCCACAGCTCTCTCCCCGAAAAACCGGCACCTTTCCAGTACCCTCTGGGCTGGCCGCCAGTGCAGGAGCTGCCGCCGTCGCTGCAGCCGCCCCCGCCGGGGGGCTGGCTCCTCCCGCCCGACCTGCGCTGGGGCTGAGGTGCCCCAGCAGCCCTCTCCTCTGCTCCTGGARAGGAGGTATTTTGCAGATGCTTTAATATTAATAAAATGTTTTCTGTGCTACAGAGCGTGTGGCGTGGGATATTTCTCTTCACAGCCTCCCCTGGGCTTAGGGGCTGGTGCTACCAACAAAGAGCTCGAGGATCTGCCCTTAGCCCCGTGATCCCGCTCCCTTGCTGCTGAAGGGGAAAGTGGGGCAGAGAAGTGATTTTAAGGTTTCCCTTTCTCCGGGAAACTAAGTAAAAAGAGTCAGTGCAATCTCTCTTCCCCAGCATGCAGCAAAGGCAAGGGAGGGACGAGCTTGCTCCGCTCCACCCGAATGCGAGGGCGATGCCAGCCTGGAGCGTGCCACAAGGGCCGCTCTCCCCGGGCGGCACCGGCGGCAGAGCTGTGTGCCGCGCCAGGGCCTGGGAGCGGTGACCGCGCAGGGCTGCAGCCTGGCCAGCGCTGTGAGCAGGAGAACCTGCTTGGAGGCCCCAGCTGGGGCTGCTGCCAGCAGCGCTGCCGGCCCCGCCGAGGGCCTGTTCCCCTCGTTCCTACTCGTTGAGGTACGAGTGAGGTCCCAGTGGGCCTGACCCTAGYGGCATCTGTCCCCTTTGCAGATCCCTCTGCATCAGGCACAGCCTGAATCCCATGCMCCTCCTGAGGATCTCACCTGGGGCCACAAGCCCCGAGGATCCAAGGCTGTCGATGTGGATGCTGCTGCAGCTCTTCCTCGCTCTTGCCAGGAGAAAGCTCAACTCCCCTCAGCAGCTTCAATATGGGGCAATAAACCATAAAACCTCCTGCCAGTGGGTTCCTGCCCCAGCTACATGGCAGAGTCCCAGGCTGCTCACGGCAGCTGGGGTTTCAGTTAAAAAAAAAATGGTTTTTTTTTTCCAGTAAAAGCCCACRCAAGCGTGTGTCGCAGAGGGCCCCCTGGGCAAGCTGAGCACTGCCTGTGGCCCCCCCGGCCCCTGCAAGCACCTCTACGGAGAGAGGCTCCTGACAGAGCCCATCAATTACTCTTTTTACAGCATTTTGTGTAGCTCAATGGCAGGAGACSTGGCGGAGCTGTGAGCTGCTGCAGGGCTGGCCCCCGCGATGGGGTGGCCGGCAGCTCAGGCTTCCTTTGGCGAAGGCGCCCCGGGGCTGAGCAGCCCGGAGCGGTGTCACCTCCCCCTGTGCGGGGTCYGGGGGGGCCCCCAGCAGCACAAGGCCGTCAGCGCTGGCGGGAGCCCAAGTGCCTTTTGCGGAGCGGGAGCAATTTGTCAGGAAGCTTTTAGGGAAATGAGCAACTCCTGGGGCCCTGCCAAGGCGCAGCCCCGCTGGGCTCTGCCCCATGTCCTCTGGCAGCTCTTGCAGGGAGAGCAACGGGGATAGGGACATGTATGGAGACAGAGATGGAGATAGGGATAGGGACAGGAGTGGTGACAGTGAGAGGGATGGGGATAGGCATGGGGACAGGGACAAGGATGAGGATGGGGTAGGCGCAGGGATGTGGATGGGGACAGAGATGGTCATGAGAAGAGGCAATGGGGATGGGGACAGGGAGAGTGGCAGAGACAGAGATGGGGATGGCAATGGGGATGGGGACAGGGTTGGAGACAGTGAGAGGTATGGGGATGAAGCAGAGATGGGGACAAGGCAGGGATGGGGATGGGACCAGGAGTGGTGATGGAGACATGAATGTGGACAGGCACGGAGATGGGGATGGGGGCAGGAACATGAATGGAGATGGAGCTCAGGCCAGGGCCACACAACCCACTYGACGCTGCTGAGGGCCAGATAAGCAAAAATAACCTTTTCCAGCCTCAATCTTTTTCTCTTCCTGCCCCAGGAGGCCGGTCATCAACACGGAAAACCCGTCCGGGCTGGGACTTTTCTCCTGCACAGCTCTCTCCGCCCAGGGACCAGCCACCATTTCCCACCCATCCTGCCTCAGCCCACCAGCGACCACAAGACTCCATTGCTACTACAGTGCCTTTAAAACATTTATTTATTTATTTATTTATTGCCTGTCAAGCATTTAATGAAGCCAGCGTGGCACAGCCCCACTTGGCAGTGCCTGCTGTGCCAAGCGGCTGCAGCRGAGCCAGCACCTGGGGAGCGGGAGCTGGAGCCCCCAGGCTCTCCCCGCCCAAAGCTGCTCCAGATAGTTTTGAATCAGGAGCTGAGATTTCCAGACCTGCCTGAAGAAATCTCCTCTCCCAATTCCCATTAAAATTAATCGAGCGCCTTTGAAAAGCTGAGCTCGGGGGATCATATTATTCCTTTTATCTAATTTTTCTTCTATGTCATTGTATTTTCGCCCAAATTAAATCGTCCTCTTTTTTTTTCTTTTTTTTTTTTTCCTTTTTTGGTTCCTTTTGTTTATTCCCCATGTCTATAATAGACCTGGTTAAAAATATATACGCATCTGCGAGGCCACGTTTTTTCCTTTGAAAACACATCTTAAAAAAATCCAAACTTTACATATAGAGGCGGGTGTGGTTCCCTTGCAGGAGAGGACCCACCCCCATGCTCAGAGGCAGCCGCAGCGATTTCCTCAACCTGGAGAACTTCCCCTTTTCATTTCTCATTTGGATGCTGAGATCGATTTGTACGATAAATGAGAAGAGATTAAAAAATAGCCCAAATTGATGATCCCCCTTGCCCTCCAGGGCCACCGAGTATCTCCATTTCCCAGCAGCGGTGCGGGGCAAGTGGCGCCAACGGATTGCAGCAGTCACAGCAAGTGATGCCTCCAGCTGTGCCCCTGCTTCCATTTGRGGCCAAATCAAGCCTTTCTGCAGATCTTGCTCTGCAGGTCTGCTGAGGGTCCCCTGCAAGGGCCCGTAGCGGGCGCTGGACACGTCCTGGATCTCCTTGGGGTGATTCAACTGGCAGTTATCTCTGGCTGCCCTCATTCTGGGTCTCCTGGAAGCACCTGTTCTCCATATGGAAAGGCAGACATGGGATGAAGGAGTTGCAAAGTGGCCCCAATGCCCCAGGACATCCAGTGTGAAGGCAATCTGCTCACTGCTGGTGCTCCCAGATCACTTTTTCCCTGTTTAGGTTCTAAGTTACCATCAAAGGATTCAGCAAAGTGATTCATCCTTTCCATACTTCTTGGGAATGGCACAGAATGAGCAAGGTTGGAAGGGACCATTCCAGTCCAACCTCCTGTTCAAGCAGGGTCACCTTGAGCATGTTGCTCAAGACCATATCCGGGTGAGTTTTGAATATCTTCAAGAACAGAGACTCCATAACCTCTCTGGGCAACCTCTCCCAGTCACCCTTCCAGTAAAGAAGATATTTACTCACGCTCAGATGAAGTTTCCTGCGTTTCAGTTTGTGCCCATTGCCTCTCACCCTATTGCTGGGTACAGCTGAGAAGAGTCTGGCCCCATCCTCTCTACACCCTCAGTCTTCTCCAGGCTGGATGGGCCCAGCTCTCCACTGGATTATTTCCAGTAAAGTCTTGTACTGGGGAGCCTGACACTGGGCACAATCCTCCAGATACGGCCCCATGGGGCTGAGCAGAATGGGAAGATCACTTCCTCCCATCTCTTCCTACTGCACCTCAGGATACCATTGGCCTACTTGGCCGCAAGATCACTTTGCTGGCTCATGTTCGCCTTGTTGTCTACCAGGTTGCCCAGGTTCTTCTCCACAGAGCTGCTTTCCAACAGGTCAGTCCCCAATCTCTCCTTGTACCTGGGGTGATTCATCCCTCAGCACAGGACCCTGCATTGCCTTTGTTGAATGTCAAGAGGTTCCTCTCTGCCCATCTGTCCAAGTCACTATGAAGAGCAGCACAGCCCTCTGGCGCACCAACTGCTCCACCCAGCCCAGCCTTGCCCCTCTCCAGCTGCTCCATGAACGGGGAGTCATAGCAGCCGAAAGCTTCTCCAGCCACAGGAGACCACAGAGGAGRTTGGGAAGAATCATGATGGACTGACCAGCTTTATCAAGCATTTGCCTTGTATGTCAAGACATCTGGCCATGGGGACACAGAACAGCAGGACAGCAGCACACATTGCACACTTTGGCCTTACTTACCCTTGCTAGGTAAGCAGGGCCTTTGACATGGTCTCCTGTAGTATCCTGTAGTTATAAGGCACTAAGCTATAAGATCCTGTATAAGACAGTAAGGACTGTAAGATGGGTGGAAGAGCGCCTGGGCCACCAGCTGGTAGCTGGTTGCTCATGGTGTCAGTCAGAGAAGGGCATTGGGTCTAGTGCTGCACAGAGATGTTATTAGCAACCCAGACACTACACGCTTGCACCAAGACTGTGGGTGACACCACATCTGTAGGACAGGGTGCCCAGGGTGCCTTCACATGAGGAGTGAAGTTCCAAGGACACTTCCCTGGGTGCATGGGGAGCTCACACAGAGCAATGTCCTGAGCACTTGGGTCAAAATCTTGAGCATCTACSCAAGGTCCTGAGGAACTGGTCAAGGTCCAGGACATCTGGGCAAAGATCTGAGTCCCTGGGCAAGGTCTTGAGTGACTGGGGCAAGGCACTGAGCAACCGGCTCTGCTGAGCATCCCTTTGGAGCTGAGATGCCCCGAGGCCCCTGCTGATGGCATTGAGCCCAGCCCTGTCTCGCAGAGCTCAGCTCGCGCCGAGCTCCTCTCACTGAGTACCCAGACACAGAGACCCTGAGCGCTGCCTGCCTTGCACCGCACAGACCCGCCCAGCTCCAACGGCCCCCACGGGCCCTTGTTTCCTCGAGGCTGGGCTCTGTCCAGGGCCACCCGGTGGGACCAGAGAGCCGAGGGGAAGGAGCCTTGGTGCTAACGCATTCCTTTAATCTCTTTGCTGTTGAAAAGGCGTGATTTGGGGCAGCGGGGGGGGGTTACGTGCATCCTCCCCGCCACCGTGCCCACCTGCCCGGCCTCCCAGCGCTCCAGCTCTCCCTGCCTGCTGCTCTTGCCGCCCTTCTCCTGGCGCTGGGAATTCGCTGCTCTGGCCAAACAGGGCCCCTGGCAATGGCCCTTGGGAGCCCCCCAGCACGGCTGCTTTGGGAAGTGAACTTTGTCCATTTGACAGGCAATTTGGGGATTTGCTCCATATGAGGGGGGCTGGGACAGGGAAGCTGCAGCTGGGCAGCAAGTCACGGCCGTTTGCAGAGCTGGCACACGGTGGGAGCACTGCAGAGCCGGTCCCAGCGTGGCAGGAGGAACTGGGGCAGAGACTGGGTTTCCATACGGGGCTGTGGCCACCCTTAGGTCCTCGCTACACCCAACCGGTGCCCATCATCCAGGCCCCCTTCATTCCAGCTCCCTTCATCCCAGCACCTTTCATCCTTGCATCCTTCATCCCAGCACCTCTCATCCTCAACACCTTCACCTCAGCAATCGCTATCCCGGGAGCAACATCTCAATCCCGCCCCAGGGTTCCCTCTGTGGCGCAAAGAGCCCAAGGAGTCCAGACAAGTTTAGAAATCCCAGTTTTATTTAGTTTTATTTTGCATCAGAAACAATCAAACAGGAAGAAGGAAGGAAAGAAAAAAAAAAAAAAAGGATGAGAAAAAAACCCAAATCTGAACCAATCTGAGGCCCAGTGGATGCTACATACAGGCTCAGAGGGGAGGGAAAAGGAGGGCCGGGGCGTTTCTGGTGCCTCCTGGTCCCACCAAGGCGCTGCCAGCACCTGGGCTGGCTCTTCCCAGCAGCTTGTCTCAAAGTGCATCAAGCAGAGGTCAGCATCATCAGCCCCATTCCACAGATGGGGGAAACTGAGGCACGGCACAGGCCAGGGGCGGATGGGCAAGGGAGAGAGGTGGCGGCGAGAGGCGAAATCCAGCCCTTGGYAGCGAAGTCCATGCAAACGCTCCCATCTTGATAGAGGAAAGGCCTCAGGCACGCAGGGGTATTGCTTCCAGCACCACGCTGGCTCAGATCATAAATATAGCGACTAGGTTAGTGAGATGTCCAGCGCTTCCCYGTCCAGCTCCAAGGAAGGGCGGCCAGGACGCGGGCTCCATGCACAGTGCATGCACTTGATTTATATCTCGGCAGTTTTTTTCGTGTATGTGTGTGTTTTCTCTGATTTTTTTCTGTTTTTTTTTTTTTGTTTTTTTTTTTTTTTTTTCTTTTTTTTTTTTTTTTTTTTTTTTTTTTTTTTTTTTTTTTTTTTTTTTTTTTTTTTTTTTTTTTTTTTTTTTTTCTCCTTTTTTTTTTTTTCTTGCCTTTTTGGGTTGCTTTTCCAAGTTTACACCTTCTGCAACCAGTCCAGCCAAACCAAAGCAGGCGGCCGAGCTGCTCTGCAGCCACTGTTCCGCTGCTTCCACTCCAGTGATTTGTTTTTTCCCCCTCTTCTGGGACAAAGATAATTTAAATATATATATATATTTATATATATATATATATATATATAAATCTCTCTTGGCAGGGCTGCCCAGAGGCGGCGGGCCCGGGTGTCACTACTTCATGCCGCTGCGCAGCACCTGGTTGGCGGCGATGAGCATGACGCTGATGATGAAGGCGATGGCGAAGGCGCAGATGAGGCTCTTGCGCACGCACGTCTGCCGGATCTGCTGGCTGGAGCAGGCTGCGGGGCCACTCGTCACCRCGGCGTCGGGCCTGCGGCGCCCACCATGCAGGGGCAGGGGCAGGGGAATGTTTTGGGGCAGCGGGGGAGGCACCACTCACTCTCCACGTCCACGGGGCACTCCTGGGCCGTGCCCAGGTGGCTCTCCTCCTCCGTCATGATGATGTTCTCGATGTCCTTCATGGAGAGGTGTTCACAGAATGTCTCGTAGAGCAGCCGCTTCAGCTCGTCCACCGTCAGCTTCTGCATGTCACACTGCAGGAGGGCAAGGGTGGCCTCATGCTGGGGCTACTGCCGGGGGCCACTGCTGGCCCAGGGCAGCTGGGGACCTGGCCTGGCATCTCCGTGCATGGAGCTGTCCAAGGCACCCCTGGGAGCTGCCTTTTGGTTGCACCCCTGCCAAATTTGTGGTGGGCAAATATCTGACCCTGCTCTTGCCTCCCGGCCGCCTTTCGGAGAGCGGGGTCACTGCTGCGGACAGAGGCACTGGCTCCCTGCCCCACACTGTGAGGCTGGCCCCACAGCTCCCACTCAGCCCCAGGCTCCAGCACCTTCCCCTCCATGGGGCTTCCATCGAGCCGAGGGGCCCCACGCCAGCCCCACGCCAGCCCCACTCCGGCCCCACACCTCGCACGCTCCTCCAGCATTCCTGGGCTGGCCTCRGGTTCCCGTCCAGCTCCAGGTTCCTACCCAGGCCTCAAGCCCCAGCACCAGCCCTGGGGCACCCACGCCGACCCCAGAGCTCTCACACCAGCCCCAAGGCTCCTGTCTGGCCTCTGACTCCAGTATCAGGCCCAGGGCTCCCATATAACTCTGGGATCCTGATCCAACAACAGGACTCCCGTACCGGTCCTGGGATCCCTATCAAGCTTCAGACTCCAGCACCAGTTCTGGGGCTCCTGTGCCAACGCCGGGACTCCCGCAAAGGCCCTGGGACTCCTGTGGAGGACCTTCAGATTCCTGTGTAATCCCGGGCTCCTGCAACAGCCCTGGGGCTTCGGCACTAGCTCCGGAGCCTTGCACCAGCACTGGGGTAACTATCCAGTGCCAAGAGCCAACAGCGGCCCTGGACTCCTGCTGAGTCCCACGTCTCCCATGCTGACTCTGGGGCTCTAGCACCGGCCCCAGGGCTCCCATCTAGACCTGGGCTCCTGCACTGGTCCCAAGGCTCCCACACGAGCCCCAGGACTGAGAGTGACACTGGCCCCAGGGCTCCCACATTGGTCCTGGAACTCAGGCTCCTGCTTCCATCCAGCTCCGGGCTCCCACACTGATCCCTGGGCTCCCGGCCTGGCTCTCACACCAGCCCGGAGCCTGTCCCACTGGCCCCAGGATCCCGTGCAGACCACCGCAGGGCACTTGGGTCTCTCCCACCTTCCAGAAGACAGTGTCGAAGTCAGTGCCATGGAACTTCTCCGGGATGCCCGAGGTGGACAGCTTGGGGCCCAGCAGCGTCACGAACTCCTCGAAGTCCACCTGGCCATCACCTGCACRAGGGAGCCGTCACCCTCAGGGACTTGGCCCCAAGGCAGGGGGCACAGCGAGGGCCCGAGCACCACAGCGGCCCTACCGTCCATGTCGAGCCGCTGGATAATGACCTCCAGCTCTACCTCGTTGGGCATGTAGCCCAGCGAGCGCATGGCTGTGCCCAGCTCCTGCTTGGAGATGAAACCGTTGCCATCGCGGTCAAACACCTTGAAGGCCTCGCGGATCTCTGTGGGGAGGAGAGGGGCTAAGCCGCTGCTGCCAGCTCCCAAAGGCCACCCCCAGGGCCCGGGAGGCCCCAAAGATGGACTCGCAGCTAAAGCTTGGCTGCAATTAGCTCTCAGCCCCTCCGCTGTGTGCAAGGGGCTGCGTGCATGTGTGTGTAAAGGGCTGTATGCAATAGATGGTGCATGGGTGAGCAGCTGTGTATGTGCAGGCGTGACGGGCAGCGTGCAAGGGGCTGCGTACCTGCATGTGCAATGAGCTGTGTGATTGCATATGCAGCGAGAGGCGTGCACGGAGCAATCAGCATGTGTGCGCAAGAAGCACGAGCTCGTGTGAGAGGCATCGTGGGCTGCGAGCCTGCGTGCACGGGACTGTGAGTGTGCACGTGCTGTGAGCAGCAAGGATGTGTGCAAGGGGCCCCTGCGGGTCCCAGGCAGGCGATGAGGATGCTCTGTGCAGGTGTGGGAGYGCATGTGTGTGTGTAAGAACAATATGCACACCTAAAGGGATGTGCACAGTGATGGGAGACACAGACATCCCCAAGAGTGGGGCTTGCCCTGAAGTGTCCTGGCCCTGGGAGCAGCAGCACCTTGCTGCACCTTGGGTCGAGGGGCACCTTGCTGCTGCAGCYCTTCACCTGACACCCACTGCATAAATGCCAGCAAGGAGGGACAGAGGGGATAAATCGCGTGACAAACAGACTGTGCAACAGAAGCGGCAATATTACTGCGGGAGCCTTGAGCTGAGGCAGGTGCCAGCGGCTTCGTCCCCCTGCCACTGCAGGCTGACAGAAGGTGAGAGCCAGTTGCACGCACACACACACACACTTGCGTGCACATACACAGTGCTTAGGGTATTGCACACACACACACACACACACACATGCACATACACTCAGCAGGGAGCCTGTGCACCCTGACATGCCGAGCTGCAGCATGCACGATGTCCCGGTGCAGTGATGCACGTGCCTGCGCAGCAGTGAGGCCAAGCACCTCCGGGTGCACATGCTACAGGGAGGCTCGATGCACACGTGCGTGAATGCCCCTCCTGCTGCAGTGAGGCTGTACCAGCACACCCAGCAGTGATGCTGTACTTTGTGTGCACACATGAGCATACACWCACACACACACTCTGCAGTAGGGCTGTGCTTAGGCTCTGCACTGACACTGCACATATGCACAGGCACTCACATGCCGGTACATACTGCAGCGAGGCACATACTGCAGCTGAGCACGTGTGCTTGCATGCACACACGCACAAGGATGCGCGTGCCCGACGGTGACGCCGTGCATGTGCACTATAGCAAAGCTGTGCACGCACTTGCMCACACACAGAAGCTGCAGCAAGGCTGCAGGTGAGCACGCGTGAACACAGACACTGCAGCAGGGCTGTACAGCTGCTCTTACACACCCTGCAGTGAGGCTGTGTGTCCACATACACCCTGCTGTGAGGCTGTACAYGTGCGCGTGTGCGCGTGGACACTGCAGCAAGGCTGTGTGTGCACTTGCACACACACACGCACTGCAGCGAGGTTCTACGCATGCMCACACGCTCACGCATGCACATGTGCTGCAGAGAGGCTGGACACGTGTGCACACACCATAGGAAGCTTGCATACGCACGTGCACCCACCAGCAGCCTGCAGTGAAGCTGTACACATGCTTTGATGCCCCCACGCAGCCCGTCAGTGTGCCAGCCAGCTTGGTGTATGGCAGACCCCACCTGCCCTCCCCGGCCAGGGCCTCGGCCTTGCCTGCACTGGGACTGGCCYCAGCTCCCTGCCTCAGTTTCCCTAGGGCATTCACCTACCGACCTTGGCCTGTCCTTGGCGTCCGTCCTGGGACTTCCCCCGGCCGCCCTCACTGAGTTGCCCTCCCGCCAGGGAGTCCCCTCAATGGGGTAAGCCCTGGTTATTCCCGACTGGCCCAGCTCCCCCTGGAACTGTCTCCTTCCTTCCTTCCGTCCTGCCAAGCTCACTCATGCATTCATTCCCCCTACCCCTGCCYGCTCGCCTGGAGCTTCCCCTCTCCAGTGATGCCAGATCCTGCAGAAGGCTGCGTACGGAATTTCTCGCCCCTCTCCCCCACAAAATGTGCACCCTTACACTTGCATGCACCCTCCTCCCCTGAGATGGGCAGCCCTCCACCTGCATGCAGCCCTTCTGAAATGTTAACCCCTCTRTTTGCATGCACCCCCTCCCCCAAAGGTGCAGCCTGTGGCTTGCACGCCTCCCTCTCCGCAGGCTGCACCCCCAAATCCGCTCTGCAGCGCGCAGCCCTAGAAGGGCCCCATCACACCTGAGGGACCCCCAGGGCCCGAAAGCTGCACCTSCCCGCCCGCGTGCTCCGCCACAACAACCCCCCCTCCTGTGGCATGCGTGCCCCCGTCGCGAGATGCACCCATGACCACCTGCTTGCATCCCCCCAAACACACACCTCTCCTCCTGCCCGCTCACACCCGCCAAAATGCACTGCCGACCAACTGCTCCTCCCATCACCCCCCCCAAATGCACCCCCCTTCGCCAGCTTGGGTGCACCTCCCCCAAAATGCACACCCCAAAATGCGCACCCCAAAATGCACACCCCAAAATGCACACCCGTCCAGCTGCCCGCACTCCTCCCCCCCTCCAAACGCATCCCCACGCACCTGCGTGCACCCCTCCAAAACGCATCCCCCGCGGCTCGTGCGCAGCCACAACGCTCTGCCCGCGCGCCCGCCCCGGCCGCCCGTGGTACCCTCCGACCCCCGAGGCTCGCGGCCGCCCCTCCTCGGGTGCCACCCCGGGCCCCGGCGCCCTCCCAGCCCCGTTSCCGGGCTCGCTCACCCTCCAGCTCGTCCTCGGGGATCTCCACGGGGTGCTGCTCGGCGACGATGTTGGGGACCGTGTAGATGCCCCGGTACATCAACGCCGCCGTCACCGGGTGGAAAGGCATCTTCGGAGCTTTCCCTGCCTAACACCCCCCTGTCCCCGCGAACCGCCCGCCGGGCCCCGGCCGCCCCGGGGTACCGCTGCACAAGTTCCCCGCGCCGGCCGCGCTGTCCCCAGCACCAGGCGGAGGGGGACCCGGAGCCGCGCTGACACACGGGGCGTCGGGCAGGACGTCGGGGCTGGCGGCGGGCGCGGAGAGGGGTGTCCGAGCGGCCCGTGCCCGGGTGGCGCCGAGGAGCGGCGAGGGGGTCACCTAGAGCCCCGCGGCGAGCGCCGGGGCGCCGGGGCTCTCCATGCGGCTGCGGCCGCCCCGGCGAGGCCGCCGCCGCTCAGCGGGCCTGGGGCTCGCGGCCGCTCCGGGCCTCGGCGGCGGCCCGCATGGCCGAGCGGCTCCGCGGCCCTTCGGCGGCTTCCTCCCCCTCCTCGCCCGCCCTCTTCTTCCTCGGCGGCGAAGTTTGGCGGGCAGCTCCGGCGCTCGCCGACTTGCTCGCCCGGCTTTTCCCTCGCCTCTGTGCAGCGCCCGCCGCCCGCACGTACCGGGCGCACATGCTCCCCCCACCGCCGAGCCGGCGAACACCCCGGCGGCGGCCGCGGCGACGTGCGGGCACCTTCCCCCGGCCCGCGCGCACAGCGCGCCCCGAGCCGCTGCCCCCCGCGCCGGCCGCTTCGCACCCCGGCCCCCCGCCCTCACCGGGCGGCCCCAGGGCTGCTTTTGAGCCCCCCCGCCGCGCTTCTGCCCTTGCGGTTGTGAACGGCTTTCAGGACGCACCTGAAAATGGGGTGCATGGGGGAAAAAGGGGAGCAGAAAGAGGAGGATACGTTGGTGTGGAGTCACCGCTGCCCCACTGGCCCCTCTGCTGTTATTCAGCAGGTGCATTTGCTACCGGGGCACTGGGGTGGGTGTTTTACAGCCCCCCAGTGCACAGCCGCCCACCTTGGCGTCAGGCCTTGGCTCAAAGGGACACAGACCCCGCTCTTGCAGGGGGAGCAGGCGGGACCTGGTGCGCTCAGCACGGGGAGGCAGTTTCCTTAGCGCTCTGAGCTTGCCGTGCTCCCTGGCCAGGGGCTGCTCGTCTGAGTCCGGCAGGATCCCCTTGGAGCCAGCGACGTTAGCTCGGAAAAACAATATTATGGCTGACAGGGCTGCCCATCTCCGTGGCACACTGAGGCTTGAGCTCCAGCTCTCTGTGCCCTTGGGGCGATTCTCTGCTGTCTAATACTGTGGTTGAGCGCAGGGGTGCGTTCTGAGCCCTCTTTTCTCTGAGCTATGAGAAAGCCACAGAGAACAAGCAAGAAAGAAGGGGAAAAACCAAAAGGAAACAAAAAACAGCCAGGTAAAAAAATCTAGCCCTGCACAGAGAGAAGCCACCTGAACCCCCATGGGTGAAAACCCTCCTGGGCAATGATTTCCCTGCCAAACCCAGCTTCGCACGAGCCTCACAGGTTGGGTGGCCGGACGAGTGCTTCGGCCTCTWTCTGCCGTCAGTAATTTTGCTCTCCCCACCAAAGTCCAGGGTCACTGCTGGATCCATGATGCCCCTGTGCTCTCGGCTGCTCCAGCCCTTGGGATCTGGGTGGATTTTTCTCCAGATAATTAATTGACAGGGGCTTTTGGGCAGCCCTCTCCTTAATCAACCAGTGCCTTCTTTTCAGTGCCTTTTTTTTTTTTTTACCATTTAAGGAAAATTAGGGAAAAAATTAAAAAATCRTGAAATCCTAAAAACAGGCCAGCACAGAGATGATTCTGAGTTATCTTTAATTTAATCTTCACCTCCTCCTTTATTAATGAGCCTGCTTTCTCCAGCTCATTTTCCTGCTCCCCCAGTAGAACTGTAAATGCCCTCCCAATTCCCTGCCGGCCCCTTGCTGAGCAGGGATCCATCCTGCTTTATGTGTTCCCTGCCCTGCTCTTATCCTTCCGACTTAATACGCCTGCGGACTTGCGAGGCTCCTCCGTCTTTCCGTGCTCAAATTCCCACTTCTCCCGGCGGAGGCAAGAGCAAGGGCGGAAGGTGCCTCGTCCTGCACACAAGAGCTTTCCAAGAGCAAAAGACAGGGATGGATTAGGGATGGGATGGGGAAGCCATACAGGGATGGGGATGAGATGGGGAAACCCTACTGGTATGGGGATTGCATGGGGAGAACATCACCGGGATGGGGAAGCCTTGTCCCATGGGATCAGAGAGGTGAAATCTCACTGGGGTGAGAATCGGATGGGAAAATCCCACCAGGACGGAGATCAGAAAGGTGAAATCCCACCAAGAGGGGATCAGCTGGAGGTAACTTTGCTGGGGTGGGGATCAGATGGGAAAATCTTGCAGGAATGGGTATCAGAGAGGTGATATCCTGCTGGGATGGGGGAAACTTTGCAGGAATGGAGGAGATACGATGGGGAAAGCCCTACCAGAATGGGGTTGGGATGGGGAAAACCTGCAGAGATAGGGATTAGGTGGGCGGGAGCACTGCTGGAATAGGGGAAAYCTATGGGATCAACTGGGATTGGAGAGATGAGATCCTCTCCGGGATGGGAATGGGATAGGGAAATTCCACCAAGATGGAGATCAGCTGAGAAAACTTATCTGGGATGGGAATTGGAGGGGGGAAACCCTGACCGGGAGGGGAATTGCAGAGGTGAAACCCCGCAGGGGTGGGATGGGATGGAGATGGTCCTCTGCGACATCACATGGATGACACTGAGTGCACCGAAGAGATGCACGGCACTGTCACCAAGGGTCCTGTCATTGCAAAGTCCTTCACTGACTATATATGTATACACACTTAAATATATAATATATATATAATATATATAATGTGTATATGTGTATGTGTATACACATATATAATGTGTATATGTATATGTGTATACATATATAATATATATAACATATAATATATATACTATATTATATATAATATATATAATATATATAATATATATAATATATATTATATATATTATATATAATATATATATATAAATTAATATATTATATATAATATATATAATATATATTATGTATATTATGTATATTGTATATTGCATTATATATCATATATCATATATGTATATTTTATATATATATATGTATATAGACATTTTTTTTTTGTACAGTTGACTTTTTCTTGCAGCAAACCTCTAGTGTCATGTTAAACCCCGCACCCTGTGGTGGGACACCACTTCACCACCTGCACCCTACCTCTTGGTCCTGAGCCCTCCTGCATTGCCCTGCATCCCATGATGATGTTCTGCCCCCACCACAAGATCCTGCACCCCACCACACAATCCTGTACCCCATTGCGTGGCCCRTTATTCTGCTAGACAGCTCCTGCTTCCTGACACATAGTCCTGCACCAAAGCATGTGGTCCCACACTGCAGTCCTACATCCCACCACACCATCTTGCACGCTGCTGTGAGGTCCTGCACCCCACTGCACAGTCCTTCACACCCTTGTGTGTCCTGTACCCTGCCATGCAGTCCTGCATCCTGCCACACTGTCCTGCACCACCACATCACATGGTCCTGGATGCCACGCCACCATCCCGCACCCTGTCACAGGGTCATTCACCCCACTGTGCGGTCTCACATGCTACCACGTGGCCCGGCACTCTCTCATAGGGTCCTGCACCCTACTGCATAGTCCTGCACCCATCATATGGCCCTGCAGCCTGACGTGGGGCACCTGCCAGGGTGGACAGTGCCATGTCCCATCATGGAGCCACCAGCACCCTGGGAAAAGCCACAGAGCCAGGCAGGCGTGCACAACCTGCGGTCACAGAGATGAAGCCTGTAGGATGCCTGTGCCCACATCCTTCCTGCTTGTGCAAACGCTTACTCAGCCGCGTAGAGCGAACACATTGCGCCTCCCGCGCGCAAAAGCTCTGCCCTCTGGTGCCCACAGCTGTAGTGCAGTTGTAAGCACACAGACCTGGTGCCTTTCCTCTGCACCAGTGCAATGCCCTCATGCAAGTGCATTGCCCTTAGGTGCACACASCTGGGGTGCAAGGGCACTTCTTGTGAAAATGCACCAATCCCCTGCAATTGCCATTCCTCTGGGTAAATGCATGTCCCTTGTGCAAGTGCACTGCTCCTGCAGTACCTCCTTCAGGCTATTGCAAATGCACAGGCCCCCTCTGTGCAAATGGCACATCCGTCGTGCAAGTGCACTGCCCTGATGTGAATGCAGCTCCTTGGTCCTCGTGCAAGTGCAGCTCTTGTGCAAGCACATTCTTCATGCAAGTGCACTGCYGCTGTGCAAATGCACCTCCCCAGAGCGAATGTTCAGCTCCCTCCCAYGCCAAGGGTATTTCCCTTAGCACAGTGCACGTGCCAGGGCTGCTCGCTGTGCATGCACACTTGCATCCAGGCACCTGCATGCCCACAGCATGACACCCTCTCACTGGCCCCGACTCACTGCGAATGTCCCCTGGTGACACTGTGCAGGGCCCCCCATCTCCAGGGAGGGAGAGGGGACGCTGGGCACAGGGCCCCAGCAGTGGGGACAGCAGCATGAATTATGCATGGCAATGGCACGGCGCGACGGGTGACRGAGAGAGAATATCAAGCGGGAGTGCGGGGACAGCCACGGGGACACCCGACACACGGGGACGTGCCAGGCCCCAGGGACATGGGGACATGCGGCAAAGGGGGACACAGGAACACTCGTAAAGTGGGAACCTGCACTCTGTCTTCCCGCCATTCCTCCCTGCCGCTCTCAGGGATGCAGGGGGCTGCAYGATGCCCTGGAGCCACCGAGGGACACCTGGCACAGGGGCAGCTGTGACTGTGGAGCAAGGCAGCCCCAGCACATGGCTCTGTGCCCCTCTGTGTGGCTCTGTGCGGGGGATGCCGGGCAGTGATGGCACCACGGTGCGGTGTGGCAGCATCAGGTCAGGGTGTTGCAACTGACTGTGTGTGCGTGGTGTGAGCATGTAATGTTACCAGCATGCAAGGCTGCAAGTGTGTGAGGCCATGCATGTGCACAAGCGCAATGCCGCGCGAGTGCAGAGCTGCCAGAGTGTGCACAATGGGCAGCGTTGTGAGCACCCAATGCTGGAAGCGCACGGGGCTGCAATTGTGCACGTGAGCACGTGAGGCTGTGCTTGTGCGATGCTGAGAGTGTGCAGGGTTGCATGTGTACAATGCAGCGAGCATGCATGGGGCAAGAGCAGCAACCTGGGAGTGTGCGGTGCTGYGAGTTTGCAATGCCAGGAGAGCAGTGTTGCACGTGTGCAATGGTGTGAACATGCAAGGGGCTGCAAGTGCGCAGTTTCACAAGGGTGTGGGGCTGTGAGTGTGCAACGAGGTGACCATGCGCAGCGCAAAGAGGCTTTGTGAATGTGCAGGGCTGCAACTGTGCAATGCTGTGAGCATGCACCATGCAAGCGGGAGGCCCTGGGAGTGAGCAGGGCTAAGAGCATGCAATGTGGCAAGGGAGCAGGGCTGCAAGCATGTGCTGCTGCAAGTGGGCAGTGTTGCAAGCATGCAATGCTGTGAGCATGTGGGGCTGTGAGGATGGCTCTGCTGCTTGTCCTCTGCAGTCCCCTGCTGTCATGGGGCCCTGCAACACATCCAGAGTCCCACGATGTGGCCGGATGAGGGCACCCAGGGCGCAGAGCCACTGTGCTGGGGACATCCCTGCCATTACAGAAGCCTCAGCTCTGTTTCCTGGCTAAATTCCCCCAAATTGTCTCTCTCCCTCCTCCRCTGGCCCCTGGTGGTGCTGCATTATTCATCACGGCGGCGGCTGCCGCTCTGGCRTCGTGTTTGATCCCAGGAAATCAGGTCACCTTCCCCCCCTTGCCGTTTTTCATGGAGCAGTCCTGAAATCTCCCACTTCCTTTGCCCTTGTGTTCCCTGGGAGCGTGGAAGCAGAAGCCTGTCTCCCACCATCTCCTCCAGGCTCGCTGCTCCCACCACGGTGCTGCCACCCTGCCCTGCTCAGCTGCCCCTAGTGCTGCCACCCCGTGCTCCTCGGGCACAGCATGGGAACCTGCTCCTGCCTTCAGGCACTGCTGGGAGCATCCGGTGTCACCTCCTGCTCAGGGGCAGCTCTAGGTGCAGCACCCAGGACCCAGCACCCTGCCGTGCCCCCCGAGCYGCAGGCGCCTGGCTTAGGAAAGATTCCAGGTAGCAGCACCCAGGGGCTGCTCCAGGCCTCCCTAACCCCCAACCCTCACCAAAAAAACACCAAAACAAACCAGCAAGCACCAKCCAGGCCCCCTCCTCATACATTACATTTTTATTAAACATCAAATTTTTATTAAAACCAAGGCAAAAAAATCCGCTCTTTCTTGCGGCTTGCAATCCCCACWAAGAGAAAAAGGCTCCGGCCCCCATCACAGTGACACAGAGGCCAACTTGATGAGGCAGCAAGTGTCCAAACGAAACCAGCTTGAGGCTGGGCTCTGCCCAACACTGGGGTCGAGAGGTCCTCCCCGGGMTGGAAGGGATCGCGCTGTGGGAGCCGCTGCAGGGTTTTAACCCCCAGCTTGGTCACAGTTTGCAGGGATAAAAGGTGACATGGGCTTGGCACGAGCCGGCTCCCCTTTGGCCACCCACGTGCGGAGGAAGAGGCCGCAGTGAGGAGGAAGACACGGTCRCCCCAGCGTCCTCCAGCTGCTGGGGAGCTCTACGCTCCCTCCTCCTCCTCTCGCCCTGGCCAGGGATGGGGAGGCAGCAGAGCTCCTGTCCTGCCATGGCTGGCAAAGCCCATAGAGCTTGGAGAGAAAAAACAAAACAAAACTAAAATAAAAAACAAGGAAAACATAAACTGGAAGAAGGCAAGGAAAGGAGGAAAAATTCCCCRAGGGTGCCCAGAGCTGGCGCCGGTGTCAGGGGCAGTCAGCGCGGGGTCCCCTCTCCGCGCGCGTGTCCTCGGCCGCGGTGACACTAGCTGGTCCTAGAGCTCCTCGAAGAAGGCCACGCGGGACTGGGTGCTCTGCAGGGTGAGCTGCAAGAGAGCAGAGGGGASGGCTGAGCAGGGCAGGCTGTGCAGAGCCTGCCAGCGTGGGGAGGAAGCCTGGAGCAGCCACCCTGCCCTTGCCCCTTACCCTGCCATGCAGGAGGCTCCGGTGGGGTTTGACCTGCCCTCAAGGCCAAGCGCTCAGGTCTGGAGCAGGGRATGCTCCGCTTTACCTCCAGGCTCCCACTGGTTTTACGGAGYGACACCTCGAAAGCTCTTGTGAGCTGGGAAAGCCCAGCCCAGGAAAGCTTTTCACAGCACCAGCAAGGCTGCCCTGGAAATATCTTGCCAGCGCYGTTTCCTAAGGCCCTCGAGCAGAGAAGTTTCTGGGGGGGCTCCGACAGCCTTYGCCACTGTATGGTCCAGCCCCGAGAAAGGGCATGGGCTTTGGGCACCGAACCTGCGCCTTCCTCCCGGGCTGCTTTTCCAGTCTGCTCCTGCCCAACCTGCACCATAACCTGCTGCTGCCACCACCCAAACCCCGGCTGAAACAGAGCCCGGGACCCTGGGCACACAGATCCTGGAGGCTGCTGCTGCACAGCCTTGCGCTCCTGCCCGATTCCTCAAATAAATATATGGATGCATAGATATACACATACATGTGCATTAAAAAAAAAAAAAAAGGAAAGAAGCATAAACACAAGACCATTGCAGAGCTGGGGCTTTCTTGGAGTTTTGCTTTTACACAAGGTTGCTGGATTTACCTCATTATTTTTAGGAGGGGTGGGAAGAAATACCCCATCAATGCAGCCAAAACCCTGTTGGAGTAGCTAATWCCCCAAAACAGCATCATGCAACTGCTGCTGCCCCTGCAAAACCCGTGATAAAACCCCAAGCACTCCGAGAGCTCGGAGACAGGAATCACATCCATCCCTTTGTCTGTCCGTCTCTCTCTCCACCCATCCATTCTCCCTCTCCCCGAAGCTGCATTTTCAGTAAAAGCAACCATCTCCGTGTCAGCATGTGTAAATCTCAGCCACGAGATTTAAAGGAAACCTTACTTTCTTGGGGAGTTCCATGGTGGGGCAGATGTCCTGTTCCCATGCCCGGCGTGCCCTATTTGGGAAACTACGTTCCCAGCCTGGCCCCACTTCTCTTCAAGTTCATTTTTCTGGCGAGAAGCTCCCACCCTGTCTCCCTGCCACCCCTTCTCCCCGGCTCTCTTACGCCCACGCTGCCTGTTTCTTCTCGCTGTCGCAGCCCACAGCACTTTTGAGGAGGGAGCGGTGTTGGAAGGAAATGCTTCTTCAAAAGCCGTCCCCAAAATAGCTGACAGCCTGACTGTCTCCCGCTTCCAGAGCACTCCAAACTAAACTCCTTGTTTTCCTTGCAAACAAGGAAAGGGAGCTGCTGGGCCTGAGGCATTTGGCTCCGAGGCAGCACAGCAAAGGATCCCAGTAAGGAGGTGACCTCCCAAATGCTATCTCCTGGCACTGAAGATGCTGGAGAAGGTGCTTGCTGGCCCAATGCTGGTGCTGTTGCAGTGGTGACATGGAATTGGCTGCAGCCGAGTCTGGCCCGCATCAACTCACCTCTGTGTGGCCCTTTGCAAAGCTGCCCACAGTAAAAGTATTATCACAGAGCTGGGTCAAATCCCTTGAGAGTCTCCAAGACACCCGGAGGCCTTGGCCACCTCATGGCACGCGGCAGCACGAGCGAAAGCAGTGGAGTGTCATTACCTGTGGCCCTACACTGCGAGAAGTCCTTGGTGCTGAAGAACAACTCAAGTTGACAGCAGCCCACCCAAACTCCTGCTGCACTTCTCAACAAATCCCGACTGCCTCAGCGAGGGACAAGACCTGCATTTACTCGCTTTCCAAGATCCTGCTATGCCATGAAAGGACGGGAGGAGTTGGGAATGGCGCTGCCAGCATCGTTTTGTCCCAGCCCAGAYGGAGGATGGAAGAACCTCTATGGGAGCAGGAGATTTGATACACGCCAGGATCCTTCAAAGGCTTAAATCCCACTAATAATCCTAGCAGGGCAAGAAGAAAGCAAGGGGAATGAAAGGGTTGTTCCTGTTCATGTCCATGAGAGAGGTTCCCACCGGAGGACATGAGGATGAATAGTGCTTTGTTCTCCCCAATTTTACTGCAGCATGAGTGATGAACTAAAGTCCAGCAGGCTGGAGGGGTAATCCATACAAAAAGCATTAGTGTGTTAGAAAAGGTACTTAAAATCCCCAAAGTTGACGTTTTCAAAGCCACAGTGCCAAAGCCTGTCCACTAGTAGCTCAGGGCTTGTGAAACCTTGCACACAAGTCCCAGGGACCTGGAGGCTGCAATCAGAAAAAGAAACCCTTCTCCAACACCATCTTCCCCAAAGGTTCAGACACGGGAACCAAAGCCAAATTCGTCAACAAAAGCAACTTTCAGGAAGGACAGGTCAGGAGACGCAAGGGAAGGAGYGGTGTGCTGCAGTTGCCCTTGGAATGAAGGCGACCTTTGGAAAGCACTTTGCTTCCATGTCCCTGTTGCGCTGATGGGTCCACTTGGATCCATCCGCTCCCTTCCTGCMCACGGAGGCTGCTGCTTTCCCAGGTGGACACTGGAGGCAAGTCCGAGCAGATGCTTCCTCAGCCAACGCTCGGATGGAGAAACTGCCTCTCCCCAGKCCCAGCCTGAAGAAAGGTCAGGAARAGGCACTAATTTGGCACCCAGGAATACAAGCAGGAAACCTTCCCCATTTCCAACTTTTCAGGGTTGCATGTGGAGGAGAGCCTCAAGGTGGGGATGGTGCCTGTGGCCAACACTCAGAGGCAGCTCCCCAGAGCTCCCTCCTGCTGGGGTCTCACCCCCTGAATCCCTGCAGACACCGGCTGTCCTTGGCTGCCTCTTCTGCCCGCGCCTGCTACCTCTCCAAGCGCACGTGCAGCTTTTGTGCCAGGTTTGCCTCACTCAGAGGTGCTGATTTCTAACTTASGACACGGGCTGCAGCAGCAGCATGAGAGAAGGGGGCTTGCTGCCATCTCTTTTTGAAACTCTCACTTTCCTCCTGCAGCCACCGAGAGGGAAGGCCCTGTTTTATCTCCTTAAGGAAATCTTCCAAGGTTGCCTGGTACCACTGCTAGCTTCCCCGGCACCACCAGCAGGACACAACCAGGTGTGTTCCACAATTTAAGGACATGAACAGCTTGGCGGCCGGCGAGGAAGATGCTCCCCCAGTGCAAAGGATCAAGTGCAAAAGCGAAGAAACCGCGAGCCCCAGCGACGGAGCAGGAGCCGGGCAGGGCGCTGAGTGCTGGGGAGCCGACCTGCACCGCGGGGCGCGAGGCTGGCGAGCGCAGCGCGCGCTGCAGGCAAGCGCATGCACGGGTTAGCGCCGCAGCCAGCGATCCCACCACCACGCGCAGGGTACCTGGGCACAGCCTGCGCAGCGGTCTCAAATGCAGATAGGTCGTCTGCCCTGGGCTGGAGGCTAGACCGGCAAAATAAAACGAACAAGACAAAAAGTCCTCTGTGATACAAGGGACGACAGGTCACCTGTGCAACTGGCCAGAGGGTTGGCATTAGTCAAGCGCTGCTAACCCTCCCCGCCCCAACAACTTTTCCATCAAATGGCCTCTTCCAGCACAAGGGGACAGACCAAAGTCCTCCTGGCAGCAGGAACAGCAGCAGCCTGAAACCACATTCTCTTGGGCTCTGCTGTTAGGCAAAAGTCTTTACTCCTGCAGTGGGGACACACGTGCCTTGGCGCCCTGCAAGAGCGTGGGGATGGCACCGGCGCCAGCTCCAAAGGAGCCACGTCGAGCTGCGCAGTCCGGTTATGGGCCATCTGTCCCACCTTTGAGACAGACCAACAGGACTGTCAACTCTCTACGAACACCATTCAAAAGCTCCTGACAAAAGCAAAAAGAAATTATCATTTTCTGTTTTCACCACAGATGCAGTGTGCGGCAGGAAAAACCTAATGGCAGCAGAAACTTTCTCCGATTCTTAAGATGACAAAAGGGGCTGTGAAGATTTTTATAGCCCTCCCRCGGGAGGCACAGGGACTCGAACAGCTCCGGGCTAGCACAAGCGGCCCTGGAAAATCCCCTCACCGCATTTCCCTGCCCCAATTCAAAAATCATAAACTCTCAACTGGGAAAGCCAGCACAAACGCTATTTTTAAGCCCTGTCAGATGTACCTCTCCACTAAGGCTAGCACAAAGGCGAGGAATTGTTTGGAACTGTTTAAAACCTGTTATCCTCGCCACAAGCTGCAGCCCTGGCAAGCGTGCCATGCCATGGCAGATTTCTGTGTCTTTCCTGGCAATTGGGAAAATGCCTGGGCAAAAGCCTTGTCGATCTGACCATCACATCTCACCGTGCAGGACAGAGGTCTACCAGCCACCAGCTCCACTAGGAGAACAGCACAGCTGACAGGCAAAAGAAAAAGGGCTGGATGCAAAACTTAAARAGGTTTTTCTTCGGATCTTGCACATGTGAGACCTGTGGGAGCAGAGCCCATCACCCTAACTTTTCTCAGCTGGTATTAACTGCAAGCACAAGGAGGGAGGCAAGTGGCTGCAGGAGCTGCAGTGTAGGGAGAAGACATCACCCAGCTGCACTAGGGAAACATTTTCCCATTGGCATTCCCAGTATCACAAAAGGTTATTTGAGAACAGACTGGAAGTGAAGAGTAGGCTTTTTCTACCTGTAAATCAGCCACGCTCTCCTCCTTGTGAGGTCCCAGCCAAGCTCAAAGCTGTTCGCTTGTAATGTATTTATGGTATGGCTGGAATAAGGAGTGAGGGCTTTTCCTGCTCCTGGAGCAACTAGAGTAGCAAACCTCTTCTCAGGGTATCTCTGTCAAGCTTTTGTTGAGGATCAAACCTCAGCAGGTTTGAACGCCTGTTGGGCTTTCCTTCACACCCAACAATTGATCCAATCCAAGTTGGGGCTAACAACATGGGCCCCAGCAGCAGTGGAAATTCTCTGTGCCCCCAGTTTGGAGCAGAAAGCCCAGATCAAACCAAGTTATTATCACGCTTTGTGCAAAAGCTACACCAAACAGAAGGGCAATTTTGTGACGGGTTTTAAACGGTTTAATCAGGTGAGATATAAACGGAGCCCTCAGATACCTTTTTAATAGTGTTGTGCTTGCTGTTGCCTCGGCTGGCATTCTCATTGTGCAATATATCCAGCGCAGTCTCTCTCTCCTTCAGCTTCAGCGCCTCGATCTCTGTCTTCAGCTCATTCAGTTGCTCCTGCAGATGTTTGCTTTTCTCCATATACTCGACCCTAGCGGGCACACAGAACAGGCTTGAGCTTAGCACCAACCATCTGCAGGTGCCTCCATAATTTCACAGCAGCTGAAAATGGAATTTTAGCAGAAACCCTCCCAAAATCTTCATCATTTTTAGTGTGTAGAGCTAACAGCGTTAACTTATAGTGTACTCTTAAGCTGTCCTGAGCAGTCACCCAGACAGCTGACCCTGGAACCAAACTGCAAGTCACATTACTGAAAAAATATATAGCCAGATGGGGGCTGCCAGATTATATTTATACATCTCCCCATCTTCAACTAAACCTGCACTGTGACTTAAGCTAAATTGAAGCAGCTTCTGCATATAAGACTGATGCAAATAGTGTTGCTCTACCCCCCTGCTCACACTCTCTTAAACTCCGTTCACAAAAAGATAGCATGAATTCTTTCAGGTCACTTTCCAAGGGCAAACAACAAATCCAACATACACACTTTGCGTGTTTTTGAGGGATTAAACTGTGAAAGTCATAGGAGTGAGCACTGCATCCAAGATATCACGCAGCTTTAGGATACACAGTATCGCCCGGAGAGGGCTCCCCCAAACAAACAAACAAAACAAAAAACAACAACARTAAACCCCTATAAAGCCACCAAACAAAAAAATCCAGCCACTCTCAAGACTTCTTCTGCAATGAGTCACCTACTAAAGGAAAAAAAAATCCTGTGGTGCTAGTCAGTATTTGCACTTAAATATGAAGATTTAAGTGAAATGCCAGCACTCTAACAAAGATCCTTTCAGAGGGTGGAAATCTGTAGTGAAGTTTATGTCAGCACCTGAGGAGTGAAAAGCACTCTTGGAAGAAGTCAGTGAAAACATGCGATTGCTTTTATCATTTGGCTGCGCTGAGATCCTCCTACTTAGGAAAGTGGGATGCCCTAGTTAGCAGCCTAGGTAGAGAAAACAAACAGGGCTCTTCTTGCTATTTGTAGCTTCAGGCTTTTTCTTTCCAGTTTTAGGAAGAGGTTTTAGCGCTCATTCCTAAACCAGTGCTTTGCTATTTCAGACATAAGAGAGGGTCGGGACCAGAGGCACAAATATCCAGCCTGTGGGATCTGGGGGAGTTTCCCTCGYGCCCCAGGGAGTCTTGACCACATGCTATGGCAAATCCCTTCTACTTTTGTTCTGCTACCCAATGGACAAAGCATATTATTGCTAAAGAGCTTARATTTTGGTCTGCTTTGATTTCAGCTAAATTTAGAGTTTTGGAGGCTGCACTCACACAAAAATGCAGACCAAAGCCCATAATCACTTCCAAGCTTGCCTGYGCACACTTTCTCATACATAAATGTGCCCCAGGCTCAAAAAATAAGAGGTTAAGTCCTAACTTTGTAGGACTTTCATTATCCATGGCTTGCACATACTGCAAACGCACAGGTGGTAGCCTTGGACAGCCCAACGCACCGCAGCCATTGAGCTGCTGTTAACATATTTCTCCTCTTTTCACCTCAAACTGATGCTTATGTGGAGTGTAAAAGTTGCATTTGACCCAACTGTGGTGCTATTTCCTGCAAGTGAGCCAGGTCAGTACCAAACCCAAACCAACGGAGAGCCGCCACTTACTTCTCCTTCTCGATTTCCATGGAAAGTCTCTTCATGTCTGTATCCTTGAAGTCAAAGGAGAGGCTCTCACTGATGAGGTTGAAGCTTGGCAGGTCCGTGGGCAATGCTGTCGCACTGGAGTTCACAGACTGCTGAAGAGAGAGAGAGAGAGAGAGAGAGAGAGAGAGGCCAAATTATTCACTTTTGGTCATACAAGCGTTTCTGTCAATAGATGTTCTGTAACAGAAGAACGAAACTGGAAAAGCCCACTGTGCAAGGAGCTGCTTCTGAATACTTTCACAAGCACAACCTGTTGTTCACATAGGTAATAACTTTTTTTTTTTTTTTTTTTGAAACTGAGTATATTTACATTGTGCTGAACTGGAAGGATCTCATTATTTGCACCAGGGAAGGGAAGGAACATGCATTTTCCTGCGGCAGCAGAGCCCATAATTTCTTCTTTCTGAAGCCGGTATGCCTGCCAGGCTCCCCATGGGACAGATTAAGCAGCTATTTTTCAGCTCGTGATCTTTTAATGCAAAAGCTGTCAAGGACTTTATGGACKGTAGGAGCAGAGCAGCACACAACACTCATGTCTTCAGCACTGGATGGGGTCTGCAGACTCCCAGGTGTTATCACCATCATGGCATTTAAAGTAACATTGGCCAGAAGCTGCCTTTTGAAAGGCATCTGGTAGCTCTTCAAGAAAAAATTACATTAAAAAAAAAAAAAGTGAACTATAAATTGGGTCAATATGACCATAAATTGGGTCAATGTGTAACAGTCGGGTCCTGCGCTCTGGTGCTCTCAAAAGTGTGATCAAAAGGACAGGGTAATCCCAAGGGCTTAACATGGGCTGCAGTTTCAGTGAGCCACACGGAGACGCGCTACGCTTTTTACACAGCAGTGATCTGCAGTTCCACTGCTAGATTTGACTGCAAATACAGAGATAATGCAGGGAATCACTTAACCTGCAGCTGAACACAGACATGGGACATTTACCCTCCTGCAAAGAGCTGCGATATCTCACCTACTGCCAGGCCCTTGGCTTTTTCTCTTTGTCTAAGTGTAAAAAGAGAGAAAGAGAGAGAGAGAGAGAGAGAGAGAGAGAGAGAGAGAGAGGGGGAGGGAGGGAGGGAGAGAGAACAAACTTGCTTTCAGTCATAAATTCTGTCGCTGCTCTAATAAGTGGGCTCATTACCAGCAGAGGAAGAGCTCTTCCGGACTTAAATCATCACTTCTGCTCCTGCAGTACGTTCGAGGAGGCTGGGAGCTGTGGCGCGTGCCAAAGGCAGTTCGGGGGTTTCAGGMAGCCCCTGGTCCCAGTGGGAATGGCTGGCAGCACACCGACTCCTTGGTTTGGTTACAAAGAGCATCATCYAGCTCTCAGAAGGGCACTCAGATGTGCCAGATCTGCTCTGCACAGTAACGGCCCTCACCACCCACCCTGAATCCAGGAGCAGTCTAGGCTCTTTCCCTGCAGAGACCAAGATGAGATACTGCATGTTATAGCTACGGCAGACTTAAAACGACAAGAAAAACACCGTTTTTTACCCCATTTTCAATTGCTGCCAGCCAAAAGCACAACCGCATCAGTTCTGGAGTGAGGTTGGGAAGGGGGCAGTTGAGAACCAAAACTCCCATCTCCAAGGGAAGGGGATGGATCTGCCCCAGCGCTTTAACTGACTGCCACACTCACATCTCATTGCACTAACAATCACAACTGTTCTGCTGGCACTAAAACACTCTTTAGCAATTTTTCAGCATGGGCCTACAGCTTTGGGTTAAGAATGAGAAACAAACAGCAGCATCACCATCACCAGAGAACGAACCGCAAGCACTGCAACCATCAAGTCCTTCCAGCAATTTGTCAGGGTTACTACAACCACTCACTCCCCTCTTCTCAGCACAGCTTTCATGAAGTGGCAACAAACAGCAGGAAACTGGTGCAAGAGTGGGAGCTTAGGAACAGCTCTCAAAAGCACTCGTGAGCCAAGCATTCCCCTGCCGCTTGTGGTAACCCTGCAACTCTCACATGTAACAGTTTTATTCAAGGTGTAGCTCGCTAAGGAGACGTGGATCTTTTTTCGTCTGCGTTCCCCGAGCTGCCACAAACTGCATCACTCCAGTGCTGCATTGAAGCGCTTCCTGGCAGAGCACGGGGGTGAGTGCTACACTGGCAGCAGTCAGCATCACCCTTTGGAGCTCCTCAGTAGCTCCATCCTCTGGAGCAAGGGGTAAATGAGCCTGAAGACACRGAGGAAGCACCAGGCTTCCCCATGGGAAGGGTGTCTGCGATTGCCAGCACCGGTACTTCTCTGTGTGGGGAACTGGGGCAAACCTGACAAATGCTTGTAATTTCAAGTGAGATGCAGAGGAGGCCTTGAGACCTGCCACAAGCAGGGCCCGATGGGCAACAAAGATGACAAGGACGACATGGAAATGAGATGTATCGGGTGGTGAGTACAGCAGCGATGACAAGTTGGGTTGGATCACTGGGGTTGATATCACGGCTCTCAATGCCAGGGGGCTGCCTAACTCTGGCAGTGGGATAACAGTAAAGAGCTAAACCTAGTTAAACCTTCAGGAAGGAGGGGAGGAATCAGGAGACAGCACGGCCTGGCAAAGCAGCTGTGTGCCGGAGGGACGGCAGCCTTCTGGTGGTGGCCTTCCAAACACCTCCATCCCTTGGGCCATTCCAGGCCCCAATCAGGTCCCTCTGCACCAGGTTCCTCTGCACTGGAACAACGTTTTCGGAGCGGGCCTGTCCCCAGCTGCGGGCAACAGAAGAGAATTGACACAATGGCCAGGTCTGCGTCCTGCTGAGTTTGGAAAATAACTACTACAAAGCTTGTGGGGYATGGCAATCCTCCACAAGCTTGGAGAGGAGGGGATCTACCACTTAACTGGGCAGCTTCCCTCTCCGTCTGGCCCCAGCAGCTGCGTCTGGGAGGCCAAGGTTTTTGGAGGAAGGCAGAGCACGATGTGTCTACAAGCAGCCCTCTCAGAGGGATGCAGCCGATGGAGTGGATTGTTTTTTGGAAGATTTTAGGCAGCTCTTAAAAGCTGCCCCCACAATTCAGCCTGTAATGCCATAGGCAGGAATATACTGCAAAACACAGGCCACCCCGGGAATTTACAGAGCAATCCCAGCTCTGCCGCTTTGACTGCAGGCGGTCACAGCAGCAGGAGGCAACCTAGACCCAGAAGGTTTCTAATAAGGCTGCTCCACTCATGTGCAAGCTGAAAGAATTAAAGAACTGGCAGATCCCAGAAACCTAGTGACTGGCAGTGAAACAAGGGCACTCAAAATACCAGGTTTATAAAGCACTAAAATGGCTAGACCTGATTGAGGACTTCTACCTTAGAATTCTTCTCCAACACTGCAATTGCTTAAAAGCTTCTGAACATTTTTGCAGGGAACTTCAGAGCATGAGSATGAAAAGTAACTTCATCTTCAAGTCTCTTCAAGCTGCTCCCTGCAGCTTCARGAGAAGAAGGGGGAAGGAGCCTGCAGGTCCAAACTAAAACTTCAGTGCTGAATGGTTTGGAAACTCCCACATACATCTGCTGAGTTTATTCCCAAAGACATTGAGCTCTTCCCTCATCACCCCGTGGGACAGCGAGGTGGCAGAGCTGCCAGGCACAGCAGGCAGGAGCCGCCAGGAAGGGAGCACTGGGGAACTCTGGAAGGCCCCACAGCACCATGAGAAATGTTGAGGAAAGGAGCTGCCAGACGAACTCARAGCAAAGGACATTTAGTCTGGCATTTAGTCCCCAGTAGCAAGCAGGGCCAGATGCTTCAGAGAAAGGTGTGAAACCCTCCTCCCAGGCTACTGTGGAATTATCTCCCTGTAAAGACATTTCTTTCCAGTGTGTAGATGCACAATGCTCAGCKGAAGCCTGAAGAATGAATTTACAGGTTCTAAACAGCATTTATCCTCATACATCAGGAACAAGGACATACATTTCGTACGTATTCAACACTATTTTAAAGGCTATCACAGAGCTGGGAAGCTCCACTGGCTGAAAAAGTATGGCTGTGGTGTACCTGCTAARTTGGGTTTAAGTTTCCCTGCCTTTTAAGTACACCAGCAGCTCTCTTGCTCTTGCAGGATGAGGCAGAGTAGAGAGGAAGAAAAAAAGAGTGAAGTGGCGTGCTGGGCAGGGTGCCTAGATGAGGAGGGTGAACACTGCAAAATGGTTTTGAACACCTGCTAAGCAATGCAATAAGACAGTTCATACCCCCTACAATGCCAGGAGGGAACCACAAAGTCACGAGAATCCTCCAGGCACAATCCTCCAGGTACATCTACTGTTGGGAAACAGATGACAATGCAGATTGCTCTTACTGTATATGAAGACTTGCTGGTGATCTCCAGGAGCTTTTGCTTTGCCCTCCGCTCAGACTCTCGAGCCTCCTGAAGGTCTTGCTTTAACTGATCAGCCTCCTTTGCTCTGTAAAGGAAAACAGCAAAGGACGGTGAATATCTGATCAAAATTGAGGAATGAAAATAAATGGATAAGTAGGATTACAGTCTAGATACAGGACAGGTTTGGATCTTGTTGCAGATCTCATCTAGAGACATCGTTTGAGCAAAGGAAGTGACAGAGCTGCCAACAGGTGGGATATTGTAAGTTGGCAGTAAAAAAGTCCAAGATGTAAAAGGCCAATTTCAACACTAATATTTCCCCTTAAGCCTTAAGGGCTCCCAAGAATCCTCTGCAAAGGACAGAGAAAGCTGCTCTATTGGTTTGAAATTTGAGGGAAGATTTCACAAGATCACGGCAGAGAAGAGATGGACGTGGACAGCGTTATTGGAAAGGATTACTCTGTTGGAAGGAAATGTTTGCAATCTTTAGTTTGTTCACTATTGAATGCACCGTGGGAGCTGGTTCTGGTAGCAAGAGGGAAATAACAGCTTTAACATACAGTACTGTGGAAGTGAGGGAGCCCTCAAGGCTGGCCTGAAACAGAGACTGCATGGGTGCAAAGGAAAATCAAAAAGCTGAGGGAAACATGAGGACAAAGGAAGAATAACAAAAGTAGATGTAATAACCAAAGAAATGGAACAAAAAAAAAACCCCAAAACACCCACAAACCCAAGTGTCTTTAATGTTGTCAAACACTCTGCTGAATGCAAGTGGGTGTTTGCAGAAACCACCCAAAAGCAGAGGCTGTTTCAGCTGCCGCTGCCAGGATCTGAGGCATGAATGGCAGAGCAGAAAGGAACTAGCCAAGCCTCGAGACCACTTGCCATTATACAGGCACAGGAGGCCACAGGCTTCCTGCAAACTGCATGGACTAATTTGAGGCTTGAAGCACCCATCTCCCTCACTTGTCAGCAGGGAGTTGGAAAGCAAAGCACAGAGGCAGCTGCGAGGTTACCCGCTGACCTCCGCTCAGACTCCTCGGCCATTTTCAGAGCCAACATCTCTGCCTCCAGCACCTTCTGCTCCATCAGCCGTTTCTCTTCCTCTGTCCGGATGGCCGTGGCTTTGATTCGCTGCATCTCCTGCTCGGCCTCAGCTGCTTTCTGAGCTAGGAGCTTGGCCTCCTCCTCYGTGATCTGGGCCTTCTCAGCCAGCAAGTCCGCTGTCTCTTCAGACCTCATCTGTGAATTAATGCGCGTGAAACTATCAAGTGCACTCCGAGTGGCACCCCAAACACCCTCACAGTCCCCACTACAGAGCTCTGAGCTACTTGCTCTGCACGGTCAGTCTCTGTTGCCCACAAGTTCCTCCTGCTTTCAAGTAAGTCATAGCTTTTGCAGGGTGGTCGCCAGCCAAGACCCTGCTGTGCCCAGGCTCTGCCCCAAATGGTTCTCCTGTCACAACAGGCCATTTGGATACAGCCAGCTCCATCCAGCCTCCTGCTCCCTGTCCACTAGCAGTGATGGCAATATAGCTCAAGGACGATCATGATACACCTCTGCCATGGAAAAAGCCAGGAAGAGCTGCTGCACTGTGGCAAACCACCTGCCAGAGACCTACCAGAGCCTCATTGGCCATCGTTGCCTCCTCCTTTAACTGCATCAGTCTTCTCTCCAGCTCATCCCTCGTTCGCTCAGCTTCTTCCCTCATTTGCTTCTCTCGGGCCAGGCGCTGTCGTTCCATCTGCAAAAATGGGTCAAATAAAGTGAGCAATGATGCAGGTTCAGTGCTTGGGGGTCAGAGCACAGGACTGTACTGCATCCTCTGTACTGATCTCCACTACTCAAAAATAYGGGGACTTCAGTAAACTTTTCGCTCCAGCAGGGACATCTAGAGCACGTGGCACAGGGTGGCATCCAGGCAGGTTTTGAAGACCTCCAGAGAAGGAGGGCCAGTACAAACTCTCCACAAGACACAGTATGCCAGAAACCTGTCATCTCTTCCCCAAATAAGCTGACAAATGAACAAGACAAGAGAAACTGCTCTGCTCCTTGGACGCTAATTGCACTCTGGATCACTCACAGCTTTAGCAGCTCCACTTCCTTCTGTGGAAAGTTCTCATCTGTTATCACAATCCACGTCCCTCATGGAGTGGTGCGGGCTCCTAACACAAGCAGGCTGTTTGGAAATCATTTAACCACTGCAGACCCCGGGGGAATGGASAGGGCACACTAGAGCCCATGGTGACCACCTTAGGACATGGCTGGCCAACAAGGAGCCTGACATCTCTTGCTCAGCACAAGCACTTGAATTTGAGAGCTCTCAGGATATGAAAAGCTGCCAYTCACCCTCAGTGCACACAGCGACCTCCCTCATCTCTCCCAGCAGCTTATGAGTCAGCTATGAGCAATATCAGTTTGTGCTTGCATCATTCAACTGTGTCAATGAAACCCACAAGTTCAACACCTGATGTTGATGCCACTAGCATACAGGCACCATGTTGCTCCTTCCAAGGACCTCTCATTCCATGAAGGCTAAGTCCTTGCTGCCTGGAGGAGCCTACGACAGAAGCAAATAGTGCTTCTCCAGTGAAGCTTGGGGTGGTTTCCCCTTACGAGGACCTGTATAACACCCTCCACAGCCACCCCAGAAGCTACTGGGAGGAGAACTGCTTCAGGACAAGTCATATCACAGCTCCAGACCAGCTGAGCACTTCAATCCCACTCCGGTACCATGCAGGTATCCCTGTGAACATGCCCAAATGCAAATGAAGCAGGTTAATTTAACAGCCCCTTGAATACAAGAAACTTCTCGTGCAACACTCTGCTTTGTGTTTTTGCTGCTGCTATCTAGTGGTTTTACTGAGTGAGGAACATTTATATTCAACACAGCAGTGCTCAGATTAGCTGTGTGGACTTCAGTGAGTGGAAAAAGTCTACGAGCAAGAACCAAGTATTCTTGCAATGCACTTGGGTGATACGCGTTCAACAGCTACCTGCCGCTGCCTCCAAAGGGCTGTCTGGGCTGAGCTGCAGCAGCTGGAGATGGCCAGCATGAACGAGCACCCAGGCTGCATGACCTGAAGCACTGCCCTTCTCTAATCACCGKAGAGTGAGAAAACAAGGCAAAAAACTATAGGAAGGCATGTCTCTCCCATCACAGCGCCGCTTTAGTTACATCCGGCTACCACATGCCTTGACAGCTATCCAGCTATGGAGCCCAGGAGTAAAGCAAGGCCAGGAAAGATGCACACAGGCTTACAAGACAAGGCACAGCCTTTGCCTCCAAACTTTGCCATCAGTCTATGGAGACAAGTCAAGAAAACTGGCAAGAAGGGAGCTGAAACAAGATGTTCAGCTCGACCTTCCCTCAYAGCTGCTCCATGCGCTGGATGTCACTCCGGACGCTGCTAGTCCCTGCATGTCTCATTTTGGTTCAGACAGGTTATATGAGATACGTCACTCACCTGCTTCCTGGCTTTCTCCTCTCTGGCCTGTGCCTTCATCTGTTGCACCTCCAGCGAGTCTGCTTTTCTTCTCCTCATGAAGAGATCGTGGTTCCCAATACACAGCTGGAGAATCTGCTCCAGGGCAGGGTAGAGAGCAGAAGGAAGCAGTTGCAACATGGTGGCAGGGAGGTGATTTGTGCTCCAAACACAAAAACCAGGGACTGCTCTCGCTCAGTGCTCAGAGGCACCTTCAGCCACTGATCTCAAACGCCACCAGCTCTGGCACCCGCATGAGCCCAGAGCTGTAGCACAGCCTAATCCCCACGCCAGACACCATTTCCTTGGCTACTGACTCTTTATAGAGACTATTTTTATGCTGCATGTGCTGGTAGCACAGCATGATTCTGTGCAACCACACATGATGCCAACCTCAAGAATGTATTAGCCCCAGTAATGAAACAGACTTCTACAGCTTTGGCCAGTTCCTCACTTCTCTCCATCTCTGCTCCCTGCCTTTTTTTTTAAGGTTTATAATGAACTTGCACCTTCTTTGAACAGAATGTTTAAGCTATTGGTGGTAAGAACTGAAATATGAAAAACATATGAACATGAAGTTGATCAAAAAACCTCCATGGAGGCCTTCAGCTACCTCTGCCACAGGTTTTTGAGCACTGGTGTGATTCYCTCTATGGTGGTGAGGAGCAGGAGAAATGTCAAGTCCAAAGAAAGGTTAGCAAAGAGTGAAGTGTATGCAGGGAAATATAAGCTCAGCTTATTTTTCGGTAACAAGAACGAGTTCCTCAGCTTTCTTTTCTTAGGTCCTAGTTAATATGTCTTCCATCCCACAGATCACAGCCTACCTCCTTTAGAGTTCAAGGCCTTTCAGCTCCACAGATTTGGTGTGCCTGGGAAGAATGAGACCCACAGACAGGCTGTGCCTYTGCGAAGCAGGCCATGGCCCCATGGTTTATGAAGCACAAGGACAGCCCACAGGATGACTCCTGTCTCTGATACACGAGGACCATCCCCCTTCTTCCTTCTGCAGACCTGAGAGCTGCTTAATGACAGCACACGGCTCCCAAAAGCTCCCTTGGAGACCTCAAAAAAAAATTCCCCGGAAGAGCATATTCTTGCATGATCCCCAGAAACCACCACTGCAGACCACAGGAATCACGTCGTCTGTGAACTTACCAGCTTATTCACACGCAGCTTTGATGAATTGAATTTAAAAACATCAATCTTTTTGTCCAACGGCTTAATCGTAAACTGAAAGGAGGAAAAAGAAACAGGTGAGAGAGAGTTACCAGAGAATCCAGTGTTTAATCAAAATGCAGCTATGAAAGTCTCCCTGGAAGTGTCGGCTCAGAAGAGGTCAGCCATGCTGGACAAACACTGCTAGGAGCTCTTCCTACAGCTTTRGGCTAAGCAAGAGAACTAGTACCAAAAGCAATGAAGTCACAACTGGTCTTTGGTCCAAAGATTGCTAGTGCTATGAAATGCAACAAGAGYGCAGCTGCCTTCCAATTGCGATGCCAAATGGCTGGGGCACTCGGCAGAACACCTGGCACCATGCAGGGGTGGCTCATCCACCTCCAAAACCCAAGCAAGATGCTGTTCTTCTGCAGGCTGTTGAGAACTAAGTGCAATGGAGAAAATTGAGTCATGTGTGCACAGAGGATGTCAGAAGAGCCAGCTCAGTGACCCAACAGAAGGGAGAAAGTGTGAAGAAGGAATACAGAAAGAGGAGCAGTCACCCATCTCATGGACATCTCCGCTCTCCATCAATCCCTTGGTGAGATTTTTCTTTGAAAAGTGCTTCCCAGAGAGTCAGATGTCCTTCCAGGACGCTTTTCAATCTAAAATACCATGCCCTCACTCCAGCTTGTATTTACATTTCGTGAGCCAAGTAAGGCAGCTTTAGCCCTGAGTTCACCCTTGTCCAAGTCCTTCCCCATGCCAATTCTCTTGAGAGGATGTGACGGCAGTGCCACATTCAAAAGTTTTGTCAATACAGTCCCTGGATAGACAGATGACTTGGGACTAGCAAGAGGGTAATTCGGGAGATTGAGTGCTCCGCAACACTGCGTTTTTTGGAAGGCAGGCACATACTCCATCACTCCCCCACAAACTACAAAAATAACCAGCTGCAGAGATAGCACTGCAGCAGTCTGTATCCATTAAACCCGGCCCATTTGTCAATACAGTGCACTGCCTGAAAAGGGCTCGGCAGGATGTGCCTGGCAGTGTTTTGTTTTGTTGGTTTAAGAGCCAATCTTCCCATCCTTTTGCACGGGCAGACATGCCCAAATGTCCCTGGATTTTKGCCCCAGCACGACCCACGCGAGTGACTGCTTGCAGCAGCAAGAATAGGCCAAGGAGGAGTTTTAGCTGCACATAGCAGTTGATACTTGTTACAGAGACTAAATACTTCTGCTGTGTCAGCTGCCATGCCCAGCTATTAGCTTGTTTACTGTTGCATCAGCTCTACTTTCGGTCATTTTAGCTCATAGATTATTGACCTGATAGAACATGGCAGGTCTTTACCCCAGAGAAAGATCTGCTATCATCTTGTGTCAAGRTCTGGCAGCAGAGATTTCAATCCCCAGAAAAGGGAGCTGGTCTGTTTTACTAAGTAATAGAGCATTTTAGTTATAAGGAGGGAAACGTGTGAGTCAACTAGTCCACCATGGGCTTACTCCTTACAAAACTTTCCATGTCCTATAACAAGTGCAGCTAGTGAGAAACCTTTAACTTTCATTCTGATCAATATTAAGCTTTTTAATTAAGTCGTTTTCTAATTGAAGCACATTTTCTTCCTTACCATCAAGGGAGGTAGTTTTCTCTGGGAAGTTCTCATAGACTGAAAAAAATATCAGCCGATGGRCTATACTTCCACAGCCCACTTTCCTGCTGCTCTCAACTAAGTTTGGTGGCCCACAGTTCAGAAGGACATCTGCATTTATATCTTGGGTTTAATAGAAGTCTACCCAACAGCGGACTTAAATTACTCAACCGCCTAAAAGAAAATTCCAGCTTTCCTGCCCAGTCTGGCAGTCTGAAAGCTCAAAACAACTTAATATAGCAAGATGCAAGAGTTCCCCTTCTCAAGAATGTTTTTTACGATATTTAACAATATAAGAAGTCTCTGTGTGTCATGGTTAACCCCTTGTATGTCCATTTCTGGAAAACCTCAGAAAGCCTTAAAATTACGGTTTTTATAGGAGTGGCTCAGCTTAGCTAAGCTGGTGAGGGSAAGCACAGCAGAAAGAGCAGCTAAGAGAAATTATTTCAATTGTAATCGTGGTCTTAGGGGAGAGGGCAGATTTAGCTGTACCTCTTTATCACTGTACGAAATATTCCGGATCTCATTCCATGGGAAGGAGATTTTGGGGGTCAGCCTGTTGTCTGGGTCGTAAATGTGAAGACCCAAGGCATCGACTCCAAGCAGCAGTTCAGTGCCCTTTTTATTCTACAGAGGAAAAGAAAAGAAAAAYCTGTTATTCGACTTGGCCATGAGTTGACACATGGAGCCACCATGAACGTCCCCCAGCCCTGTGCAGTGACCCCACAGTGCTGTGCATTAAAGGGGCTTCTGCCTCCCACGCAGCTGGGGGTGAAGCGCACCACAGCAGCGATGCTCAGCGCACCGTGGCCACCCTTCACGTCTGCAGGCTCTCCGAGGCTCCTCCTGAGCAATCTTAGCGACGCAGAAGACTAACACAAGCAGCTCAGCACGCCTCAAGAACATGTCCCGCTGCCTGCACTCACCCTAATCGCAAAGTAGTTCACTCCATACATCTCCAAGTCCTGAGCTATCTTCAGATACTCCATTTCTGCTTCATCTCTGTCAGACAGGAAAGAAAGAAAGGCAAAAGGTAAAGATGTTTGCCAACATCAGAGAGACAGCTGGCTCATGCTGATCTCCCAGGCTCACACCATGTATTCAGACRCTGGCTGGCTCTACAACATAGGCCAAGCCTGTATTTGCTGGCAGGATCAGTAACAACCAGTAGTAAATTCTTGATGGCATCTTAACAGCCGTTAACGCCTGCCCACTCCAATGCAGCACTTCAGGCCACRCTTGGTTCCTTTCCTAATACCTAAAACAGAATGGGGAAAAGAAAAACAAAAACAAGCAAACAAAAAAACCTGCGGGTCTGACTGTTTCACAACAGTCCTAAATTCTCCCTAGGATCCTATCAGTGAACAACAGGATGCTTTCAGAGCAACCAGAGAAAGTGCTTTGCCCCTCTTGGGTCTGCCCTATCCATAGACCTTCACGAAAGTGACCCATAATCCTGCATGGACACAGTTTCTGTGCGAGAAAAGTTAAATTCTACAGGCTTAAAAGTGAGCTTGATATGATCCAATCAGCATGAAGTATTGCACAGTTTAACTAGTTCCGGGGTAATGTRGCTGAAATAATGAGCGGAATAGACTTGGCCTGGCTTTGCATTTTATGTCTGCCACACTGCTTGGCTGGAAAAAGGCAAAAAAACCCTCTCAAAGCAGCTTCTCACTTCAGGCAACACAGGCCACATTTTTCACTGGATAAGCTCCCTTTATACTCCCTTCTGCCTAGTGCAACTGCTGGAAAGTGGTTCACAGAGCTCATCCAACTCCTGTCAAAGCTGCCGARACCCTCCAGTCGAAGGGACCATTGAGAAGCCTTGGGTGATGCTAGCACATGCTCACCTTGCTCTGCCACGGTGCTCGGCATACCAGGCTGTTATTCTCTCTTCCCACATCTCTGGAGTCATCTGGTAGAGGTTTATCACCTGGTACACACAGCGGGAAAGAGACCCAGTCATGCTGCTGCTTTCACCAGCCTCCTCACCCAGCAAATGAACCAGAAATCCCTCAAACGTCTCCATCACAGCATCCCTGTTTCTAGTGGGTGTGCCCAGCCCGGCTCTCTCATTCCCCTGAGGTTCCATCACCCTAGTATCTCATAAAATGCAACCAGGAAACCCACTGGAAAGAAAATCCATGATTTTATTTTGCTTAATATATTTCAGGATTTGAATTCTTCTCCCTCTGCACATCTTTCCAGACTGCTTCCCATGGGAAAGGAGCCAGAYCCACAGACCCTTCAGTACAATGGGCTTCAGCACCTAAACTGCCCCCAAACCTGGAAATTCACCCTCATGCTCTGCTGAGCCCTTTACCCGCTTCGGCAGCAGCTCCTCCTGTGCCAGAAAGCCTCGCTTGTGCACGTTGGGGTCATAATCACCGTACTGAAAAGGAGCAGAGACAATTGAGCTGAGGCTGAGTCAGGAGAAAGAAAAAAGTGAGCAAGGGGGAAGCAGTAAAGCAGGAAAAAAAAAAAGAGATAGAGTGAAATAATAAATAAATAAATAGATTCACCCTTACAAAGCAACCCCGAGGGATTGGGTATGCTTCAGACCTGGTGAAGTGCACGGAATAATTCCTTATGCTTGTTGAGATTTAAATCTTTCAATCTTCTGGAGTATTGCGTGAAACAACCGGGAAATAAAACATCTTATTCAAAGCTGAGGGTCTCYGAAGCGTGTGTGAAAACAAATTTGCTTCCTGCGTGGGGTAGGAACCAACTAGTAACCAGCAATGCAAATAACCTAGCAAGTTTCAGAGGATGACAGACACAAGGCACACGCAATAAATCCGCGACATCATTCAGCTAGCGAGCCAAACTCCTCGTGTGGCATCTCCTACTTATACGAGACACAGCACTGCTTTCTCAGGGCGTTTTGCAGGAGAAACGGCCTTTCTTCTCCTGCTCTTCTGAAGAGCCTCAGCTCAGAAAGTCCAAAACAGCAGCAACTGACAACAACACAGGCATGCTCATGTCCAGACCGACATTGCTCATGGAAAAAGTCAGGAAACTTCCCAAACCTGCCAGGACCTTGATGCCGCTTGACTAAACCCGCGCTCAGCACTGTTGGCCCAGCCAAACATCCTTTAAGCAGCAACGGTTCATACCAGGCAAGTAGGGATTAAMGGGGCAAATACTCATGTGGAGCCAGAGCAGATGCAAAGGAAGCAGGCAGCAATCAGCACCAACTCAGCTTCCAATCCAAACAGCAAACACGCTGTGGATTTCACTCAGGAGGGTGCTCGAGAGAGGGTGAAGTGTCTCTCTCCCAAGGCCTACAGCTGTTCCCAGGAGAGACATGGTGCCTGAACTGAGGGCAAAAAGGAGCAACAAGGAAAAGGCAGTGCTGGCAGAGCCARCAAAACTCTGGTAACCTTGGGCGCGCAGAAAACAAACCACTTTGGGCGATAAAAAGAACAGCAAATAGGATTAACGTGATTATTTTTTGTTGGGATCTGCTAGGAAGATCCAAGGCTAAGTACGGATTATGCGGTTTTCATGTCGTGAAAAATACTGCTGCATCCCAAAGGGATGTTTGTGAAAGGCTGGATGAGAACACTAATTATTCACAAGTGGGGGAAAGAAGATAAAAAAAAAAAAAAAAAATCAACAAACAGCCCAAGTACTCAAGTACTGCAGTATATGTTGGCTCAAGTGATTTGGCAAATATATCTTTAAAGCCTTTTTCAATTAAATCATTATTCCARAACTGTCAGGGAAACTCAGTTCTTGTTAATTGAGCTGCGTGATTAATATTTCTGTTTACACGTGAAAGTTGTCCTAACATCAGTCATACACCTGGCTTATGTTGCCTTGCGCAAGTATGGTATGCTCAGTTCCAAACTATTAAGGAAAAGTACTAAGTGTTTTGGGAAAAAAAATAAACAAAACCCATATGAAAGCCGCCTTCCTGCATGCTGAAATGCTGGATGATATGAACATGCCTGCCTCACAGCAATGATTTGCATTCAAGGGCCAAGAAAAGGAAAAACATCTTGAACATTATCTTTTTTTTTCCGCAAGGAAGTGTTTTGCACTAGAATTTATGCCTCTCCTCACCATTTAAAATGTGGAAGCCCTCCAACAGAGCTGGTTTGAGCGCAAGAGGGGAAGCACACAGCAACTCCCCAGCTCAACACCAGCACAAAGAAAGAAGCTTTTCTATGTGTTCCATGCACACTTGCTTTATTATTTCAGGCAGGTGGGTAACAGCAATATAAGGCAGCCCTGCTCTCATTCGAACAGCTACAGGCACAAACACAAGCCTGTATCAGGCTGGTTTGCCTCTGTTGATAGAAATTAGCACATCTCTAATGAAAATGCTGTAATTATTGGCCACCTTCTGACCCAGAAAGGTCATCTGGACCCTGGCAAAGCCGCTGCCACCGTGAGGCACTGGAAGGAGCTGACCTTCTGCGACACTTCTTCCCAGCTCCAGATGGAGGATTTTGCCTCCAGATTCCTTCTATGCTGGAAAAAAAAAAGAAAACTGATGGGGCAGCCCAGCCTGAGTCCTGCTTAGTTGAGGAGAGCCGCAAGGAAAAGTCCTGCCYGAAGCAGACTCCAAGGTGTGTTAGGTAGGACAAGGAAGGGCATCTATCTCCCACTGAACAACCTCTTTGCAGAATCAAARTTAGCAGATAAGAAAAAATGCTCCGATCCATTTGCTCCCCTTTCAGGGCAAGCGAATATCGAGTGAATCGAGGGTGTCCCTGAGCCCAAGGTGAGCAGCTGAGCCGCAGGACGAGGCAACGTGAGAGCGCAGCCTGCACCMAACTGCAGCCTGCTCCTGGATCAGGAGGAGAGGAGACACAAGTTAACAGGGTTCAATATTTACCCAAGAGTTTATTGATTTTGGCAACAGGAAAAGTCATCCCCTACAGATCTTCAGCTCATTAGGTCACAGGAGAGAAAGCCAAGTGAGTGTTTGCTCATGTGCTTCAATGCAAGCGATGAATGTTTGATGCAAATAGAAACATTTTTAGAAACCACTTGTTTTTTACAGGCTCGCACGTCTCTCACAAAACATGTTTTCACCAATATGGGGAAAAAGCTTTCTAGTAAACGCAAATATTCACCGTCAAGCAATTCTGTTATGTGCCACAGAGCTCTTGGACTAAATTGGGCATAGACTGAAGGGGTAGGAGAAACATTAGCAAGCAAGCTAGGAAAAGCAAGTTTGAAGCGCCAAGGACTTGGATTCATGGAAAAAGCTCAGTGCTCAACTATGAAGGCACTTAATCTAGGCAGAATTATGCAGGTATTGTGATAAACAACTTTGAGTCCAACCTCTTCTCCCACTTGTTACAGGAACACCCCTACCTCATCCCTCAGAGCACTTCTGCTATCTCAGGAGCAGATCTACTATAAGCTCTCCAAAGCTGCATGCTGTCCTCCAAGACTGCAGTAACGTTAACGAACTGCGGCATGCAAAAATAAAGTGGTTATCATGAAGATGGGGAGAATCTAGGGGAGCAATGGAAACACTAGTCGCATGGCAGATCTGCCAGAAGAAAAAAAAATAATAATAAAAAAAAAAGCCATGGCCTATAGAAGCTCCTCTGCTCCTGTGATAATCTACACTTCAGAAGGCAACTAAGAACAACTCTTCTACAGCTCCTCAGCTAAGCCCTTGTTAAAAAGTCCTTTTAAGAGACTGCAAAACTCTGCAAAGTCACAAGGCAGTTAGAAGAACTGGTGCAGAAAAGGCAACACCACTAATGTATTTCCTCACTTTCGAATTTTTGGAAAATAACAATCAACAATAACAAATATAATTTTTTCCCATCCTCCTCTTGCTCAGGCAGGAAGCAGACACACTGCAAAGCACCTTCTCAGGAGCAAAGCTACCCCCTGCCCAACGTTCACAGGCAGATGGAGACCCTGCCCGGCTCCTCTGCGCCTACCTTGGCTTGCACTGCATAGGAAGCCAGCAGCACTGAAGCCTCGGGAGGGCAGTAGATCTTCTCATCCAGAATCTGCTTCTTTACCTGCACAGAGCAATGAAGGGGTTTAGTGGGGCTCTGCAAAAAACRACTGTCACAAGAGATGGTTGCAGTTTAACTACAGCTGCCAACCAGCTGGTTAATGGTTTTTATGCCTGGGAAATCTCCAACGGGAAGAGTGCAGAATTTTACAGGTTGCCTTTTTCAGACAGGTTTGCAAGAGGAGCTAGATTTATACGCAGAAAAGAGCRAAGCCTGCATCTTGTCGCTAAAGGCAGGGCGGGAAAATAATCTCACATGTAAATACATAGATAAAACCTCTTCAGACATAAGCTACGTGTTGGAATGACATCTGTGYGCTGCATTAAATCGAAAACAACAAGAAAAAAGCAAGCAGATATTTTTTCCTAGGAGATGGAGGTCTTGCTCGGAGTCACTGTGCACCGGTACTCAATGCAGATACTCTTCAGTTCCTCTGGGCCAAGCAGGTCCGTGGGTCACCTCCAAGGGCAATCCCAGCASAGCCACTGTACGGCTCCCACAAAGCCCCGCTGTACACTGCCTGGCTTCTGCGCTTTAAAAAATTAAATGCATCCTGCTTGATTTTTTTTGTTTTGACACAATTTATTTTCCCTGAATATAGATTAAACAAAAGAAAGGCTATTTCCACGTGAGGCTTAAATGGATTGTCACGGAGATACTGTTAACACCATTTTGAATTTATAGTCTATGTTGTGTTCTTAAAGTCTGTTAAAACTTCATCACAAAAGATATTCTCCTGCATTAAGATAAATCGGAGAGCWTGCAGGCATATGCATGCTCCTGCTTCCCACATGTGTTATGTGTGTACAGTCTCCTTTCATATTATCAGAAATCCTAGCAGAAAAGTGATTTACAAGCTGCATTTACAAAAAATCCAGCTTTTTTCTGCTTTTTATCTCTGATTTGTCTAAAACATTCCAGAATTATTTTTTCTCTTCAAGGAAAAAGCCTGTGGCAAACTGGACATTTAGAAATATCCATCAAGAGACAGTGGAGCACAGAACAGAGCTGGGAAAATTAACAGAAATATTTTGCGTTTAGAAGCTCTTTTAGTCCTGAACACCAAAGAGCAGCTTTGGAACAAAGAGGACCATCGGTGGGCCAGTGAGGTCATTTTAATACACATTTTAAGCTGGGAGGGAAGGGGGAAGCACACTATTTTATTTCCAAGAGCTTTCAAATGCAGGTTACCTCTACTTTGGTGTAACAAACTTAAGAATACAAGTATCCCTTATTTTCAGCCGTGTCAGATGAAGAGCCAGGTGCTTCATTGGAAGTGGCTGATCATTTCCATCACAATCTGGGATCAGGTCTCTACTGCCTGTTACCTTCCTGCCTGCCTCCAAAGTCTTTTGCGAGGTCACACACCCCTTCACATGAAATGGTTTCAGCTAAACTGATATTTAGCTGAACCAGAGTGTGCTTCTGCTAACAGGGCTTCATTTCCCAGCTAACTTGATTCCCAAAGACAGAAGATGGCACTGTGCTTTGTCAAGCCTCCCAGGCCAGGCCCCACACTCGCCAGGCACTTACTGCGCAGTGTGGGTGACAGTGGGGTAGCTGACACCAGTGGTTTTCTCCTACTTGGCTCTTGCCATCAGCTTCCAATCTGGTTGGGTTTCCAAGGTTTTCCCCTTCTCCAAAGATTTGGAGATTGTGAGGAAGAGGTGAATGTCACTGATCAGGCACAGGCTGACTGCAGTGGCTCCTTACAGCAGGGTACCCGTGTTTCACCTACCAGTACTCTCAGGCCTAAAGACAAGGGCCAGCTCCTGCTGCAAACGCAGGCAGGAGGGATCCAAGGTCACGTCCTTCACACCCAGTAAAGCCATTTTCCTTAGTCACAACATATTGATATCACTGATGACCAGTTTACCCAACCTGCAAATCTGGGCAACTGTTATTGCTCCATCAGCGAAACCATCTTTGTCCTGTTTGCAAACATTTTTGTTACAGTTGAAGACAACTCCTTTCATAGCAGGGGCGAATGTAACAGTGGAGGCAAACACTTTGGTAACTGAACTTCTCAGACTCTGCAACCCTCCTGGTGCTTCTGCCTGTCCTGGCTTCTGCCTCTCCAGAGCTGGGAAATGGGTACAATAACTATGCTCCTACCTGAAGGAAGAACAAGTGCTGGGTGATCTCCTGGACCAGCTCCTCTTCTGCGTTCTCGGGATAAAATTTGGCCAGGAAGTGAAAGGTGACCGGCTCCTCGGTGGGAACATCGTGATCCAGCACCTGGGGGGACACAAAAACCCTCCAGTTACTGCTTCCTGCCTCCAAAGCACTGATGTCTCTTGGAGCCAAGAAGCAGCCTCCCTGTTCTGATTAGCTTTTGTCAAGCATTTTTTGTGCTTTGCAAGCTAAGTGGCCCAGAAACCACAGTTAAAAAAAGTATCAGAAGAAAAAAAAGGGGGGGAGAGGAAGAAAAAAGGCAGATTTCTGACGTTTATAACTATACAAAATAACAAATGAGGCAGCAACAAAGAGCATGAGGAATGAGCTGCTTGCTCCAAGCCAAGGCTGATACCAATGGGCTGTGCATGTGCTGCCCGTCTCGCTCTGCCACAAGCGGGCTCCCACTTGCTCCTAGTTTTGCTGGGCACCAACATTTCTGCTTGCTGTCTTTTTTTTTTGTGCTGGGGGTGTCCAGCTTGGATTCATCTTGGTCTAAAACCTCAGAGCGACATGAGGGATGTGTCAATTAACTGCTTTTTATTTTTTTTTTAGCACAACATAATTTGGGTGCAAGCAGCACCACAGCCAGTGCTTCTCCAGCTAAGTGCTGACCAGCTCAAGAGAGGATTCCCTCCTGCAGTTCCCTTGCCTTTTCTTTCCATTCTTCTTCCTCTGGCGCTTTTGACCATCCGGAGCCACAGCAAACACAAAACAAGAAGTCAACATTTGGAAGCATGAGTGATTCTCTAAAAGAAACCACCAGGCCTCATTTACATTCAATTTGATGAAAATCTGGCATCCTCAGCATGCCTGCCTCCAAAATGCCCTAAGGGGATCCAGGTGAGCAGCCTTATAGACTTGTGAAGGATTAGGGGCAAATACCACCTAATTCTTCTTGTTTTGACTTATAATGTGAATGGTTCTGAGGTTTAAATGCACTTCTCCCAATTCTCTTCTGTAGCACACCTAATGCACACCTGTAATCAGGTGTGGCAAAAGAAAATATATCCTCTTTCCGCACTGCACACAACATCACAAGGGGAAGTTCCAACCTTCTTGTCCATTTTCAGCCAAGCCACCGTGTCCTTGATGGTGTACTGAAGGCCGAAGAACCAGGTTTCCCGGAGTCCCAGCGTCCTGCACACTAAATCAAACAAGTCCTTCCCTTTCCACTTCACCTGCAAGAGAAGAAGGAAAAGGCAGAGGTGTAAAGAGTGATTTCAAAAGTTCTTTCTTTTCTGTTCAGCCAAATAAACTCTTTTCAACTTCTCATATGTTTATATCCCATAACTTTGTGTTTGAAAACGTGCAAGAAGTATTTGGTAGAAATAAGAAAACAACCTAGCCAAGCACCCTTTATATCTTCCCACTTGCTCTTAGCTGCAGAATATCACCTCTCCTGCGCTTGGGAATAGAAGGAGGATTTGTTATGCCCTACAGCACAAAAAGAGAGCAAGATCCTCATTTTTTTTCTGACAACACATCAAAGTCAGCAGCAAATCCAACAAGGCCATTTTAGTTCCTCCCAAGTCATATACTGCTCAGTGGCACATATTGACCAACAATAAAAAAATAAATCTAAAGGCCCTAACTGCAACTTTAATGCCCCAGGGAGCCCTGAGCAATCTTGCAGCTGCTCTGACCTTGTTGCTGCAGTTTGTTCTTAAAAACTGAAGTTTAGAGAGGCAGAAAGAGAGCAAAACAGTTGCAGCTGCCACATCACATCCCTGCTGCTACCCACTGCCACCTTGGGGCAAAGAGGAGCAAGTTTCACAGAGCTGTGATTARAAACCATGAATTTTCTGTGTTTAGCCATCCTCCAGTTGCCACGATGAGCTCTGCTGTGGTATAGGATGTTGCAGAACCCAAACTCCTTCCTGGCTGTTATTTCAGGAGGATGTAGAACTCCTCCGTTCAAACTAGAGCACGACGGACGTTACAGTGGGGGTTTTGCACCATTTCTGCAGGCACTTCTAAAAGGGTAGCACCAAAGGGCTCGTTCTTAACTTGGATTAGACTGCTTGGCAGGAAGTTTTGTTGGCTTCACCTCCCTTTTTTCCAAAAGCCAACATTTCAACCTGCGAGTCCGGCACGAGCAGGGCAGGAGGCTGCAAGCCTGCRGTCAGTCTGCAAGTCCAGCAGCGAGTAGGAGAACATGAGCGTTGCACACTCACCCTGCAATTTTAATGCAGAATTATTTTCCCCGATCACTTCTGTGTCAGATTTGATATTACCGCTCTGCCTTTGGACTCATGCGCTACAGCAGAAATATAYGTTTAAAGTTCCCGACTACATGGTGTTGAAGTTTCCAGTCATAACAGCACATCCAACTGTGCCAAATTCACTTCATTAAATACCYGAGTGCAACAGCAGCCACCTTTATTTCAGCATACGCGATCTCACCCCATGCCTCGGCGCTTAAAACAACGATCCGCATTCAAGAGGCATCTTCTGATAGTCCATCCCCAACTGTTTTACGGACCTGCAGGCCCTCAGCCTGCCTTACCCTTATTTCACAGGCTGCGTCTCATTAACTGTCACATTTCTGGCCATAAAATACAGGAGTGTGCCTGTGCTGCGGAGACCCGTTTGTGCAGAGCCGAGCCAGAAAGCGACCTGGTGCCGCCACCTCCCGGTCTTTGCCAATTCTGCAAGTAGTTGGGAGCTCTCCAAAGGCTTATTGTTGAAAATTCCCTCTCCGTCATCTGCCAGAGTGGTCAGCAAAATGCTATGTTTTTTTATAGCATATACACACGCACACACATATAAAAATAAAAGCTACATGACAAAATCGAACCTTAATASGCTCCCCATCCAAAGGAGCCAGGCAGCCTGCAGCACTGCCACCTCTGAGTCCGGATCCCCTCATTGCTGGTGGCCAACACGAGCGGCAGGTCACGCAGCTGCCCGTGGGCGTGAAGGGGACATGGTGGGAGGGAGAGTGCTGCAAAAACACAGGGCATGAGGGGGGCAACTGCCCTCCCACTGACCGTGGAGAAACAGTGAGCACCTGTGCAAAAATCGGTGCAGTCAAATGTCTTTAAGGAGGGCTGAAAAATGACTCTTCAACTGAGCAAATCGTTTTGTCTCGTGCTAATTTGATGCTTGATGTCAAAGAGAGAGAAGGCAGGCGCTCTTCAGAGGATGTTACGGCCAAAAAGATTGAATGGAAAATGCGAATGGGGTCCTGGGAAGCTCCTCTAGCTCCTTGTGTGTTTCTTTCCAGGAGCCGTGTAGAAGCAGCAAGCTTTATAGGAGGGCAGGGCATCATTGCACAGACGCACAGGTGGATGGCAGAAAGGGGGTGGTAGGCAAGAGAGGCAGGTGGCCGAGACCAGACACGAAGCAGCACACATCCTGACAAACACGCAAGTGATACCTGCTCCTCATCCCTTCAGGAGATGCCTGAACAAGTTTACAGCTCAAAATGAGGCAAACTGGAGAGCACAGACCATATTTACCCTTCTGAAGCAAAACAGCAGCACGACGGTTCCCAGTTTCTATCTGCATTTAAAGCCCATTGAGAGCAAATCAAGAATCCAATAATTACAATCCTTTCATTTTCTTAAATAAGCAGGTGTCAAATGATTCCAATTGCCACTTACTGAGCTACAAGATGGAACTGTAAAAGTTATTTTTATTTACTAATGCTCCCAGACAACTCAATAACAAGCTTTTAATTAAAAACTATTGCTGCTAACCACAATGCAGGCTGGAAACACATCCCGGCATAAAGAGGCATATGTTTGCTGAGCCGGGCATGTTTCTTGGTGGCTGCTTGAGATGGAACACGGCAGGTGTGAGGGAGGACAGCCCCTGTGCCCCAGGCTGGCACTAGAACAAGCAGAAGAGGGAAGGGAGTCAGTAATGGCCCAGGGCATTATTTACGATACTTAGATCTGCAATCTAAACAGTTATGTAGCAATACGATGCAGGGAAGAAGCAGCAAGAAGGATCTTCCCCCTCCAGAGCCCTCTCATCTTCTCAGGACAAGGCTAAAGACACGCTCAAGTCTCACCAAGGCAAGACCAGGCCTGGGCGCTACTGCTGCAGCGGGCGCTGCTGTGCCGAGCATCACTGTGGATGCTCCGCGTGGAGCCAGGCGCAAGCGGCACCTCATGTTGGGAATTTACCAGCAAGGAAAGTTGAACCAGAGGGAGTTTGTGATGCCAAGCAACACGAGGAAGATAAGCTTAGCCTTGCCCTAACAACTTGCAGGCTTTTCATTGAAGGACTGAAAGCGACACCTTGCACACACTCAGGGRCTGCTCCATTTCTCCCCCAAACTGCCTCCGAGCCGCCAGCCGATCATTTCCAGAGCTGCTTCCATGTTCCAGTACATCCAACTTGGAAATGCACATAGCTGAAAGACACTGTACACACATAGACACAAAAAAGGGGCATAAATCTTGGAGTAAATACTGAAAGAGAAAGATAGGTTTCTGTCTCGAACGTCTTCCTGCCTCCCCCTTTGCATGAACATACTTCCTTAGGACTAATCACAGAGATCACAGAGACAGCAAAGATCTGGAGACAGAAAAGGCCGTTTCTTTGCAACCATCTTTATAGCAYTGATGACAAGCTGAAGCTCCTGAGCAAGATGCAGTTGTGTTCCTGCCCCAAAACTGGGAGGCAGAAGCAGCAAATAGAGAATSAGGCAGCTTCCCTCGGCTCTGTGAATACTCTGGCGAGGTTGCATAGAGGTTCCTTCATCCCTGGTTAAACATTTGGCAGCTTCTCACCAATGTTAGTATTGAGTGACCTCTTTCAAGGCTGTGGAGCTGCTGCAAGCTGGCAGAGGCTGGGGGAGAAAAGGCAAATCCACAGGCAGCTCTTCAAAAAAGCTGTAGGCAGGAACCCTGTTAACTACAAAGACATCTTCAGWAAGCCACCAGGATACCAGCAGGCAAGGTGGCATTTGGGTTCCTCACGCACTCCTATCCTGATCTTGTCACACTTGCCTGGAAGTGGTCAGGARTCTGTGTCACTTAGCTGCTTTTGATTTTTTTTTTTTTTTAATAAAAACAAAACATAGAAAGTGGCAGGTTTCCTCATTTGATCTCTTTTTTTTTGGAAAAAGGTTTATGCCAAAATGTCAAAAGTCCCAGACTTGTGACTGTGTCATTTCAGAATTAACTCTTCAGAACTCTGCTGCTCACTGCAGTTCAGTTTGGCATCCCCTTTTCCTGCTGTGTCCAAGCTGCAAGAAAACGTGGATCTTCTCCCAACTTCTTCCCAACTGCACCTTGTGTCCAAAACATTCTCCAGAACTCATGTCTCCCTGAAGCCTCTCTCAAGTTTGTTAAACTCCAGGCTAGAAAGAAAAAAAAAACATTTGGGAAAGGCGCTGCATCCTCAGAGATGGAGAGCTAAGAGCCTAGCTGCAATCACCACAGCAAAGAAGTGTCAAAGACGAAGATGAGAATGAGACCAGGGCTCTCCCACCACCTGGACAGCTCGGGTCTTAGGTGGTGGTGCAGCGGAAAATGTAACTCAAGGTGCACAAGGAGAAAACTTGACCCTAACAGTTCTGACGTAAATAAGATCCTGGCAGAGGAAGAGCATGGAAAAAAGCCTCAAAAAATCCAAACTCAAAATACTACAGGGCTAAGCTATGCCAGACCTTGTGGATGGCAGACCGCGTTGTCTGGAAGAGGCGCCAGCAAAGTCACCTTTGCCACGCTGAGTTGTGCAAATTGCACCCACTTGCTTTGGTCAGGGCCACCATGGGCAACTACCACCAGAAAACAGCAGCCACCGAAAAAGCCACTGACAATGGCACCCTGCAGCAGTACCAGAACCCTCCTCACTTGAGCATCATGCTCCACAAACTCCAGTTTGAACTCCTGACACGTTGCTTCCCGAGTCATTCCTTGGGCAGCACCCAGCACATCCCTGCATTCACTGCAGATGAACATCAGCTCCCAGTGCTCCTCGGGAAGCCATCTCCTGCCCTGTCCTCAGAGCACAAGGAGCCCCCGGACTGCACCAACTGCTTGTGGGTGTCCTCAGAAAGGCGAGGCCACTGGGGACCAGCTTAACAAAGCAGTATTAAGAGCCACACAGATGTGGAATGTTCCTCCAGACACTATCAGTTAATTAGGTGCTGCACTCAAGCAGCTGTAATGGAAGCAAGATAAAAACACTGACTTTGCACTTTCAAGATCTCCACAAACAACCCATGAATCTTTAAAAGAAAAGCCCCAGCTGTGATTATTAGGCTTCATCACAGCATTAGAAAAGATTAAGATTTCATTTCTGTGAATTATTTGCAATTTAGGCTCCATTTAGAGACATTATTTGCAGCGCAGACAGATGCAAATCAGGTTTAATCTCCCAAAATGAACGGCTGGAAACCTCCCCAGAGCAGATTTAAAAAAGAACCTACTACCCACCCCAAAAAAATGGGCCAAGCAGAGCGGGTGAACTTAAGCCACGCGCTGTACTTCCTACCACGAAAGAGAYGGTTGTTGCTTATCGCTTCTTCAGCCACGTTAACGCGCTCATTTCCACCAGCCTGGCCATCCTTAATATCCTGCACCTACCCTAGCATGTCTTCAAGGTGTTGACAATACCATGGGGCTGGAAAATGCAGCTCTTAAGAACATGGAGAAGAGCACCGTGGAATAAAGTACACATATATGTGCATATATATATTTAAAGMGTCAGTTTTACTCATGCTGCACAGGGGGAGGATACAGATTTTGGGATGCGGAGGGGAGAGCAGACATGAGATGCCAGCGAGGAAGGGAGTCACGAACGGGGTGGTCCCACCTGTAGAGTGAGAAGGTCACCATGTTCATTGTGGGTCCTACAACCCCAGGCAAACCAAACGGGGCCACTCTTGCTGCAAAGGACTCATGGAGAAATAGCCCATCCCTCATTGCCTGCTGCCTCCACCCTGCYGCAGGGCCAGAAGGGAGCTGGAGAGCGGAAACAAGGGCAAGGACGTGGAGGTGCAGCCAACAAGCAGCAGCGAATCCCTCCACCCCCTGCCCAGCCAGGCTCTCAGAGAGAGCTTGGTTCCCCTGCAACCTCAGTGCAACACTGATGACACCGGACTGCCCATCAGCACGTTCGGATGGGGAGCTCCTCCGCTCTCAACAACAGCTGGAGTCCAGCAGTATCCGCTGGTGGAGAAGTAGAGCTGGATCCTTCCCGCATGATCTCGGCTCCCAGGYGAGCGCAGGGAAGCTCCCTGGCCGAGACCAGCTTTCCGAGCAGGCCTCTCCCAGGCAAGCYGCCTCCAAACGCAGGAAGAGCCGCCTGGCTGAACGCAGCCTGGGCGCGCTGCGCTCCCGGGTCACCAGCAGCCAGAGCCCAACGGGGAACGCCAGGCCACCGCTTCAGCTCTCCCGGCGGCACGGCGAGCGGGATCCCTGCACTGCTACGGGTGAAAATCAACCCCTAATGCTTGAAGACACGAGGAAGCTACGCGGAGCTGTCACCGTATCTCATCAGCAGCAAAGGCCGTAAGGCCAAACACTTTTTTTCAGCTTACAAGTATCGGAATTGCAGCAAGATTTTGRCCGGACAAAGTGCCTCTCTTTTTAAACTACTTGATGTTTTAATCTATGAAGATTCACCTTTCAGGTGCCTAACCTGGACACCTAACTGATGCACACAAACGGGAAGCACAAGTTGGGCTCCCGGGGACTGCTGAGAGCCCCTAAGGGACGAGGGAGCCCCACGCGGAGCCGGAAAGGGCCAGCACCAAAGGAGGCACCGAGCACAAGAGGAGCGAGGGACGGACCCGAGCGGGACCCTGTGCGTCTCCCACCACGCTCACGCCTCCGAGTGCGGCAGCGCGCGGACGCTGCCCTTGCTCCGGCGCCTGGAGCGGAACCCTCCCGGTTCCAAGCGCTGGGGCGCAGCCTAACTCGGTCCCGAGGTGCGAGCGGGCCCCGCCGAGSACGCGCAGCCTCGCCGCTCGCCCCGGCCCGGCCTCGGGGAAGAGCGCGGCGGGGCCGGTACCTCGCAGCTGAACTCCATCTCGGCATCCATGGTGACGATGCGCACCGTGAAGGTCTTGGGCTGCTTCCTCTTGAGCGAGCTGAAGCTCATGCGGGAAGCGATGGCCCCGGCCATGGCGGCGGCGAGGGCGGGCGGCGGGCGCGGCCGCTCAGCGCCGCGAGCCGCGGCAGCG